GCGGCCGGCGAAGCGGGCCGTGATGTGTAGGCTAATGCATAAGCACATAGAAGAACACAAGGGGTGAGCCGGTTGTGATGGAACTCCCGATAGTGCGGCTTCTATAGGAGAGCTGTGAATACTAGACCGCCAGAATTTTAGCCTGTAAGGCTGGAACTTCCAAGTTATAAAATCTGACAAAGGTGGATGGGGAGGCCCATCCCGCAGCCACACAAATGTCGTGAATGGAAATCCCGCATGACCATGCCCACGATGAGGCCATGCCTCTGGTGGAATGAGCCCTGATGCCCAGAGGGCAAGGCAGGTCTTTAGCGGCATAAGCAGAGGCAATCGCATCTACTATCCACCTGGATAGGGTCTGTTTCGAGGCGGCTAGTCCCTTGGTGCGGCCACCGAACGACACAAACAGCTGCTCTGAGCGTCTGAACGCGGCAACGCGTGTAGTATACACTCTGAGAGCCCGAACCGGGCAGAGGCGGTCAGCGTCACGTTCGCTATCGGATGCAGGCAGCGCCGATAGCGAGATCACTTGCGCCCTGAAAGGGGTACCACTACCAATCGCTTTAGGAACATAACCGTGTCTAGGTTTTTGAATGACTATGGAGTCATTCGGTCCAAACTCTAGGCACGCGGCGCTCGAAGACAGCGCGTGAATGTCCCCCACACGTTTTACTGAGGCGAGTGCCGTCAGAAGAACGGTTTTTAACGAGAGGTATTTAAGCTCCACGGACTCAAGTGGTTCAAACGGTGGGGCTTTCAGAGCTTCTATAACTATAGAAAGATCCCAGACCGGCACCGTAGGGGGGGCGAGGGGGGTTCATCCTTCTGGCTCCCCTGAGGAAGCGGATGATTAGCTCGTCTTTGCCCAGAGACTGGGCGCGCCGGGGTTCAACGAACGCCGCGACGGCTGCCACGTAAACCTTAAGAGTGGATGGGGACCTGCCCTTATCCAGCATCTCCTGAAGGAACACTAGCAAAGACGAAACCTCGCACGTCCGTGGGTCCAACCCGAGTTGGATGCGTCTGTCGAGATGACTTCTCGGCGAGAAAAAGTCCCCCTGGTAACGCCCCTCTGAAACCACTCGCTTACTGACCATGGCTGCAGTGCAGAGAAACATGTCTGAGTGATCTTGATCATCTGGCGGCCCGTCGTCCACTCGCGGAACGATACGCGGCTCTTTAACCAGAGTTGAAGGGGGCGCATGTGCAGAAGACCCATATGACCCAGCATATGAAGCCATATGACCCAGCATCCTCTGAAACGATTTCAGGGATGTATGGGTACCCATCTGAAAGAGGCGGCTAGACACTGAACACGACGCGCGCGCTGTGTGGATAAGCGAGCCGTCATAGTGACAGAGTTCAAATCTATTCCAAGGAACGAAATAGTTTGACCGGGCTGGAGAGAGCTCTTTGTCCAGTAGACAGAGAGTCCCAGCGCTTCCAGATGGTTGAGGAGAATTGTGCGGTGCGACAGAAGCTCCGTCTGGGAATCTGCAAGAATCAGCCAGTCGTCCAGATAATTCAGTATGCGCAGCCCCTGACTCGCAGGGGGGCGAGCGCTGTATCCATGCACTTCGTGAACGTACGGGGTGCTAAGGATAGGCCGAACGGGAGAACGGCATACTGGTAAACTTGACCCTCGAAGGCGAAACATAGGGATGGCCTGTGATGAGGGTTTATCTGGATCTGAAAATAGGCGTCTTTCAGGTCTAGAGAGATGAACCAGTCCCCCTGGCGGACGTGCGCGAGGAGTTTCTTGACTGTGAGCATTTTGAACGGTCTCTTCATGAGCGCTTTGTTCAAAGCCCTGAGATCTAAGATCGGCCTGAGGCTGCCGTCTTTCTTAACCAGAAAATAACGGCCGTAAAACCCCGACTCGGTCATAGATGGCGGGACTCTCTCTAAAGCGCCCTTCTGCAGTAGCTTGGCTATTTCTAAGCGAAGCGTGTTCATAGCAGCCGGGCTGACAGTGGATTCGAGCCGCACGCGCGAGCGTGGCGGGCGGCGACGAAACTGTAATTGATAGCCATACTTTATATGTTTAAAACCCATGGAGAGATGCCGGGGATGGCTTCCCACGCTTCGTAGCATGCGGTTAGCGGCTGAATGGCGATTTCGCCCTGATTGCTGCACATAGCGGGCTGGACACTGGGTGTGGGCGCGCTTATAATGTGGAAGGCAACGGGACTTACACTCAGAGAGGAGTATATGGGCCGTGTGACAGAGCGGGCAGAGGGGGGACACGCGCACGGGCTCGTGGGCATGCTTATGATCTCTGCTACTGGAGCGGATAGGGCTCGCTCCATGAGAATGGGCTCTGTGAGAGACCCTGGGCATATGGTGCTTGTGTGTGTTAGTGAGCACATGTTAGTGGGCACATTTTTTACACTTGAGGCTTTTATGCTCTTTTTGTGAACTCTCTGGGTAGCCGTGAAAACGGCTTTTAGTCGCTCGCAAGCGGGCAGGAAAACCGGCTTGATTGTGGCGTTGAACACTACTGCAGTCAGCGGTGAGACGGGGACTAACAGTGGGCGAAGCTTTGACGGCGGTCCGGCCGCAGCGGGAGAAAGCCGTCTTTTTCTCAGCTGTGCTAGGCAGACTTCTGCTGATCGGGCTTCAGCGCGATCTTGGGTCGAGGCCCCCGGAGAGGAGGCTGTCTGCGGCGGCTGTCAGAGCGAGAGCGAGGGCGGCCGCCCTGTCTACGCTGGGGCTGCTGAACTTGCTGAGGCGGGCGCTGCTGTGGGGTTCTGGCAGGAGGCTCCTGAGAGCGGCCTGTCGAAGAACTAGAGCGGCGGGGCAAGAACAGATTCATGGCCTGAGTCGCTTTCTGTACCTCGGAGAAGCGGTCAACGATGCCCGTGACGGCAGATCCGAAGAGCCCGGTAGGAGATATAGGCGCGTTGAGGAACACGGCGCGTTCTGAATCTCCCATATCGGTGAGCGAGAGCCACAAGTGTCTCTCAGTGACAACGAGGGCGGCCATGCATTTCCCCGGGGCTTGTGCGGCGGCTTTAGTGGCGCGAAGGGAAGATCCGTAGCGCTACTCAGATCCGAAAGGATGGGCGGGTTCCTACCGCTGTTCGCCGTCTCGCACAAGATGTCGCTCTGGAGCGCCTGGAGGACTGACATGGAATGCAGCGCTGAGGCGGCCTGTTCGGCGGCGGCATAGGCGCGGGCAGCATGGCAGTATAACCCTTCTCGGCGGCTCCGTCCACTGAGCGAAGCGGACACATCGGAGCGGTTACGAGCCGAAAGAGGGGCATTCCAGGATTTAGTGAGCTCGTAGTGAAGCTCAGGCAGGAATGGTGCAGCCCGGCTGCAGGCGGGGGCCGGGCGCCGGTGCAGGAACTTCCCATCCATGCGGTTCGGTGGTTGCTCGGGGGGAGGAGACCACTCGAGACCCAGGCGGTTGGCGGCCTGCGAAAGGAGGCGCGTTAGTTCCTCCTCGATGCCGGCGCGGGTCCCCGCAGACTCTCTCGTCGATGAGCCGATCGACGACCAATCCTCGCTGTCGGAAGGGTGCAGCGAACAAGAGTCCTTCTCATCCGCGGTGTCGTCGGAGGCGACAGAGCGGCCACTCGGCGGCAACTGTAAGTCCGGCAGGGGCGGAGAGGGAGAGCGGTCGGTGGGCGGCGGCGGCGGCCCACATGGATCCGCAGGGGGCTCCGGCGGCCTCTGGGAGCGGCGTTTCTTCTTCCGCGGCGAAGTGAGAGGCGGCGCTGGAGCGGTTCTGACTGCCTGTAGTCGAGCCCGCAGGGAAGACAGAGGCAGGTCCTCGCAGTGGTCGCATCCTCCGTTGGCGAGGGCGAGCTCTGCGTGTTCCACTCCGAAACAGAGAACGCAGAAGCGGTCTCCTTCCTCGAGTGAAGAGCGGCATGAGCCGCAGGAAATTCGAGGCATCTTGAAAAAGACGCTCGTGCTCTTTTAGGAATAATGGAATAAAGGATACGCGTCGGATGGCGCTAGCTTGCTGGGCGGCTGAAGGTGGCAGACGGCCGGCTTCCTCAGACTCCGGAGCTCGCTAGACGGTGCCTTCTCAACGACGGCGGCTTCTTCCCAGGACAGCGGATGCGTGTAGCTCGCTGAATGAAAAAGAATCAACGAACGAGCTGGGAGAGCGACCTTTATACACTGTAGCCACGCCCCTTTTGGCGGGCTGTGACGCAGTGAGCGAACGCCGTCCGCTCATTGACCGCGAACTCAGCGCCGCTCTCCCATAGGTTCGTGCATTCTCTCTGAGCGAACCAATGAGCCGCTAGCTAGCCCGCTCATGGTCTGCCTCAGAAGAGACTGCGTTGACAATGATTACAAAATTATGGAATAATTTTTTTTTGGCTTCAACTTCTCAGCAAAGATGAATCTTTCCCGTAGCATAAGCTAGCTTACGCAATACGAGAGAACCTCTCGTAAGAGAACGTCAGATGCATTTTTCAGATAGGCGCTATCTTTATAAGTAAACTACAGTTTGGAGATTTAAACAACCACATTCTCGCCTGAAACACTCTTAAAATTACATTTCATGACTCAATAACAGTAGTTTTTTTATTATTTCGCGGACGCTTGCTGGTTGGTGCGAGGTGCATTCTGGGTTACCTGGCTATCTCAAGTCCACAAGGCACCTCTCGGTGCATCCTCGGTAAACGGGGCGGATCAAGAACACATCCAGGGATTTGAAGTGGACTTGGCTAGATGTGAACTTGGAACAGTACTGTCCTTTTTTTATTTGTAATGGCCCTTATGCTTCCCCTGCAAAACTGTTTTGTATTTATTTTAATGTTATATTTCTGTATATTGTAATGTATATTTTGTTATTTTTTTGTGATGTGATTTGTACTGTGTTTTTAAAATAAAACAAAATAAATAAAAAAAATCAGTGCAAAAAAAAAAAAAAAAAATTGGAACAGTACTTCGGGAGCGACTGATGACGTTTCACAAGTCCACAAGAACACAAGTACAGACAAGTACGCATATTGAGAAACGGCTATATTATCTGAGTCTCAGGCCATACTGCTCGGTGTTCCTGAGTAGTAATTTGTTCAAAATGAGCGAACCGTTCACGACAGACCCTTCACTAAGGGAAAATTGTCCGAGCGTTAAGGAGCTCCTGTGTCAAATTTTTGATGATCTTGGGATAGAAAACCAAAAGAAGTTTAAAAGCAAATTGAGCCATTGGAAGAAAAAATCGCACGTCGAAATGTTTACAACCGACAAAGTTATAGACTCTGCAGATCTCGCCGATTTAATGGTGAAAACTTTCACATTGGAGGACGCGGTTACTGTAACACTCGAAATATTAGAGGCTATTGGCTGTCATCAACTTGCATTGGAGTTCAGAAAACGCACAAGAGACAGTAAAGGTAAGTAGCCTAAACTATTGTAAACGGTAAAAGCGAAACTAAATTTACAAGTAATACGGTAGAAGTTTCATTGACCAATAAGGGTTTTAAAAGTGTAAAAAAAAAAAAAATAACAATAATGGAGAAATTATTATTTTTTTAACCATGTTTTAGTTTGACTATATGTTAACAATGCAAAGTTTGTCACCAAAAATCATTCGGTTTAACCATGATAAAATGACTAATTTGCAAATAATTATTCATAGAAAAAAAAACTGATTTGACATTGATGCTGAGATAGTGTGTACCACGGAAGAAATATAAAAGTTATCACTGATCTCATAAATGTAATCATTTTATTAGAATTCTGGATAGGCTACTCCACCCAAAAATTCAAATTCTGTCATCATTTACACACCCTCAAGTTGTGGCAAACCTGTTTCTTTCTTATGCTTAACACACAAAGGAAGATATTTTGAAGAACGATTGGAACCAAACAATTGTTTGGCACCATTGACTTCCATAGTAGATTATTATTATTTTTTTTTTAAATACTATGGAAGTCAGTGGTGTCCCACAACTGTTATGTTCCAAATTCTTTCTTCAAAATATCTTCCTTTGTGTTCAGCAGAAGAAAGATACTCATAGCCTACAGGTTTGCAACAACTTGAGGGTGTGTTCCAATTCGTCCAAAGTTTTCCTTTAGATGTTTCTCATTCTCCCAGCTCTCCTGCAACACTGCTTTATTGAGATGTGAATTAGTATGCCCTTGTAAACCAGCCCAATGGTTTGCTATCAACTGCTTCCTTCTTAACTCTAGTGGCAGTTCTCCCATCTCAACCTGTATGGCTGTAAATGGTGTTGTTTTAAAGGCTGTTCAAATGGCAATACTCCTTTTAATCATGCAACACATTTATTACTACTAGTGTAGTTCCTTCTATTTCGTCATAAAAACTCCTCCATCTAGTCCTTTTTGCTTGGCGAATTGCTCTTCAGTTTGCTGCCATAATAATTGGTTAAGTTATATGGTCTTTAAAATCATCTATGCTTCCAGAAACATCCATTCTAGTCATTGCATCATCACTCAATTTCTAAAACTTATCCCAAACAGCTTTCCCAAAATTCTATCATCTGGTCCTATTTCCAATCTTCCACCTACTGAGATTGGAGGAGTTTGGTAATCAAAGGTCTTTTACCAAGCAACCAACGACGTACAAGCAGCTGCTGTGAAGTAGGATAAACGCTAGATAAATGGAGAAGCAAATTCTGCTTTTAATTAAGTGCTTAAAAAAGAGAAGTTTTGATAAACTTCATAGAAAAGGCAAAGCCTATCACTTTTCATGGGAGTCCGTTATTATTTGTTTTGTTGTCAAAGTGAAGAACGTCATGTTGCGTGTTTCCGTTATCAAACATCGCTGTTCTTTATCTTGTATCATTAATGTGACGCCATTGTCAGACAGGACTATGTGTATTTTTTTTTACAGTTGGCTTTCAAATCATTTTGAAGTTTGGACACCAGTGGGGTGTCCTAAGACAGTTTGTAATTTTTTATTTTTTTTGGCAATTTAGGATGCTTCTGTAATAGCCTTTATCTATCCTTAGTTAAAACAATGTAATAAAAAAGTTTCCATGAGAGCTAAATCTACTTACAATATGTTCTCATAAAGGTATATTACCGTCTCAATTTATTTTCTTAATATTTCTCTTGTGGTCCATATGCAGTGAAATACACGATGTGTGCTCCAGAGAGAATTTATCTTTCACTTCAGGGTGAGTAAATAATGCCAGAGTTTTCATTTTTTGCCTTTAATACTGGAATAAAGTCATTTTCAAAGAGCGATCTATGGAAAGAGTTTACTGCTAATGTTGTGCTGCCTGCCAATGTTACCACAAATATTGAAATATAGATTTCTAAAATTCCCTTAGGAATTGGCTGGAATATGTAGTTAAATACACAGTTGTATAAATCAGTTGTCCCTGTCATTTAAGTGAAAGGAAGTGTGTTAATAGAGGAGAACATAGCAGAGTTTTAGTTTGTCATATAGCAGCCCTTCAGAACACCTTTTACCTTTTCAGATTAAGTGTCCAGAAGAAATGGTTTCTCAGATGATTTTTTTCTCTAGCAGTCATCTTTAAAAGTTCCTGCTGACATGATCTCTAACTAATTCTTTTCATGCAGGGTCAGACAAAACGGTGAAACAGAGCCACAAACCTGTAAGTAATGAGGAATTTCCTATCATGTGTGTTTGTTACAATGAGACTGTGAAACACTCATTATTTCTCTGTTTATTAAGATTATTTACAGTTCATTTTCAAATTGGGATCAGGATTTGACTGAATTGACATTTCAAGGTAAGCTTATATTCTGACTTTTTAAAATGAGAGCTCTTCTTTGATTGCTGATCAACATTGTAATTGCTGCTGTGTTTGTGTCTGTACTAAGGAACTCAGTGTCCTTAAATGATGTCACATAATGAGGTCTCTGCCAGAATAAGAGACATTGTGCTGTTGCATTTTTCTGGCTTGCCTCGCTTTTTCAGTTCTCCCTCACAGACACACTCAGCACATTGGCTCCTAATGCGTTCATGCCTTGCCGGAATTACAAGACTCCAATTTGTAAAAAGAAAATTGGAAATAAAAATTGTGAAATGTGTGTTATGTATAACACATAACATGTGTTATGTTATGAAAAATTTCGCAAATAATAATTTAAAACCTTTAAAAATGTTTAAATATTCTAGTAAAATATGGAATAATTTTGCTTAGTTACATCACATTTTGTTTTTTATTTAGCACTGCGAATATGTTTTATATAACAGATGTTTACATACAGTCCACAAGAAATGTTTATTTCTGCATTTATACAAATGAAGCAGTTCAAATGTTTGCATACACTTAATTGATTCTCAGTAAGGTGTCATGACCTAGATGATTCATGACTGTATTATGATTTGTTTTTATGATAAGTCCCATGTTTGTCGTAAGCAGTTCTGTTCTGCCCACAGTTCTTCAGAAATATCATCTAGGCCCAGCACATTTTTTGGTTTTCCAGCACCTTCTGCCTATTTAAACACTTTTTCTAACAGACTGTAAGATTTTTGAGACCCATCTTTTCACACTGATGACAGTTTCACACTGCACGCGTTAGCAGAGCGGAGGCAGTGCGTCAGTAGTAAGTATGGTGAGCGGGAGCAGCACACGGCCGTTTTGTTTTCACACTGACACTCGTTTGTCGCACACATCCGCGGCTTACAGGCTTTTGAGGTTGTGGTCAACTAAGTAATTAGACAGATTTTGTATTTTTTTAAAATAAATAAATATTCGTAGGTAATCATTTACATTTAAAATTTATTCATTTAGCTGACGCTTTTATCCAAAGCGACTGACAATTGCTATATACCTGTATGTCAGTGGTCGCACGCAGTGGCGTAACTTTGTTTTAAAAAGTGGGTGGGACATTTGTATAAATGAATGAATCACGTGACACGTGAATAAAAACATAGATCCGACTTTACAACATGTGTCCTTTAATGGTCAAGTCAAGTCAAGTCACATTTATTTATATAGCGCTTTTCACAATACAGATTGTATCAAAGCAGCTTCACAGTGATAATGGTCCAGTGGAATAGCCTATACAGAAAGTCCTGTAAAATTAAACGAATAAATTGACCTAATAATATGAATAAAAATTAGATAAACAAAAATATAGGCCTACATAAAAGTTTTAAAAGTAAATTAACTATTAGGCCAGAATTTTGATAACTGATTTTTTTGCGGAATGCGCACGATTAAAATTTGGATAGGCTTATAGCCTATCCATTGTACACACAAACTGCTGTACAATTAAACGAATAAATGGGCCTAATAATATAAATAAAGATAAAAAAATAAGTATATAAACAAAAATGTAAAAAAATAAAAAAAATAAAGGCCTACATAAACATTTTAAAAGTAAATTTAAAAAGTAAATTAACTATTAGGCCAACATTTTGATAACTAAACTTTTGCACAGCGTGCACACATAAAATAAAATTATGCTTATATCAATTGTACAAAAAAAATGCTGTAAAATTTAAACGAATCAATGGGCCTAATTATATATAAATAAAAATATACAGGTTAGGCCTACTGTAGGCTACATCAACGTTTTAAAAGTATGCTAAATGAACTATTAGGCCAAAATTTGTATAACTGAACTTTTGTGCAGATGGCTACAATTGGCTGATGTTGTCAAACTTTAAAAGAAAGAAAGAAAGAAAGAAAGAAAGAATTGCTTTCCTTATCTAGCCTACAGTTCTTTTGAGTTCACCTTCAAGAACACAAGTTTGGACAATGTCTGAGGCTTCAGACTCATGCGGTGGTTGCGGAGAAAACCCTCATGCCCTTGCAGACCCGCTTGGGATGCTGAACACAATGCGAGCTTCTTTAGCCAGGAGGGGGAAAGACGTGGAGTCAGATTTGTGGTGTGAGCGGTGCGAAATAGGAGCGGGAAATAGGGCGACGCTCCGTCCTTTTAAAAATGCCATTCTGCGCTCTGTCCAAGATCCGCCCGCTCGCGCTCCCCGCTCACTCCCGCTCCACAACCGCGCCACCGATCGCAGACGGAGCACTTTAAAAAACAACGTATTTCAGGGCTAGATCGCTTCTTTTATTTTACAAACGGACGAAATGAATGGTCTGCCAGTTGGAGATGTTTTATTTATTTCTACTGTTAGCTATATGTGCCGCGAGAGCTTTTAAAAAGTGGTGGGGACAATATCGACCCTGGCAAAAAGTGGTGGGGACATGTCCCACCCGTCCTACCCGCAAATTACGCCCCTGGTCGCACGCCTCTGGAGCAACTAGGGGTTAAGTGTCTTGCTCAGGGACACATTGGTGTCTCAGTGATCGTTCTCCAAAAGAGAACAACTTAACAAAATCATTTAGATTGTTGAAATATACACATCTAATTTACATAATCTGTTCTTATGGGACTATATATACTGTATATGGGATTGTACGTGACATTATTCCAGCTGTCACAAACTCTAACTATTTTTTTTTTTTAACAGGGCCGGACAGTAGGGTGGCAGCTCGGTCATCTCTTGTAAGTGATGAGGAATTTCCTATTATGTGTGTTTGTTATAACGAGACTGCTTTTGATTTTAAACTAATTTTCAACGTACTCTGTCAATGAACTCCTTAACACTGACCATTCTCTCCTTATTAAGCGGCCCGCTATCTCACTGTTTGGGGAGGATGATTGGACTGAAAGAAACCCGATAATGCAACAAGGTAGGCTAATATTCTGGCTGTTTAAAATGAGAGCTGTACTTTGATTGATCTTGAAGTAAATCACCAACTGAATAACACAAAACACTATAAGAGTTCAGATCCAGAATTTAAAAGTTGATGCAGTAATATAGTAAAAGTTTTTTTTTTTTAAACAAGTGTGATTTGAATCTTGATCGAGCAGTTCTCACATTGATGGTCATATTTATTCAGAGTTACTGAACAACAAGTTATAATTTGGGTTTAGTTATTCAGTGCAACCAAATACTGTAAGTTCTTGGTTTAAAAGTATTGTCTGTTCTTTTGTGTATATAGTGCTGTTAAACCAGACTTTTCATCTCAGGGCAGGGGCAGAGTGGGACCAAAAAATCTACCGGGAAATTTCGTAGACCACCGGCCCTCGTTGCTGGCAGGGCTGGATTAAGAGTTCAGAGGCCTCTGGGCACAATAGCCGCTCTCCGACCTGAGGGACTTTTGCAGTTCCTAGAAGCTAACGTTCCTACAACCCTTTTTTCTTGTGTTCCGACCGGACTAAATGGGCTCTATGCACGGCGTTATTTCCGGTGAAGGTGTAAGGATGCTCGATAACTTCCGCCGATCATAGAGTCCAATGCAATAGCGAGAATTTATATTGAATTTTATACTCCATGGTTATACTAAAGAAACGTTAGTCACAAAAACAGATAAAACAGACACCCCTCGTTGTGTTTATGCTTCTTTTTAAAATTATATCAAATAAACATAACTATATATAAAATTACATCTAAACGTATGTACGTATCGTTTCAAAGACGGGAGGACAGTAAATATTGAAGACTCTGCCATAATCCCGTTTTCTCCGGTTTTCCTCCGCTTTAATCTACACAACCGGAAATGGACGAGCATCCTTGCGTCAAATGAGGAACTTATGCGTGCATATAGCCCATTGGGGATTTTTAGTTCCTCAGACCTAGTTACTATAACTCTTTCAGTCCCTAGTCTAGAGCGAGGACTTTTTTAGTTCCCTTTCCCTAGGTCTACGTTGATTGGTTCAACTTATAAGTCATGCCCACTGTCAACACGGAACTTGTAGCGCGCTGTCTGCCATACGCTGTGTGTTTTTGCAAAACATTACAACGAGGATTAAGACAAACTTAACGCATTCAACCAGCTAATTGCTAATGCTAGCTAAACTTACCCGTCGTTTTGTTTGCCTCCTGCGCTCTGCTCTTTTATCTTCTTCCATCATATTACTTAACATCATATTACGCTGGAGCCTTCGTCTTCTGTGTTTCTCTGTACAGAACTCAAGCATAATCTTTAAACGCCGCCATTCATTCTCCGTTATTAAGGTCCCGGCAAGGCAGAAAAGGAACATTGCAATAGCCATGCTGGTTTGTTGTTGTTGTTTGTGGCCGCGCTACGTCTAGTGATGACGCTATAAAGACCATCGCCGTGCTTGCGTTACCCCTCCTACCAGTTCCTATGGCCATTTGGCCAGTGCGAACGCAAGCAGCAAAACTGAGTTTGGGGGAGAGTAGTTCTTCGAACTGTTTAGAAGTGGACAGCTCCTATAACTAAGTTCCTGTAACTACTTGGTCAGAAAGCGGCTAATGTCTTGTAGGCCCCCTCTTAGGCAGGGCAAATGTATATATAAATACTATGCTGGAGTAAAGGTCATGAATGTTTTTTTCTTTCCCATAGGAATTTGTAAAACTATGTTGGGTGGACCTCTGTCTCTCTAGGGGGGTTTGGGGGCATGCTCCCCCGCAAGAAAATGTTGTACATTATAAGGTTAAATGCATCAATCTCGTGCTCTTTGAGAGATCAAAATTAAGAGCTTCAATCCATGAACTGCTCGTTGAACAAAGAAAAAGCATTGATTTGTACCAGAACAATAAAGAGGGCTCAAATATCTTTTTAGTTATGAGTGTCTCAGTCTACATTACATTATCAATGGTGTTTTAGGATGCGGAACAATTATTATAATAATGCAACAAGGATTTATATACCGACAATTATTCCATGACATAAAATCCATATAGCCTATAAATGTAAATGAAAATGAATAATTCAAAAGTATATTTTAGCCTACAGTACACTATAATATAGGAAAATTAAAATACTTTTGTCCTAATTTCTTTACTTGCAAGAATTAAACCCTTGAGCTGTTATTTAAGAGAATATACCAGATAACCATACTGATCGCATGAGCAAAGTGCACACTTTTCTTTAAATCATCCAGCACAAACAGGATGCCTATTCTTAAAGTCTTGTGCTGTTTTATAAAGGCACAAAGCCATATCATGGTTTCAAAATATAAAAATCCATATCAAAATATAACGCTAGAGACCTTTATGTTAGGTTATACATTTTACATCTCATATTATAGGGAAAATGAAGAAGATAGAGTTCAGCAAAAGACGGATTTGAACTCGGGTTGAGTGCATCAAAAGCTGCTTTCAAGCACTTCACGTCCTACGCCACTGTAGCTATTTTGTGACGGGCATCTTTTTGCTAAAAAGACAGGCACTTAGTGCATATATACGCTCCGTTATCAAAAATGTAAAAACATTTTTTTCTTCCCCTCGCTTGGGCCCCAAGTGCGCATGGCTAACTGGCTATGAATAAATTTTATCAGACCAGCCCTCGTGGCCTCGAAACACTACCGGCCCACAGGGCAAACTCCCGACTCTCCCGATATTGCCACTCAGCCCCTGTCTCAGGGTGACCGTATTATGTGATTATTCTCCATTTAATTTATCATTTTGTATTGTGGGACTAAAAAATGTTTTATGTTTTCCTCTAGCCTGGCATAATATGGTATGTCAGTATAAGAAGTCAGTCATCTGGCATGAGAATGAGAGGAGTTTCCTCTCTGGTGAACAAGTCTCGCTGGCTGCCCGGTACACTGAACCTGTGATCATTCAGAAAAGCAAAAAGGGCAGTTTTCAGAATATTAGTGTGGATAAGTTGTTGGTACACGTCGGTCTGTCTAATCCAACTATTATTCTCCAAGGAAATTCTGGTAGTGGAAAATCTTCAATAGCACAAAAGATTATGTTGGACTGGGCATCTGAAAAAAATTACCAAGAGTTTGATCTAACTTTCTACCTGAGGTACGAAGAGGTGAAGTGCATTTCTGGGGAGAGGAACTTGATTGAGCTCCTGAGCTTGAATTGTAGTTTATCGTCAGATCAGATCTTAAAGATGATTTCAAACCAGTGCTCATCATCATTGATGGTTTTGATGATCTTGATGAACTTAGATTCACGCATCATGAATTTTACATAGCGTCTCCATTCCAGAGAGCCCCACCTGAGGTCATTATTTGTTCCTTGCTTCGTCAACAAATCCTGTTCAGTTCTTCCCTGCTCATCACTACTAGAACTGAGATCCCACGGGGCGTGTTTCTCATGGGACAACAACGTTTCTTTAAGATTGTTGGTTTCTGTGAAAAAGGGGTGGAGGAGTACTTCCAGAAGTTCTTTCAGGATGATGAACTCTTCAGAAAAGCTTTTACGTATGTGAAGGCAAATAAATCCCTCTTCACCGCCTGCTTCATCCCTGTTAACTGCTGGATCATCTGCACAGTTATGCGGGAGAGGTTCAGTGACGGTGCGGAAGCAGCAAGTGGACTGGAAACCACCTCCATCTATGTTGACTTTGTGTCCACTCTACTGGAGCATCACTGCCAGGGTTTGAGTCAGTCCGTCCCGACCCTGCTGAGGAGTCTGGGTCAGCTGGCAGAGAGAGGGATGCTGGAACAGCAGGTCCTGTTGATGAGAAAACTGTCAATGAAACAGTTTCAGTCCCTTATCCATTCTTGTCTAAGTTCCTCATTAAGAGAATGATCCACCAGGAGACGATGTTCAGTTTCATGCATCTCAGCTTTCAAGAGTTCTTCACTGCTCTGTACTGTGTCCTTCTGGATGAAGAAGAGTCCCAGAGGAAAGTGAGAGAGCTGCTTCACACGGTAGAGAGAGGATGGGCTCTGTCCGGTTGGTCTGATAGAGACTTTTCAATGGCAGATGTAGAAGTTAGAAGATGCAGCCTGTGATTCTGTTCCTCTGTGGTCTCTGTAACAAAGAGTGGATCCACTCATTTTTTAAAAAGCACAACATGGCTGTCTCTATTAACATAGAAACCCAGCTTAAGGAATGGCTCAATCAGTGCTCACAGAGATATCAAAATGAACACATGCTGTTCATTCTCCATTGTCTCTGTGAGCTTCACGAGAAGAGCTTCGTTGGAAAAGTTTTGGAACATTTGGTTTCAATAGATCTGTCAAATATTCCACTGGAAACTTCCACTTTCCACTGGAGCAACTAGGTGTTAAGTGTCTTTCCCAATGCTCAGGGACACATTGGTGTTTTGCTTTGGACTCAAACCCGGGTCTCTCGCACCAAAGGCATGTGTCTTATCCACTGCGCCATCACCACCCCTCGAATTGATACCTGAATTAAATGTACTATTATATATTATTGCATTTTTATTACATATTAGCACTCACCTCCACAAAAATCGTTCTCCAAAATAGTAAAACTCTACAAAATCATTTAGATTGTTGAAATATACACATCTAATTTACTAAATCTGTTCTTATGGGAATATATACAGTATACTGTAACTGGGATTGTACATGACATTATTCCAGCTGTCAGAAGCTCTAACTATTTTTTTTTTTTAAACAGGGCCGGACAGTAGGGTGGCAGCTCAGTCATCTTTTCTTGTAAGTGATGAGAAATTTCCTATTATGTGTGTTTGTTATAATGAGACTGCTTTTGATTTTAAACTATTTTTCAAATTACTCTGTCAGTGAACTCCTTAACACTGACCATTCTCTCATTATTAAGTGGCCCCCTTTCTCACTGTTTGGGGAGAAAGATTGGACTCAAAGAAACCCGATAAGCCAACAAGGTAGGCTAATATTCTGGCTGTTTAAAATGAGAGCTCTACTTTGATTGATCTTGAAATAAATCACCAACTGAATAACACAAAACACTATAAGAGTTCAGATCCAGAATTTAAAAGTTGATGTAGTAATATAGTAAAAAAAAATTTTTTAAACAAGTGTGATTTGAATCTTGATCGAGCAGTTCTCACATTGATGGTCATATTTATTTAGATTAACTGAACAACAAGTTATAATTTGGGTTTAGTTATTCAGTGCAACCAAATACTGTAAGTTCTTGGTTTAAAAGTATTTTCTGTTCTTTTGTGTATATAGTGCTGTTAAACCAGACTTTTCATCTCAGGGCAGGGGCAGAGTGGGACCAAAAAATCTACCGGGAAATTTCGTAGATCACCGGCACTCGTCGCCGGCAGAGCCGGATTAAGAGTTCAGAGGCCTCTGGGCACAATATCTTGTCTCTTAGGCAGGCCAAAATGTATATTTTGTCCAAGGACATTTTAATATGGCATTTACAGTTTTACTGACTTAAAGGGAACTTTGTTGTACTATGCTGGAGTAAAGTTCATAAATGGTTGTTTTTTCCCATAGGAATTTGTAAAACTATGTTGGGTGGACCTCTCTGCCTCTTTGGGGGTTCGGGGGCATGCTCCCCCGCAATTTTTTTGTACATTTTAAGGTTAAATGCATCAATCTCGTGCTCTTTGAGAGATCAAAATTAAGAGCTGCAATCCATGAACTGCTCGTTGAACAAAGAAAAAGCATTGATTTATTCCAGGACAATAAAGAGGTCTCAAATATCTTTTTAGTTATGAGAGTCCCAGTCTATGTTACATTATCAACGGAGTTTTTGGATGCCGAACAATTATTATAATAATGATTTATATAATTATTCCTATATGAATGAAAATGAATATTTCAAAAGTATATTTTAGCCTACATTACACTATAATATAGGAAAATTTAAATACTTTTGTCCTAATTCTTTATAATAATAATTGTTCTTCACTTGCAAGAAATAAACCCTTGAGTTTTTATTTAGGAGAAACACCAGAAAACCATACTGATCGCTTGAGCAAAGTGCACACTTTTCTTTAAATCACCCAGCACAAACAGGATGACTATTCTTCGCAAAACGCAGATTTGAACTTGGGTCGAGCGCATCAAAAGCTGCTTTTAAGCACTTCACACCCAATGACCTACGCCACTGTAGCTATTTCTTGAGGGGCGTCTTTTTGCTAAAAAGACAGGCACTTAGTGCAAATATACACTCCGTTATCGAAAATGTAAAAAAAATATATTTATTCTCCCCCTCGCTTGACTAACTTGCTATAAACAAATTTTATCAGACTGGCCTTTGTGGCCTCGAAACACTACCGGCCCACAGGGCAAACTCCCGACTCTCCCGATATTTCCACTCTGCCCCTGTCTCTGGGTGACTGTATTATGTGATTATTCTCCATTTAATTTATCATTTTGTATTGTGGGACTAAAAAATGTTTTATATTTTCCTCTAGTCTGGCATAATATGGTATGTCAGTATAAGAAGTCAGTCATCTGGCCTGAGAATAAGAGGAATTTCCTCTCTGGTGAACAAGTCTCGCTGGCTGCCCGGTACACTGAACCTGTGATCATTCAGAAAAGCAAAAAGGGCAGTTTTCAAAATATTAGTGTGGATAAGTTGTTGGTACACGTCGGTCTGTCTAATCCAACTATTATTCTCCAAGGAAATTCTGGTAGTGGAAAATCTTTAATAGCACAAAAGATTATGTTGGACTGGGCATCTGAAAAAAATTACCAAGAGTTTGATCTAACTTTCTACCTGAGGTACGAAGAGGTGAAGTGCATTTCTGGGGAGAGGAACTTGATTGAGCTCCTGAGCTTGAATTGTAGTTTATCGTCAGAACAGATCTTAAAGATGATTTCAAACCACACACAAAGAGTGCTCATCATCATTGATGGTTTTGATGATCTTGATGAACTTAGATTCACGCATCATGAATTTTACATAGCGTCTCCATTCCAGAGAGCCCCACCTGAGGTCATTATTTGTTCCTTGCTTCGTGAACAAATCCTGTTCAGTTCTTCCCTGCTCATCACTACTAGAACTGAGATCCCACGGGGCGTGTTTCTCATGGGACAACAACGTTTCTTTAAGATTGTTGGTTTCTGTGAAAAGGGGGTGGAGGAGTACTTCCAGAAGTTCTTTCAGGATGATGAACTCTTCAGAAAAGCTTTTACGTATGTGAAGGCAAATAAATCCCTCTTCACCGCCTGCTCCATCCCTGTTAACTGCTGGATCATCTGCACAGTTATGCGGGAGAGGTTCAGTGACGGTGCGGAAGCAGCAAGTGGACTGGAAACCACCTCCATCTATGTTGACTTTGTGTGCACTCTACTGGAGCATCACTGCCAGGTTTTGAGTCAGTCCGTCCCGACCCTGCTGAGGAGTCTGGGTCAGCTGGCGGAGAGAGGGATGCTGGAACAGCAGGTCCTGTTTGATGAGAAAACTGTCAATGAAACAGTTTCAGTCCCTTATCCATTCTTGTCTAAGTTCCTCATTAAGAGAATGATCGACCAGGAGACGATGTTCAGTTTCATGCATCTCAGCTTTCAAGAGTTCTTCACTGCTCTGTACTGTGTCCTTCTGGATGAAGAAGAGTCCCAGAGGAAAGTGAGAGAGCTGATTCACACTGTAGAGAGAGGATGGGCTCTGTCCTGTTGGTCTGATAAAGACTTTTCAAAGGCAGATGTAGAAGTTAGACGCGCAAAGTTTCTGCAGCCTGTGATTCTGTTCCTCTGTGGTCTCTGTAACAAAGAGTGGATCCACTCATTTTTAAAAAGCACAACATGGCTGTCTCTATTAACATAGAAACCCAGCTTAAGGAATGGCTCAATCAGTGCTCACAGAGATATCAAAATGAACACATGCTGTTCATTCTCCATTGTCTCTGTGAGCTTCACGAGAAGAGCTTCGTTGGAAAAGCTTTGGAACATTTGGTCTCAATAGATCTGTCAAATATTCCACTGGAAACTGCAGATTGCTGGATGTTGCAGTTTTGTTTACAGAACTGTGTTAACATTAACAATCTGAGACTCAATTTAACATCTGACAATTTGAAGATTCTTCAGTCTGCACTGCACTGTGAAGAGTTATGGTGAGCAAAGATCAGACTCTTTAAATGTTTACATTATCAAACACATTATCACTGCTCTTGATTATCTATTTACTGCACTAAAATAGATTCACTGTTATGTGATCTCTAATCGATTTCTTGATTTTATGTTCTGTTCACTTTTAAAGGTTGAAGGTGGATTACATTACAGATGAAGCTATGGATTTGATCTCAGCGCTTGGTGAAGGAAAGATTGTGAAAGAACTGATGTAATAAATATTTAATTTTAAACTTCAAGCAATATCTATTACTGCTGTATGGGCTCTATGCACGGAACAAATCCTGGACGTTTCCTATAAAATCTCAGCCAGTGCCTGTGCTTCCAGGGTCCTCTTTAGATCACGCAAAGTGCGTAACGTTTATTTAATATTCCAATGCCATTGTCAATTAAGTGGACTGTCATCTTTCTCCCTTACATTGAACTCTCGTTGCCTGATATTTATCAGAAAACAGGAAATTACTCTAAATATTCAAATTTTTTGGCTCACACCATTTCAAAGGATTGCTGTGTCAAGGAACCTTAATTTTCAGTAATTCTTTGACAATTCACCCCATATTTGGCAATGCAGTAACAGTAATCTTTTTTGTATAGTCATTTTATTACACATGACAAATTGACAAAGTATGAGTAGTGTATGAGAAGCTATCAGAGTCTTGTTAGCTTCTCTACTCAGCTGTGTAGCTACAGTAAATTAAAAGACAGCTTCCTGTCTTACACAACAATAGATACTATTCACAGATATTTGTGAAATGTGTGATCTTTTGCTTTCGAGTTAGTGAGGCTTGAGTTACCTTGCATAGAGTTCATTACTTTTTTAGTAAGGTACTAATAATATTATAATAATAAAAAATCATGTCTTTATTGTAATTTGCAGAATACAGGGTCAAAAGGGATCGAAATCTTTTAAGAAAAGGATTGAACACTTCTGCCGTGAGATTATTGCATCAGTTGAAAATGAAGATGTCACGTAAAAAAACCCTCTACTCATAGAAATGACAGCTTAACTTATGTTACTTGTGCAAAATTAAACTCTCAACCCCAAATTTATACCTCTGTGGCTACTGTAGGCTCTCTGTTTGCCGCTCAAAAACGAAAAGATCAACATTAATCTCAGAATTAACTCTCACCTGTTCACGCCCTGAGATTTCCTCTGTCAAATGGAGAATCTTCCTACAGAAACTTCTCAGATCACCAAGGTCTGTATTTAGTAAAGATTTTTATTCGATTACCTTGTTTGCAGTCTAATATAATTAAATTACCCACAAAACACCTGTTTGCCGAGAAATATTTGTTTTATTAAGAGATAATTTTTTAGTTAAAGGGATAGTTCACACAAAACATGAAAACTCTGTCACATTACTCACCGTCAAGTTGTTCTAAACATGTATGAATTTATTTCTTCTGCTGAACACAAAAGAGGATACTTTGAAGAATCTGGGGAACCAAACAGTTTCTGGTCCCCATTGACTTCTATTAGTTTTAAGGTTGTTTTTTTATTCAATGGGGATCAGGAAATGTTTAGTTATTTGTTTTCAAAATCTTCCTTTGTGTTCAGCAGAAGTAAGAAACGTGTACAGGTTTGGAACATCTTGAGGCTGAGTAATGTGACAGAAGTGTCATGTTTTGGTGAACTATCCCTTCAATAAATGTCATGGGACAATGTTTTCTTTGCTGAATGTCTCTGTGTGTGCATGGTCAATTGTTTGAATGCAAACCATCCAACCAATCATAATGAACAGACAGATCATGGTATACATTATTATACATGTCTACTACTGTACATGTCAGTATACTATGTTATTATACAGTATGTACACTATGTGCAATAATATTTACACTGGGGTGCAAATAACTTCTGCTATTTTTCTTTTTATAGGTCTCAAGATTCATCAGTGGATGAATTCTTCCCTCTCAATGTCCTGCGCTCTGTTCCTGGTTTAAAGAAAGTCCATATCCAGACAGACAGATGGGTTGACAGATGGAATCCCACAATCCTCTCCCTTGTCCAGGACTTTCCCAGTCTGAATGAACTCAGGTAATGGAAAGATCTACTCTTTTAATGTATTTGGTTGTGCTTGTGAATATTAAACTTATTTTTAAGTTGTTTTCACAACTTTACACATGTAGTTAAATGTTGTTGTTGTTTTTTTTTCATTCCAGGATAAATGCCGCAGTTTCATTTCATCCATTAAAGAATATAGAATCCCTGAGGGTATCACTGACACAAACAGGTTGGACCCTGAATGTGTAAGTATTAAAGCGTATATACAGTTGTTTAAATTATTCAACCCCCATTGTTTTCAGCTGATTGCAATGAACAAATCAAACAAAAGTAATGGAAATGTCTCAACACAACAAATGTTTCAAGTGATTTCCCCAAATTAAACTGAAAATGCAAATTTTAATCTTTTGCAGTCTCAAAATTATTTAACCCCTTCATTGCAAGCATATTTAGTACTAAGTAGAACATCCTTTTTAGGGATGTCATGATACCAATCTAGTAGTTGGCACCAATTCCACCAAAAGTACACAATACTCGATACCAAAGTCGATACCACGGTATGAGAATAAAAAAGAAAAGAAAAAAAGAGCAATAATACTTTAACTGCTTTATTTAAACCTTTCAGGGACTGAATTTCATTTCGGACAACTTTTAAACATATTTTAAAAAGAAGGAGGAAATCCTACACTCTATCAATACTTGCACAAAGCATAAAAAAATATTTATTAGCAACGTTTTGGTCTCACGACTTTCATCAGGAATATATAACATACTGTTCAAGCTCAATCACGTTTAAAATAATATCATGACCAATCACTGTGAAGATCCATCAATTACCAATCACACTTAATAACTGAATACTTCATTAAATAATAAGTTACATCAAAAATTAAATAAAAAATTGTACATTATATCACATGAAATAATGCTTTATCATTCTTGCAAAGTCTGAAGGGTAAAAATCCAAAACAACTCACTTCTCTGTGAGAGCAATTCAGTATCAACCCCTCTATGTGGCACACTCAAAACGATTTTTCAAAACGATCAATGGCCTCCAGTTCAGTATTATTCTTGGGTTTGCCGCCTTCAAATCCCACCAGAGATTTCCTATGTGGTTCAATTCAGGTGACTGTGATGGCCACTGTAGAATCTTCCAGGGCTTCTTCTGCAACCAAGCCTGGGTGGAATTTGAGATGTGCTTGGGATCATTTTCCTGTTGGAAGGTCCAATGATGCCCAAGCTTCAGCTTCCTCACTGATGGCATGACATTTTCTCCTAGGATTTCCTGATACTTCAATAAATCCTGCCTTCCATCCGCAGCAGGTTTCCAGTGCCAGTGGATGCAAAGCAGCCCCAGAGCATCACCGAGCCATCACCATGCTTAACTGACATACTGCTGAAATAGGGCCAAAAAGTTTGTTTCATCGCTCCACAGAACAGATTCCCCAAATTTCTTTGGATTATTTATGACGTTGGGCAAATTGGAGCCAACTTTTCATGCTCTTTTGAGTTAGTAGTGGTGTATGTCTTGGAGCTCTGGCATGTGTTTAGTATGTGCTTTAAGGTGCAAGCTGAAACCTCATTGTCTGTTGCCACCAAGTCTTGCTGCAGGTCTTTTGCAGTCACTCAAGGGTTTTTCTAAACCTACTTCTCAGAAATATGGTTGCAGCTGTTGATAACTTTCCATTTTCTGCCCCGTCCAGGTGTAACCACTGTTCCTTTTAACTTTGCACTTGCGAACTATGTTTCCAATTGTTTCTCTTGGAACATTTAGTACCTTCACTACTTTTTATATCTTTATATTTTATTTTTTTTGACTAACCCATATTTCTAACATGCAGATAAACAGGACACTCGACAAACCTAGCTAGTTCAGATATGTCATGTGTTCTATCTCAAGCACACCTGGTGAAACTAATCAATTCCTTGATTTGTTGCATCAGCTATGACAAAACACCTGTTTTGCAGGTTTGTGCAGTTGTGAGGGGTTCTATTCAGAGTGTTGAGTAATTTTGAGATTGCATAAACCATTAAAATGTGGATTTTCAGTTAAATTGAAACCACTTAAGACATTTGTTGTGTTGAACTATTTTCAATGACTTTTGTTTGAATTGAAATGGGGATTAAATGATTTCCATTACAACTGTGTAGTTTTCCTTCCCCATTTCTTTGCAGTTCAATGTAGCAGCTGTTATTACTGAACTACAAAATTTGTCTTTGAAAATGTTTTATTTATTTATTTTTTAATCTGTGTTCAATGTTTTCTCTTTTAGCTGGAGGAAGTCAGTGCTGATTGAGCGTGACCAAAGGAGTTTGACAGTTTCACAGTTGAAGACAATAAAGACAGAAAATATTGAGAGCAAAAGTAAGCAAATCTTGCACATCCCCTTGACTTTTATAAAGGTGTTGTAAGTACCCGTATGCTGTATGTTCTTTTGAATTTCATCCAGAAAACAGATGCCACTGAAATAGGTGTCCTGAAATATCACTCTTTTCTCTGTGACAGTTCTAGACTCTTTAGACTGAAAAAAGTTAAGATTCTTTGTTAGCCAATCAGAAGACTTTTTGCCAATATAAGTCATTTTGCAGAGAGCATCATTTGTTGGTGTGTTACAAGAGAATGCTGTTTTGCTACTATTGTTATTGACAACTATACCTATATAAAGTAAAAAATGTGTGTAGCTGAGTGCACTGTTTAGGTGTACTTGATATTTTAGTGAGAAATTGAGATTATGCGCTGCTATTGTTAAGCTCTACCTCTGATTACAGTGGGTCTCCAAGCATGTCTGTTTGCATAGGCGATATTACAATGAATGCTGGAGGTGCGTTTGCACTCCCTACTGCTGTTGGCGTATGATAATGACAAAAATATGTAACATGAAAGTTAAAAATATTTAAGAAAAGGTTTACATTTTTAATTAACTTTTTAAATGTCTCTAAAATCCCTAAAACAGCTGATCACTCATTGCACATTTAACTTTATATTTACAAAGTTCTCTTTTACTCACACAAGCAAATCCTTTTTGGGTGAACTATTCTTTTTGCTGATGTTAATGAAATGTGAAGAACTGTAGTCGTTATTAAGTGCAATTTGGGGGGAAAAATGCCTGGGAACAAACTCATCGCTTGCATACATCTGAAAAACAATGTTTCTTTTGAATATACTTTTATCGTGTGCAATTAGATGAGAACTAAACTCAAAAAAAAAAAAAAAAAGGTTTACAAAATATTTAAACCTAAATATCCAGTCTTTTCTCTGGGGTGGCAGATTGTGTTCTGTACTCTGCGTTTTCAATGTGTGCTTTATTTTGCGATAATGTCTGGCTAAGTATACATTATCCTTTACTTATTTTACTTGCCAAAGCCATTTTTATTAATCTGATTTGCTGCTTGGCAAGTATTCATTTTACTTTTTAATTTTGCTTTCGGTATTATTATTATTATTAAATACTTATTTTCGGTTTATATTACATGGCTTGGTTTTAATAACATACAAACTTGATGGTTATATAAATATAAACTATGATTGTGTTGTCTCACCTTTATTCGCCTCTCTCTAGTGCAGAAATTTTACAGACAGTGTCGACTTTAAAAAAAAAAAAAAATAAGTAACTCATATGCAAGTGTGTTAATAAATGCATTTGTGTCTAACTCTTCATTAGGAGCTGAATCACCTTCAGGACAGTCAGTGAGTAGCAATTGTCATGTAATTTTTCTTTCTTACAATCAGAATAAAAGAATAATTCTTTTCTTCACTTCAGTCCTCAGGTGATGCAGAAGTGTTCACACCTGAACATGTTCAGCAAGATGATGAGGACAAACACAAGAACACATACAGGTATTTCAACAATTGCTATTTTTTTTGGAAACTATAAGAAGATAGGGTGTTCAATTTCTGGTTCAAGTGACTTAATGTTTATTATTGCAACACTTCATAACAGCATTTGTTCTATCACATCATCACACACTGTAGGCTACAAGTGCTTTATTTTCATTATCTGTCAATTAACATTTCTCATCCAGTATTTGTTCACCTTCATATTCCTGTGTGATTATTCTATTTGATTGTTTTGACTGTGTATTGTTTATTAAAATATTTTGCTTCAATACTCTGGACTTTTTTCCTGTCAAATTTCTACTGTAATTTGGATTTGTATGTAAGAATGTTTCTAAAATCCTGATTCACACATCCCTAATCTGTTTACTTGAATTATTATTATCACCACATAATAAAAGATGTTGGCCATGATAATTTATTAAAATGAAAATGCTCTGTCCTCCAGGTTTGTGTGTCCACATGCTGGTCAGTTTCGTTGCAGTCTGACCAGCCTTGTGTTTGTGACGGAGGGTGAAGGAGAGGTGCTGTATAAAACTGTCTCATGGGATCCTCGTGTGTTAGATGGTTTGGGTCAGATGCAGCCAGCCGGACCCTTGTACAACATTGACTGTTCTCATAGTTCAATCTCAAGACTGCACCTTCCACACTGTGAAATCTCGGGCATGTTTATTTCTACATCAAAATATAATGGATGCATACAATGACAATTCTCACAGTTTGAGGATTTAAATAATCAGCTATGTTGGAAAACCATTTGTATAATAATATGATAATATAATAAAATAAAATATACTAATCTATCATTCTTATGTGTTTTACAGAGGAAAACAAAGACGGTTTGGCTGTAGCACATTTAACTGGCGGCAATACAGAAATAATGCAGCCTCTCCAAGTAACTGAAACTCATGTGATGATTAACATCAGAGATCTCTCCATCTTCGGGGTCTTAAAAAGGTTTCTTTTTCCTCCTTCCCCTATCGGCGCCCAAGTGCTTGTCTTTCTGCGACCAATAACTGTGAAACAGAGAGAAAACATACTGGATGTCCATTTGCTCCCATTTAATGTTCCGCTGTCAGAGGTATCATTATTTTTTTTTGTTGTTGTTCAAATGAAAACAAATGATTAAATACTAATAAAAAGTGTACTCATTACTTTGAACAAATGTGACCCTGGACCACAAAAGCAGTCTTATGTGTCCATTTTTTTTAAATTTTTTTTTTTTTTTTTTTTTTTTAAAGAGTTATGCATCACCTAGAAGCTGAATAAATAAGATTTCCATTGATGTTTGGTTTGTCAGGATAGGACAATATTTCAATATTTGGCCGAGATACAACAATTTGACAATTTGATATCGGGAATCTGAGGGTGCAAAAAAAAAAAAAAATCTAAATATTGGGAAAATCGCCTTTAAAGTTTCCATTTCTGTTGGTGTGACTGTGGTGTAAATCTATTGGGGGACACAATTTAAAATAATTTTTCATTATGTGAGGATGCTTTTCTAAAGATTTTGGAAGGAACCATTTTTCTGTTACCTCCTTTTATATCTAAAAATTCATAGCTTTTTTCTCCACTAAGGTCAAGGAACAGCATGTGGAGAATACCCACATTAAAACCAGTTCAAAGTGTTCGCTTACTCCGGGAACAGAATATAGTCTGTGTTGTCAACCAGAGGGATCTACAGTGCAGCCAGAGGTAACTTCATGTTAGGTTGCATGCTAAGTTTTGAGCATTTTTTTCATAATGGGTAATTTGTGGAATTGGTTTAGGTCTGTGATTTTAGTAATATAGTCCCTCGCCTTAATATTTCTGTTTTTGTTTTTGTTTGTTTTAGACTGAGATGTTTGAGTGTAATTTTGGTCCAAACTATCATCCCACATTTGAAGCATTTGTGAATGTCAACATTGACGAGGTCAAGCTGAGTATTTTGGATAAAACTGAAGGAAAGGAAGTGTGGGTTCCACGACGAATCCTCCTCACAGGTAACTAATGACAGTGACAGATGTTTTATTGTATCTCTACTTTCCGCATTGTAACACTAGTTACAAAATTAAAATTATATGAAAGTTTGAATCTTTCAATCTACACTGTAAAAAGATTTTTTGATGTTGTAAATAAAATGCATTATGGGCTATGGTCTTTTTACTTGAAGATTTTCATCTTGAAATCAATCTTACTTGCTGTTTTTTTTTGGTAATTATTTGTGGAAATGTACTTGCAATTATTGACTTAAGATTGTTTCCTAGCTTTTTCCAAGTAAATCCTACTCCAAAATGTAAAAATAAAGAATATTAAGTTGTACACTTACTAGGTAATCAATAGATTTACCTATGTTAAGTGTTATCTAACCCACTGTACTACATTCATTATGATCTGTGAAGTCTGTATTAATACGTATATAACTGCTGTTGTTTATTTATACCATGGTCTGGGTGAATACTCGATTCTGATTGGCTGCAGGGTGTCCGTTAAAAAGTGATAGAGGACACCTAGTAAAGTAGTTCTGGTGAAACTGCCTGTTTACCATTCGAAATGAATAAATAAATGCGCTGCCCACAACGGCTGTGAGTAACCATAGCAACAGGCAGTCACATGCTCTAGCTCTATCATCTAACGTTAGATATTATAGCCTACAACAATGAGCGACTTCGTGCTATTTCTTTTAACATTTATGGAGAATATGGCAACTTTGACGACTGGTATGCTGCTGAAGAAAGAAAAAATGTAAATAAAACGGAGAAAATTACACCGCTGCTGCTCTGCTCCATTGAACTCTATGTAACGACGTAACTTGCGACCATAGTTGGATAACGATGCTTTCGGGAAACGCACCCCTGAATGAGACCCTGCGGGAGTTTTACGCAGCTGTCCAGACAACCAAGGCAGGAGAAGGCTGAACGTTACAGCGTTTCAAGCCTAAGGAGCCTGAGGCAAATGACCCTCTCTTTGATCTGATTAATTTATTGCCCTCTATAACGTTAAGCGCAAATCGCTGGAGCTCAGAGCTAATTGTTTTTTTATTGTTGTTTGATTAATTGTTTTATGTGTAATAAAAAAAAAAAAAACTATGCCTACCTTTGTGTTTCATGAAAAAAATAATGCATTTGTGAACCTGAAGGGATACGAGCTAAGCGGACTATAAATATCTCCGGTTGCTAAATAAACAGTCAGGCAAGGCAAGTTATTATTTGTAAAAACTAGATTTAGCCTAATTAAAATATAAACTAATGTTTTAAAAATGTTTTATTTGGCAAGTGACCATGGTATAAGCGGGTTAATGCCCTCCGAGGTGTCCATTGTCAGGTTTTAATGGACTTCGGCGGAGGCAACCGTCCTCCGCTGCGCGTCGGCCGGTTTACGCCTCGCCGTCGTCCATTAAAACCTGACAATGGACACCTCGTCGGGCATTAACCCTTACATATATATATATATATATTAAAGTTGTATTTATGCAGATTTTTCAATGTTAAAATTTTTTTATTTCCTAATAACAACCAGGTAAAGATGCAGACCCTCCTGCTCACAAAACGCTAACAGGTATGAACTTAAAGAAGTTGTTCAATTAGTGCTGTCAATACATTAATTGCATTAAAATAAAAGCAGGGGTGTGCAGACCTCTGTGGGGGCTGAGGTGTTCGCGTTCCATGGGGTGGGTCCCATTAATCGATTTGACAGAAGGGATTTCAATTGGTTGGTCTATTGGTCTAAATATCTATCGCACAAAATCCCTTCTGGAAAGTAACTTTTTTGTTTTTTGTTTCAATCAGAATCTGTATTTGTGAAAAAACACAGGGATAAACTCATTGAGAGAGTTTTATCAGCGAAGGCGATTGCTGATGGTCTGAGTGCCAAAGACATGATTCCAGGTGAAATGTACAGTGACGTTAATGCTGCAAAAACACGACAGGAGAAAACAAGACTCTTGTTGGATGCTCTCAACTCAGGAGGAGCTTCTGTAAAAGCAGAATTCTACAGACTGCTGAAGGAGAAGGAACCTTATCTAGTAGATGAACTGGAGACTGGACACAGTGGAGTGGAGTAATGCTGATAAACCAGGAACTTTGGTCATTTTGAGACATAAATGCCAGCTCCAGCGTTAATAAAAATGTATATACACTCACCTAAAGGATTATTAGGATCACCAAGATACTAATACTGTGTTTGACCCTCTTTCACCTTCAGAACTGCCTTAATTCTACGTGGCATTGATTCAACAAGGTGCTGAAAGCATTCTTTAGAAATGTTGGCCCATATTGATAGGATAACATCTTGCAGTTGATGGAGATTTGTGGGATGTAGATCCAGGGCACGAAGCTCCCATTTCACCACATCCCAAAGATGCTCTATCGGGTTGAGATCTGGTGACTGTGGGGGCCATTTTAGTACAGTGAACTCACTGTCATGTTCAAGAAACCAATTTGAAATGATTCAAGCTTTGTGACATGGTGCATTATCCCGCTGGAAGTAGCCGTCAGAGGATGGGTACATGGTGGCCATAAAGAGATGGACATGGTCAGAAACAATGCCCAGGAAGGCCGTGGCATTTAAGCGATGCCCAATTGGCACTAAGGCGCCTAAAGTGTGCCAAGAAAATTTCCTTCACACCATTACACCACCACCACCAGCCTGCACAATGGTAACAAGGCACGATGGATCAATGTTCTCATTCTGTTTACGCCAAATTCTGACTCTACCATCTGAATGTCTCAACAGAAATCGAGAAATCTTCGACTGTCCAATTTTGGTGAGCTCTCGCAAATTGTAGCCTTTTTTTCCTATTTGTAGTGGAGATGAGTGGTACCCGGTGGGGTCTTCTGCTGTTGTAGCCCGTCCGCCTCAAGGTTGTGCATGTTGTGGCTTCACAAATGCTTTGCTGCATACCTCGGTTGTAACAAGTGCTTATTTCAGTCAAAGTTTCTCTTCTATCAGCTTGAATCAGTTGGCCCATTCTCCTCTGACCTCTAGCATCAACAAGGCATTTTCGCCCACAGGACTGCCACATCCTGGATGTTTTTCCCTTTTCACACCATTCTTTGTAAACCCTAGAAATGGTTGTGTGTGAAAATCCCAGTAACTGAGCAGATTGATAAATACTCAGACCGGCCCGTCTGGCACCAACAACCATGACATGCTCAAAATTACTTAAATCACTTTTCTTTCCCATTCTGACATTCAGTTTGGAGTTCAGGAGATTGTCTTGACCAGGACCACACCCCTAAATGCATTGAAGCAACTGCCATGTGATTGGTTGCGTTACTGAGAAATTGAACAGGCCGGATTTGTCAGTGCCCAGCGGCCAATAGGGCATCTAGTCTCTAGTCTATATGATATCTATGGTTACACCGCCTTCACACTGGCAGTTTAAAATCAGCTCTGATACGGCTCCGAAACGGCGGAAGTCATTCATTTTCTATGGAGACCCGCAGACTGCATGCGTCCAAACTGTCCAAAACGTGTCCGACCAAGTGTGGTGCGAAGAAAATCGTGTCCGTTGGTCAACTCTTGCGAAAAGCTACGGACGGTTCTTAGCCGACAATTCCAGCGGAAGTTGAGCGTTGCTATGGTGCTGATAAACAAACCTGAATTCTTACAATTTTAATAAAATAAATAATGGTTTTATAACGACAGTTTTTATAACGATGTCATGTTATTTTTTTATTTTCATGATTTTCTAATGTTAGTAGGGAAATACAATTAAAATGTAGGCTATAATTCAATAATTATATATTGTGGCCATTTTTTCTCACCCTGCGCATTCACATACTGTACAGCCAGAAAATTCAATGATGGCAAATCGTCGGCTGGTCAATGATCTTGCTGTTGCTCTCCTATACTGGAGACGTTCATGAGAAATCAACCTTTCTAATCTCACCGCCATTTTTGTTCTACCCGCTTCCGATGCTTTTCATAATGATCTATAATCTCATAATCATAATCTCAAATAATGATTTTCATATTCCACTACTAAATCATGTGATCTGAAGCTCAAACAGCGAACACAGCGAGAACTTTTTTATGTATTTTATTCAGTGTATGTATTTTTTCTTTCTTTTTTTATTGAAATATCAAGATTTACAGACAAACATGGCTGCATAACTTCCTTTTCTTCAGAATAGGATACAAAGAAAATATAGCCAGAGGGAGCAGCTCTTAATACAACAGGAATATAAATGTAGTCTTAGTACAAAAATAGGGATAGTTTGAAAATAAACATTTAAATAAATAAACCGCAATGAATTATATATAATATAATAATATTAATAATAATATATAATATAATATATGACATATGGGGAATTCAGAATTCAGTCTTCTCATCCATTTATCTCAGTTGGGAAGTGTTAGGGTATTGTATATGTTTTGTGCTTTAAGACCTTTCAAGGTTTTTAAGGATTTTTTATACAGTTTCATTAAAAAACCAAACAAATGTGAGATGATTTCACAATTCTACACTTGTGAATTAAGAATTTAGCTAGACATACAATTGTATTCGTACACAGCTCGTCACCCTTGCTTTGCAATATCAATCCAAATGTAATGTCGTCTCCGGAGATAAAGGTTGAGAATGACGATATCTGCTGCTTAACCCATTTATGTACATCACACCAAAATATCTGTATCACATTACATGAGCAAAACACATGGTCCGTAGTTTCAACATCATTTTCACAGAATGTACATGTGTTATCATCTAAACCAAAGCGAAGATTCATTAGAGGGGTAAATGTTATACATTTGTTCATTTATTCATACATTGTTCTTAGTTAGGTAATTGTCTTATTATCAAATGTTTGTATGATGTTATTTTTATTTTGCCTTTCAGGATAAAGGTATTCAGAAAAACAATTTCTAATAAAGTGGTTAGTGCATTTTCTATCTAACAAAGATCCCTTGAATTGATAGTGAGTGTGTCACAATAAATAAATAAAAACATAAAAAGAACAATAAATAAATATTCATCAAACAAAACCTTCAGAAGATTAAATAATTTAAGAGCTTTTTTGTTATGCACCAGTCTTAAAGCTTTGAAGAAGATCATTAAATCTTCATGGAAGAGTAAGAAAGTGGGAGCGTTCTTAAAGAATCTGCACTTGTATGAGGTAATTGGCCAAGTCCAACAGCACAATATTGTTCACCAAAAATTCAAGATCGTAACTCAAAGAAAAAGACATATATTTTATAGTTTTAAAATTAAAGTCAGGTATTTCAAAGTTTAATCTTAACCAAATATAAAGGTTAGGGACAAATAGGATGGAGCCCAGCCAGGTGCTTCTCGCCTCAAGCGGTGAGTAGTAGAATTGCAGTTTAATTCACTTCCGTGTTGGTTTCGAGAGAGACACCCAGGGACAAGATCAGATCAGAAATTTGGAGTTTGAGTACAACCATACGACTTTGAGATTCCCGATGTATTACGAGCTGATTGAGAAAGCTCGGAGAAGGAACTGATTTGCCGCAATCAAGGGTTCTACTTTGCCTTTATGGGACGGTAACTTAACGTTATGATGGCAAATACAGGTGGGTAGAGTATCCAAAAACTGTACTTGAGTAAAAGTACTTTTATAAATATTTACTCAATGTGTGTATAGCATAAGATATTTTTTAAGTTAAGTGACTATTATTTTCATAATTAGATGGCTATCTTTGCAACAAAAACAGAAGAAGCAATCATTGTTTCTGCAACCTGTTGCCCGAAAAAACATTGCCTGTGAAAATGTTCACGTTAGCTTCTAGCTGCGTTGTCCATCATGTTACTTAGCTTCATTAACGGAACGTTATCTGTAAATAACTGAAATAACAAATGTTAACAATGTTGTGCTGAATGATTCATGTAACTGTAGCACCAAACGATGATGCAACGATATGCGGTTCATCACGTTTACACGGTGACCTGTACATTTTTACCTGGCGGGAGCTGAAGCTTTTCATCGACCTTATCAACAATAAAATTATGAATATAACCCTCCAATGCATAGTTAAGGCTATTTAGGTTTACTTGGAGATGATATATAATCTTTATGTCTCCAAAAATCACCAATTACCCCCTGTGAAATGTCTCCTACTGTGACAGCTGTCACGACTGTCCCCGAATGTTTGTCTGTCTGAGTGACTGGAGGGGGCGTGGCTTAGCCATAGGTCAGTTCTGCCCTGGTTCTGCCCTTTGTCACATCATTTGTACCTCTGGCCAGCCACATTAAAAAAAAAAAAAAGTTTTCTCTACGGAGAAAGTAATTTTTCTTCTAAATCACAATTGTTGCACTCTATACTAAATTTTGATATTATAATTATTATAGATTCTTAACAAATTTTTTTTTGGTTGGGCTATATTAAATGTAAAGACATTTAAAGAAGCTGTAGTTTTTTAAGTCACAGTAAAGTTCATATTTTATTTAGAGGTGATGTGTGTCATTTCTGAGCCACTAGTGGAACCAAACAGAATTACAAAGTCGTTATGCTCTAGCCTGACATTTTTTCCACTGCTGTTCTCAATTATTTTCTCTTCTTTTTGTCATTTTTAGAGCCTATCACACAACCATTAGGTGCAGATGTTAAGCCCATGGACTATTCTGAAATTAAGATGAAGACACAAAGAGAAATCTATGGGGAACAAAAGCTTGGTATGGACACTTACTTGATCTGCTTAACATAATTTTCTTTTTCTAAAAATAAATTGCAATATTATGCTCTAGCCTGACATTTTTTCACTGCTGTTCTCAATTCTTTTCTCTTCTTCTTTTTTTTTTTTTTTTTCATTTTTAGAGTCTATCACACAACCATTAGGTGCAGATGTTAAGCCCAGGGACAATTCTGAATATAAGAGGAAGAGACAAAGAGAAATCTATGGGGAACAAATGCTTGGTATGGACACTTACTTGATCTGCTTAACATAATTGTCTTTTTCTAAAAACAAATAGCAATATTAAATGATGAATAATCAGATTAATTCTATTGTTGGTTAATCAAACAATATCCTTTAGGAATTCAGGATATTGTTCATCAGTATAAGCTGTCAATCAAAAAGAAGTATGAAATTAAGTATGTGTTGAGCTTCCTGTGTGGTGAACTAGAGTCCCTTTCTGCCCTATATTCTGAATCACTGATGCAAAAAACAAAACAAAAGTGAAAGACAAGTTTAAGAACATCCGTTTGTCTGAGTGGTTTCCGTTGTATGGTGTGATAACTGTCATTCTCTGAGGCCAAGGCAACTCTGGCATTGGTTCATCTAGCATAGCACAGAAGATTACGTTGGACTGGGAATCAAAAGTACTTTCTGCTAGACGTTTTAATCTAGTTTTCAACGTAACAGAGTTCTGAAGAGATTAACTTAATTGAGCTCTTGAGCGGGAAATGTAGTTTAACATCTGATCAGGACTGATTGCTTACATTGTGATTATGTAAGTGATAATATTGGATTAACATCACTTGACACTTTATCAGACAGTACATAAAGAACAACTATCAGTGTCTGAAGCGTACCATGTCTGAAACTCCTGAATTGTTCATGAATGAATCATTCACTGTTTTCTATTGAATGTCACATAGTAATGTGTATTAATTTGTGTAAATGTGAACACATTTTCTGACAATATTGTGCACTTTATTTTGTGTCCTGAATGATGATAGAAATACATTGAAAATCTAATCTGATCATTTAGAATCATCTTGAGATACAAAAAATCAGATTGTGTGCCCAACATTTTGTGTGTATTTTAGATTAATAATTTAAAAGCAAAAACTTAATTCAGTGCAGTAAACTCTTTTATTTTGTCTGTTAATCATCTATTTCTCTTTTAGGTTTTAGTGAGATTGTACAGCAATACAAGTTGGCTGTCAAACAGAAGTATGAGAGTGAGTGGAGCTTTGTGTCTGGTAAACAAGAGTCATTTGCTGACCTCTTTATTGAACCAGTGATCATTCAGAAAAACGAAAATGACGTCTTTAAGAACATCAGTGTGAGTGAGATTTTCCAGTTCTGTGATCCAGTGAGTGTAATTCTCCAAGGCAACACTGGCAGTGGCAAATCCTTCATAGCACAAAAGATTATGTTGGACTGGGCATCTGAAAGGTTACACTGGTGTTTTGATCTAGTTTTCTATCTGAGGTGTGAAGAGCTGATGTGTATATCTGAGGAGATGAACTTAATTGATCTCTTGAGCTACAGCTGCAGTTTAACATCTGATCAGATCTCAAAGATGTTACAGCAGTCACCAGAGAAGGTGCTTTTCATCATTGATGGATTTGATGAACTGAGACTCACAGAACACATTTATGGCATGTCGGCAAACACTGATCTGCTTCAGAAAGCCCCACCTGAGGTCATTCTTTGTGGCCTCATTAGGAGGTACCTCATCTCTGAGTCCACACTGCTGGTCACTACCAGAACTAAGAACACTGTGAACAAGCTGCTGAACGGACAAAAGCGTTTCTCTGAGATCATGGGCTTTTCTGCAAGTCAAGTGGACGGGTACTTCCAGAAGTTTTTCAGGACAGAGTATGACTGTGTGAAAGCAAATAAATCCCTCTTCACTGCCTGTTCCATACCTGTTATCTGCCGGATCATCAGTGAGATGTTCAGAGTTGGTGCAGATGTAACAAGTGGACTGGAAACCAACACCTCCATCTATGTTGACTTCGTGTGCACTCTACTGGAGCATCACTGCCAGGGTTTGAGTCAGTCCGTCCCGACCCTACTGAGGAGTCTGGGTCAGCTGGCAGAGAGAGGGATGCTGGAACAGCAGGTCCTGTTGGATGAGAAAACTGTCAATGAAACAGTTTCAGTCCCTTATCCATTCTTGTCTAAGTTCCTCATTAAGAGAATGATCCACCAGGAGACGATGTTCAGTTTCATGCATCTCAGCTTTCAAGAGTTCTTCACTGCTCTGTACTGTGTCCTTCTGGATGAAGAAGAGTCCCAGAGGAAAGTGAGAGAGCTGCTTCACACTGTAGAGAGAGGATGGGCTCTGTCCTGTTGGTCTGATAAAGACTTTTCAAAGGCAGATGTAGAAGTTAGACGCGCAAAGTTTCTGCAGCCTGTGATTCTGTTCCTCTGTGGTCTCTGTAACACAGAATGGATCCACTCATTTTTTAAAAAGCACAACATGACTGTCTCTATTAACATAGAAACCCAGCTAAAGGAATGGCTCAATCTGTGCTCAAAGAGATATCAAAATGAACACATGCTGTTCATTCTCCATTGTCTCTATGAGCTCCATGAGAAGAGCTTCATCGGGAATGTTTTGCAAGGTTTGAATTTGATAGATCTGTCAAATATTCCACTGAAAAGGACAGACTGTTGGGTGTTGAAGTACTGTTTACAGTGCTGTGAACACATCAGAAACCTGAAACTCCATGTAACATCTGAAGATCTGAAGATGCTTCAGCCTGAACTGTTCCTCTGTAAAGAGCTGTGGTGAGCGAAATTTAGATTTTGTGCCTTTTCTGACACATCAACACATTCTCTTCGATTTTATTGGTTGCAACACTTAATTATGCAATTTCACGAAAGCAAGACTGCTGTAGTACTGAATATGAGCACAGCTGTGATTCAGCCTCAAGGGTAATCTGATATTCGGTACTACAGCAGTTATCATGTGATATTGTTTTGATTTTTGTCCACACACTACTTACTCCACAATCACTCTCCAGAGTAATTTTTCTGAACCATACTGGAGTGAGAGTCCAAAAAATAAAAGAAATTCCAGGCGAAATTGCACATCTCTGATTAAAAATACTTTCATACTTCTTCCATACTTCACTCTGAAACACTGCAAGCACACACAAGCCCAGAATTAATTGTTTGTATACTGATGATCAAATCTGATATACTGTGTTTTTTTACGTTTGAAGGTTGATGGTTGATTGTATTTCAGACGATGTTGTTGGTTTGATCTCAGCTGCTGGTAAAGGGAAGATTCTGAATAAACTCAAGTAAAGTATATTTCATTTTAGAATAAAATTGTTAAAACTCATTGCCATATTCATTTTTTTCAGATATTTAATACATTTTATTTAATATCTAACAATAAAATGCACTCATTAAATACTATAACTTTCTTTTAATTGGCAGTATAAAAAAGCCTGAAATCCGTGAAAAAGTATTTTTCCCAGAGATCACTGTGTCAGTCAGAGATGAAGACATCATGTATGAAACTTTTATTACTTGTCACATACAAAATTGCAGTCTCATCCTAACCCCTGATGCTTATTATAAGCTTATACTGATGTTTTTATCTGTGAAATGCTTTAGGTTGTCTTTTGGCAGATCAGTGTTTGCATCATCAAACACAAAATTGACTCTAACCTGTCCAAGCTCAGTATTTTCTACCATCAAATGGTTTGTAGAATTGTACATTTATCAATTTGGGTGAGTGAAAGCTTCATTCTTTTTTTCAATTTTCAATTAAAAAATAAAAGCATGTCTTACGCTTTGTGCCTGAGAAACATGTCACATTTATACATTTTAATGTTTTGTGTTGTTTTAGGGATTTAAGGAAAATGGAATTGGGTCTGTTTAATTTCCTGAAATCAATGTTTGATTTGAAGAAAGTCTTTATGCAGTTTTATGAATGTCCAATGCCTGGATTTGCCTCTGAAATCCAGTCTCTCATTCAGGCCTGTCCCAGTCTGACTGAAGTCAGGTAACAGCAATATCTGAGCATTTACATAGGTTTTATGTCATTTTCTTACTGTTACTTATTGTACTTAGTGTTATAGTGAACACTACCAAAATATATTATAAAATATCTTAATAGTTTGTAACCACCTGATTTCCCATACTAACTATTATAATAACTGAGCGATTCAACACACTAAACCAGAAGCGCTTACAGTTTTAGAATTATTGTAGTTCATTTTTAAAAGATTTTTTTCAGGATTAAAATTTCAGAAAAATCCCAGACATTCTTGAAGCCCCTGAAGGAATCATTGAAGCAGATGGGTTGGACTCTGACTGTGTAAGAGTTCTATATTAGATATTTCTTTAGCCTTTTCTTTCAGTTCATCTTGAAGATTATGTTCTGTAAACAGTATTGAACGTTATTCTCATTAGCAGGGGAAATTCCGTGTTGATCAACCCAGATGGGAAGAGTTTCACAGTGGAGAATCTAAAGATGAAGAGAGAAAAGAGTGAGAGAAGAAGTAAGCAAATATTATATATATATATATATATATATATATATAGTATATATATATATATAATCAAGACTTCTTGACATAGAGCTGGATCTGTGCCTTCATTATGTACCTCATTATAACTCATTATCCTCAGAATAAACAAAATAATCTAGAGAACTGACAACCGTGGAAAAACATCGGCTACTGAAGCATTCACTATTGTACAGTGGTGGAGGAAGTACTGAATCTCAGTACTTAAGTAAAAGTACAAATATCCAGATAAATATTTACTTTCGTAAAAGTAGAAGTAACACAATGACAACCATACTAAAGTAAAAAGTACCTGATTTTAAATGTACTTTACCTATTAAAAGTAAAAGTACTTGCATAACAATTTATTCTCTTAATGTCTATTTTCTAATAATTAATAAAACATTTAATTCTAACTCATTCCACCTAATACTCCTATAATGATGTTCAATAATGATGGAAAAAAATTGTTGTCACCATTTCTTCCATTACACATCATGCTTATCCTTACTATATGTTAATAACCATGTTTGGCAGAAAACGCGATTAATTTATGGTGTTATTCTGAACCTCTTGGCTTGCCATAATCCTTACCAAACGTATATTACACAAAGTGCGTTTCCTATGCACGTAAAAACAAATTTCTGCATATAAATTGCACGATAAACGCACTGCGTGCGAGACGCATTTAGTTGATGTATCTATGGCAACCAAACGTCACTGGTGAGACAAACGTGCAACGGACAGACGGTCAGATTCATGTTTTGGCAGGGGAAAAACTGATCAGAAAATGTAATGAAAAAGTAACAGAAGTTGTAGAAATGTAGTGGAGTAGAAAGTATAATAATTGCTGCAAAATGTAACGAAGTAAAAGTAAAAAGTATGCGCTATTCATTCTACTTAAGTAAAGTAAAGATACGTGAAAAATGTACTTAAGTAAAGTAACAAAGTATTTGTACTTCGTTACATTGCACCACTGCTATTGTATACATGATTAGAAGACTCACAAGTGATGACAGATGCTTTCTTTAGTTGATTTAGTTGATGAGTCTGTTTTAAGCAATTCATATTTTAGTTCCTAATAAAGTTATTGTTGGCCAAGTGGCGAGCAACTCAATTTACCTTTTATTTACCTTGACTTATTTGTTTATTTTAAATCCCACTTTCACTCTTACTTGGTGCTCTGGGATAATTTTTAATTTTAGGATCCAGAAAACATTTTAAGCGTAGGCGTAGAATTGATGAAGACTTTTCATTTTAATATTCAATGGCTTTATTTTCAGTGATTTCAGACAATCATTTTTGGACACACTGTATATATCATCTTGGTGAACTCCTTGAACTGCCACCTTAATGTGGTGGAGGGGTTTGAGTACACGAATGACTCTAGGAACTATGTTGTCTGCAGCTATATGCCCCTGGTAGGTTCTCCCAAGGCAAACGGGTCCTAGGCGACGGGTCAGATTAAGAGCGGTTCAAAATCCCTTATGATGGACAAAAATTCAAGGACCGTGACGTCGCCCAGTATGGCGCTCCCGGGGCCCAACCCCGGAGCCAGGCCCGGGGTTGGGGCTCGTATGCGTGCGCCTGGTGGCCAGGTCTCACCCCCACCGGGGTCCGGCTGGGCTCAGCCCGAAGGAGCGACATGGGACCGCCTTCCTGTGGGCTTACCACCTGCAGGAAGAGCCGTAAGGGGCCGGTGTAGAGAGGATCGGGCGGCAGTCGAAGGTGGGGGCCTCGACGACCCGATCCTGGACACAGAAACTAGCCTTAGGTGACGTGAAACATCACCTCGGAAGGAGCCTGAGATAGTTGGGATCACCTCTATGCATGGCTTGGGCTCTGGAACCACACTCCTTGAGAGAGGATGGATTCTTCACCATGGAGTTGCCCATGGTGAGAGGCGATGGGCTGGTGTGGGTTTGCTTATAGTCCCCCAGCTCAGCTGCCATGTGTTGGAGTTTACCCCGGTGAACGAGAGGGTCGTTTCCCTGTGCCTATGGGTCGGGGATAGGTCACTCACTGTCGTGTGTGCCTACGGGCCAAATGGCAGTGCAGAGTACCTGGCCTTCTTGGGGTCTCTGGGAGGAGCGCTAGAAAGTGCTCCGACTGGGGACTCCGTCGTTCTACTGGGGGACTTCAACACTCATGTGTGCAAAGACAGTGACACCTAGAGGGGTGTGATTGGGAGGAACAGCGCCCCCGACCTGAACCCGAGCGGTGTTCAGTTGTTGGACTTCTGTGCTAGTTACAGTTTGTTCATAACGAACACCATATTCAAGCATAAGGGTGTCCACCAGTGCACGTGGCACCAGGACACCCTAGGTCGTAGGTCGATGATCGACTTTGTGGTCGTTTCATCTGACCTGCGGCCGTATGTGTTTGACACTCGGGTGAAGGGAGGGGCAGAGCTGTCAACTGATTACCACCTGGTGGTGTGCTGGATCCGATGGTACGGGAGGAGGCTGGACAGACTCAGCAGACCCAAGCGTACTGTAAAGGTTTGCTGGGAACGTTTGGCCGAGTCTCCTGCCAGAGAGGTCTTCAACTCCCACCTCCGGCGGTGCCACGACCGGATCCCAAGGGAGGATAGAGATATTGAGTATGAGTGGACCATCTTTTCCACCTCCGTTGTCGAAGCGGCTGCTCGGAGCTGTGGCCGAGGTGGCAATCCCCGAACCCGGTGGTGGACACCGGAAGTAAAGGATGCCGTCAAGCTGTAGAAGGAGTCCTATCAGGCCTGGTTGGCTTGTGGGACTCCTGTGGCTGCCTGGGTGGTTGTAGAGGCAAAAACTCAGGCCTGGGAGGAGTTTGGTGAGGCCTTGGAGAAGGACTATCGGCTGGCCTCGAAGAGATGTCCGGCGCCTCAGGAGAGGGAAACAATGCCCCACCAGCTCAGTTTACAGTGGAGGTGGGAAGCTGTTGACCTCAACTGGAGATGTCGTCGGACAGTGGAAGTAATACTTTGATGATCTCCTCAATCCCGCCGTCACGTCTTCTATTGAGGAAGCAGAGGCTGAGGGCTCAGAGATGGACTCGTCCATCACCCTAGCTGTGGTCACCGAGGTAGTCAAGAAACTCCTAGGTGGCAAGGCACCGGGGGTGGATGAGATCCGCCCTGAGTACCTTAAGTCTCTGGATGTTGTGGGGCTGTCTTGGCTGACATGCCACTGCAGCATCTCGTGGCAGTCGGGGACAGTGCCTCTGGGATGGCAGTGGTTCCTCTTTTTAAGAAGGGGGACCGAAGGGTGTGTTCCAACTACAGGGGGATCACACTTCTCAGCCTCCCTGGGAAAGTCTATGCCAGGGTACTGGAGAGGAGAATACGGCCGATAGTGGAACCTCGGATTCAGGAGGAACGGTGCAGTTTTCGTCCAGGCCATGGAACACTGGACCAGCTCTAAACTCTCTATATGGTGCTGGAGGGTGGCTGGGCTATCCCTTAGAGATAGAGTGAGAAGCTCGGTCACTCGAGAGGAGCTCAGAGTAGAGCGCTGCTCCTCCACATCGAGAGGGGTCAGCTGAGGTGGCTCGGGCATCTGTTCCGGATGCCTCCTGGACGCTTTCCCGGGGAGGTGTCCGGGGCATGTCCCACCGGGGAAGACCTAGGACACGCTGGAGAGACTATATCTCCCGGCTGGCCTGGGAATCCTCTGTGTCCTCCAGGGAAAGCTGGAGGAAGTGTCTAGGGAGAGGGAGGTCTGGGCATCTCTGCTTAGACTGCTGCCGCCGCGACCCGGCCCCGGATAAGCGGAAGAAGATGGATGGATGGATGACTGTTTAAGATTTAATTCACATCTTTATTTCCCTCTCTGTAATGCAGTAATGTTCCAAACAGTAGTCACAAGATCTGATGTGATTTTGTATAGCATATGAGTCTACTTATAAATGCCTGCATCTGAAAAAAAAAAAAAAAATTAGTGTGTGCAAAAAGTTTTTGAATAACCCTAGGACAAATGCTAGATGGTTTCACTTTTTCTTAATGGTGTTAAAGTGTTTGAATTGTGTTTTGTCTGACAGAAGGAGAGAGTTCAGCTGGCTCTTGCTCATTAAAAGCTGAATTATCAGAACAATCAGTGAGTAGCAACTTTCATGAAGAGGATTTCTTGTTGTATCAATTGTATTTATTTTGTCTGTAATATTTCTGTATGATGAAGAACTGTGGATCTAGATATGGTTTTAAAGCAATAAAACATTTAACTAAAAACAGTGATGCAGATATTTATTTATTCATTTTCATTATAACCCATTTCAAGGATGCAGTGTATACAGTATTACAATTACATTATTTAGAATGTTTACAGAAATTTACATTTAATCTTTTAAATGACATTTTGGAGGATAAAATATTCTCTTTATTATTTTCTTTACTTCAGTCCTCAGACAATGCAGATGTGTTCACACCTGAACTACTTCAGGAAGATGATGAGGAAAAACGCAAGAATACATACAGGTATTGAACACTTTGCTTTATTTTTTGGACATTGTTAGAATCTAATCATACTGTTATGATTTAAAAGAGTGTAAATTTATATTATGTCCACCAGGTTTGTGTGTCCACATGCTGGTCAGTTTCGTTGCAGTCTGACCAGCCTTGTGTTTGTGATGGAGGGTGAAGGAGAGGTGCTGTATAAAACAGTCTCATGGGATCCTCGTGTGTTAGATGGTTTGGGTCAGATTCAGCCAGCCGGACCCTTGTACGACATTGACTGTTTTCATGGTTCGGTCTCACAACTGCACTGTCCACACTGTGAAATATTCTCTGGTATGTTTATTTCTATATCCTAAATATTAATGTGTTTCAGAGTGGTTGACTTGAACAACTGGAAAAAAATTATGGAACATATATATATATATATATATATATATATATATATATGTTAATATTTAGCAAGGAGTGAGATGAGAGATCTTAATAATTACATAAAAGCACTTTTTTGTCACCATAAAATAATAAGAGAAACAATACCTTTATTTTTACCAAATAACAAAATTCTTCAAAAATCTATTTTGCAGAAGAAAATAAGGATGGTTTGGCTGTGGCACATTTTGTTGGTGGAAATGTAGAAATAATACAGCCACTCAAAGTAACAGAAACTCATGTGGTGATTGAGATCAGAGAACTCAGCAGTTATGGCCTTGTCTGGATAAAAAGTATACTTGGCATCCCTATTAGAGGCCAGGTTTTGCTCTTCCTTCGAAATCTAACTCTTGAAAGGAAACAACTAAATGTTCACCTGCTTCCCGGGAATGTTCCAGTATCAGAGGTAGCAATATCTGAACGTATTGTTCTTTTGTTTTTTTCTATGTGCTTTCTGTTTAACGAAGTATTATAAAATAAAACACACATTGAGCATATTTGTACATATACATTGTTACTGCTTTTGTATATTGACATTATTACTAGGGTTTCAAGCTTGTAATTGTAAGGATTTTTATTATTATTCTACTATAAACCTGATCGACAGACCAAACCTTAAGGCCAAGAGACTTGAAACTTGTCAGATGGTAGCAGTCTTGCTCGCTACTCAGATACAAGGACTCGTCCAAATCCGTCACAGCAATCAGAAGTTTGTTATCACTCATAACTCCTTGACCGTTCATCATAGTCCTCAAGAATCTTATATCAGTGGAATATTATATCATTGGAATCCTCCTTGGCTCAAACCAAACAAAATGTATATATCCGATTTCATTTCCGGTATGCAAATTCTTCTGCCACTTTTTTTGTCCAAAACCTGCTTTTGCAAACTAGCCCTTGGTTTTTTGCCCAATCAAAACCACACCAGTGCAGAAAGATTATCTGGAGTCTGAATATCAATATTTATTTTTTGTAAAAAGTTGAAATTTCGATTTACAGATGCTAAGAGGCGCCAAAACGTTCGAAGTGGCCGGAGCCACTTTTACTAATGGCTATAACACGAGAACGAAATAAGATATTATCACCAAGCTCAGAACACATGTGCATGGGCTCAATCTTTGGTTACCTCAAACAAATTGCGGTGATTGGACACTTTGGTGGCGCTATAACAGGAAAAGTACATGAAAATGAATGAAATGAAAAACTAGGTGGCACTAACAAGTTTTACGTATCTGTAAACATGTGGTGTTTCACACATTCACACAATATGCATACCATTTGATAGATCTCTTCACACTGAACAACTTTGCCTCAGGAACCACTGATGTCAAATCGTTCATCAAATATTTGTGATTGTGTAAAAAAAATACTTTCGCAAACTAGTCATCGCTTTTTTGTATGTGTGCTTAAAGGCCTTAAATCTCTTGAACCCCGATAATTACTGCTTGCAGCTATATTTATTATTATTTTCAGTTGTGATATTAATTTATTGTATATATAAGCACCTTGTTGAATGCTGCTAAAATACTGTGTGTAAGTAGCAAAAATGTTGAATTTTTGTTTTTGAGAATTTTTTGAATTTTTGAGAATTCTCTCCCCACCCCCTTTTCCTGAAGGTCCAGAGCAGGCACCGGGATAAAAAATACGTTGAGACAAGTTCAAAATGTCACCTGATTGCTTACCAAAAATACAGTCTGTGTTGTCAGCCAGAGGAATGTGAAGTGCAACCATTGGTAACAATATTTACTGAATAACATTTTAATTCCAACTGAATTTCAGAACGTTATTAAGTATTTAGGTTGTTGATGTATAGCATGTCCAGTTACTCTTTTTAATCAATATTTTAAGTAAAATTATATAAATTTCATTATATGAATAATGGAAAGTATGTATATAGTGCTGCAACTGGTTACCACAGCCTTGCATCAGTATTCATTAAAATGTTAAATAAATATTTTAATTATAATTATCAGAATAAAAATTTCATCCGTATAGTTAAATATCCTAACATTGTATTATTAAAGTCTATATTTATATTGAATGTGTGTAAAGTGACAAACACACACGCCTGTTAACAATTTCATTTTAAGGCCTTTTAATGTCTTCATATTGCTGTTGTTGTTTTCAGACTGAGATGTTTGAGTTTGATAATTTTGGCCAAAACTATCATCCAACATTTGAAGTGTTTCTGGATGTCAACATTAAGGAGGTCAGACTGGGTATTTTGGACAAAACCAAAGGTGGAAAGGAAGTGTGGAACAGACGGCGAATCTTTCTTACAGGTAGTCATGAAATTCTGTTGTTAAAAGCTTGTGTAGGAATAAGTGATTTGGGAGCATTTGTTTGGGAGCAAAATGTTTGGGAACATTTTATGTGTATCAATTTCTATATTGAAGAACTGTTGGTGAATTGTTTTTTTAGACAGGTTATTTTGCATGAACATTCTGAACAATAGACTTTGTTCATCATTGTGTTGTGTGGTCTAGTAGTAAATAAAGACAAAAGGGCTAGTGCAAAATGTTATCACTCACCCTCATGTTGTTCAATACCAATAAGACTAATGTTCATCTTCAGAACACAAATAAAGATATTTTAACCTAAATTAAATCTGTTCATCATAAAAAGTGATCGTCTACAGAATAGTTAGACTAAACCGCTCAATTTATATGCATTAGTTTTACGATAGCTTCAAAGTGTCAGTTGGTAGCTGTCAATGAAGTGACAGAAATCTCTCAAATTTCATTTAAAATATATTGATTTGAGTTCAAAATATGAATGAAAGTCTTACGGGTTTGAAACAACACGAGGGTGAGTAAATAAATTTTCTTTTTTGAGTGAACTATCCCTTTAATGCTTGTGCTCAGAACAATAGTGGTTCATTCCCTGCAAAGAATGAGACCTCAAAAGATTGTGACGACAGATTTATCAGTAATCTTAAATTGATTTATTTTTTGTTTTGTTATTATTATCAATAGCACCAAGTAAAGCTGAAGAACCTTCTGAACACAGAAGGATCTCAGGTCTGATTTTTCAATCACATTTATTCCTGTAATAGTCTCACACATAATGTACACTCTTCTGAAGACTGACTTGAATCATTTTTTGTTTCATTCAGAAACTGAATTTGTGAACACACACGGAGATGAACTCATTCAGAGAGTTTCATCAGTGATGGCGATTGCTGACAGTTTGAAAAGCAAACACATGATTACTAATGAAATGTGGAGAAAGATTAATGCTGCAGAACCACAGCAGAAAATGAGACTCTTGTTGGAGGCTCTGGACTCAGGAGGAGCTTCTGTAAAAGCAGAATTCTACAAACTGCTGAAGGAGAATGAACCTTTTCTAGTAGATGATCTGGAGTCTGGACACAGTGGATCATCACCACATGCTGAGAGTAAGCTTGAGGCGTAAAAAACAGCTCTGTTGTTTTTATACTCAGTGGTGAAATGTAACGAAGTACAAATACTTTGTTACTTAAGTACATTTTTCACGTATATTTACTTTACTTAAGTAGAATGAATAGCGCATACTTTTTACTTTTACTTCGTTACATTTTGCAGCAATTATTATACTTTCTACTCCACTACGTTTCTACAACTTCTGTTACATTTTCATTACATTTTCTGATCAGTTTTTCCCCTGCTAAAACGTAATCTGAATGTCCGTCCGTTGCACGTTTGTCTCACCAGTGACGTTTGCTTGCCATAGAGCCTCCATTTTTGCACTCAGGTCTAAGTCCCATGGCCCTCTATCAGAATCCAGAGTTTCAAGAAGATTGGAGAAACTTATTTTTTCGCACAAAAAAAAAAAAAAAACGGGGTTTTTTTGGGTCGAAATTTTTAGTTCCCTTTCGTAGTCACTTCGAGTTACGTCAGAAGTGACGGAGATTGGGGGATTTCGCATAGAAAGCCAATCCTCTTCGAGTATTTAATCACGAGCCAATGGCATGCAATGCCTTGGGGCTGCGGAAATTTGCATAGCGTACTCCGCCCTACTCCGTGAGTATAAAAGGAGGAAGTGAACGCAACCGCAGTATGTTTTCGCTTCGGAGCCAAGAGACCTCTTCACTCCTAAGCCATTCTCACTGACAAGACTCTTCGAGACGAGCTCCTCTTCAGTGTTGGTGTGACGGCGATACCCAGCGAGATTCTGCATTGCCTGCGATCTGAGCAGTGGTCTGCCAGACTGTGCGTTTCTCTCTGGACGCCTCGGCGCTGAAAGAGTGAATTTCCTCCTCTCTTTGTGAAAGAGCTACACGTGGCACGTCTTTTTAAAGATGTCTCGCCCGTGTTCTTCTGGGTGCGGTCGATTCATGTCATCCTCTGATGGTCACAATCGCTGCTCTGTATGCCTGGGCATTCAGCATGCAGCAGCAGCGTTCGTGGATGACTCATGTTCCTTTTGTGGGAACATGACCATCTTAACACTGCGATCGAGACTCAATGATCTAACTAAAGTGAGAGTCCCCGCGTCCGTTACTCGATCCGCTTCTTCTTCGAGAAGCGCTTCGACTCGCGGACAGGGTGATCTGACGGTGACGGTGTGGAATAAAAAGAACCCGACGAGAGAACCTCGGGCCACACCCCCCGCCTCAGTGTCAGAGCCAGCGAGCGCTGCTTCGATTCAGGCGTCTGCCTCTTCGCAGGTACCGTCTGTTTCGTTCGGCGCTCCAGAGGATGACGCGATGTCGATCGCGGCATCACAGGGCGGGCTTGAATCCTCGGGAGTGCCGGCGTTGCCCGTGTCTGATCCCGAGATGACGGCCATGCTATCTCGGGCCGCCGTGACTATCGGGTTGGAGTGGAACCCTCCGCCCTGCCCCGATCTCTCACGGATGGACAATTGGTTTTTGGGGAAAGCTGCCGCCGCAAGGCCACAGCCGAACCCAATTCCCTTTTTTCCCGAGCTGCATGTGGAGCTGACGCGCACTTGGAAGGCTCCTTTGACCTCCCGAGAGCGCGCTCCAGCCTCCCCCGCCTTTCCTCCCCTCGATGCTTTGCATGCCATGAGCACTCTACAGGTGTTTCAAGCCAAACTGCTCAGGGACATGCACGAGGGCGGGACTGACCCAGCGGCTTTTAATGAGCTGCGAGCGGCCACTGATCTCGCTCTCCGGGCGACGAAAGTGGCTGCTCGCTCCGTTGGGCAGGTGATGGCCACTAGCGTGGTCCAGGAGCGCCACCTATGGCTCAGCCTGGCTGACACAAAGGACGCTGAGCGGTCACGGCTGCTCGACGCCCCTCTCTCCCAGGTTGGCCTGTTTGGCGGTGCGGTTGAAGACTTCGCCCAGCAGTTTTCGACCGCCCAGAAGCAGACGGAGGCCATTAAACATATTCTGCCCCGACGGTCAGCTGCTGCCTCCACCCAGCCGTCGGCCCAGGCGCCTCCCTCTGCTCGCCGCCGTGGACGCCCCCCTGCGGCTCCCCTCCCTCCCACGCGTCCCCAGCAGCCAAGCAGCCAGGCACCCACGCGTCCCCAAGCGCCAGGCGAAGCGGCGTTCCTGAGACGGGCTGCTCAGTGATGAAGTTGAGTGTTTCTCAGGAGGAGGTAGCAGGCCCCCTCCTTCCCCCGGTGGAGGGCCGGGGGAGAACCTTTTGTTCAATATGGCTCCCCGCTGCTCACCCACGGGTGGGCAGCACCCTGAGTTTGTTAAAGAAAGACTTAACATCATCACTGAGCACACAGACTGGAATGAGTACGCTCGTCGCCCCAGTGCGGCGACCCTCTCATTCCTCTCTGTCCCTGAGGGTGCGGAGGGAAGCGTGTGTCGTCCCTCGACTACGCACCTCCCCTCCCCCTCTCTCGCCAGACCCCCAACAGAACAGACCCCAGTGGAACGCTGGTCCTTCCCTGGTCTCTTCTGTCGGGGAGCGGGGCTCGACTGTACATCCGCACGGGGTAACACCCGAACGCATGCCAGTCTCCCCGCCCCGCTGCCCCTCCGGGGGGACGTCTGTGGTTCGCATTACCCCGCTGGTTCACTTCCTGGGAGCTTGGCTAGAGCTCCCCGGGCTGTCCCGCTGGGTCATCAGAACGATCAGATTCGGCTACGCGATTCAGTTCGCACGGTCTCCTCCCCGTTTCAGGGGAGTTCGCTCCACTTTGGTCGGTGGCAATGCCCCAGTCATGAGAGTGGAGATTGCGGCCCTGCTGGCGAAGGGTGCAGCGCTCCAGCCGAGGTGAAGTCCGGGTTTTACAGCCCCTACGTCATTGTCCCCAAGAAGACCGGCGGGTTACGACCGATCCTGGATCTGCGCATTTTGAACCGTACTCTTCATCGGCTACCGTTCAAAATGCTCACAGCCAAACGCATTTTCGAATGCATACGGCCTCAGGATTGGTTTGCAGCGATCGACCTGAAGGACGCGTACTTTCATGTCTCCATATTGCCTCGACACAGACCGTTTCTTCAGTTTGCCTTCGAAGGCCAGGCATATCAGTACACGGTTCTCCCATTCGGGTTAGCTCTGTCTCCTTGCGTCTTCACGAAGATCGTCGAGGCAGCCCTTGTTCCCCTTCGCGAACAAGGGGTTCGCATCCTGAACTATCTCGACGATTGGCTGATTCTAGCACACTCCCACACACAGTTGGCCTTCGGGTCAACCGAGAGAAGAGCAAACTTTGCCCCGTGCAGAGGATCTCTTTTCTCGGCATGGAGATAGACTCGGTCGCCATGTCCGCGCAGCTCACGAACGAGCGCGCGCACTCACTGCTGACTTGTCTTCGTCAGTTCGAAGGCAAGAATGTGGTTCCACTGAAACTGTTTCAGAGGCTCCTGGGGCATATGGCATCCGCAGCCGCGGCAACGCCGCTCGGATTGCTTCATATGAGACCACTTCAGCTCTGGCTTCGCGATCGAGTCCCGAGGTGGGCATGGCATCGCGGCTCGCTGCGAGTCCCAGTGACTCCAGCGTGCCGCTGTACCTTCTCCCCGTGGTCAAACCTCAGCTTTTTGCGGGCCGCTCCTGCGAGCTTCCAGGCATCTCGTTGTCTCCACGGATGCATCTACCACGGGTTGGGGTGCCATGTGCAATGGGCATGCAGCCGCGGGTTCCTGGACAGGACCCCAGCGCCTCATGCACATCAATTGCCTCAAGCTGTTGGCAGTACGCCTGGCCCTGCACCGCTTTCGAGCACTGCTCAGGGGCCAACATGTACTGGTCCGTTCAGACAACACCACTGCTGTAGCGTACATCAACCACCAGGGGGGTCTACGCTCGCGCCAGTTGTCGCAGCTCGCCCGCCACCTCCTGTTATGGAGTCAGAAGCACCTGAGGTCCCTTCGTGCAGTGTACATTCCAGGAGACCGGAACCTGGCAGCCGACGAGCTGTCACGGATCCGCCCTATCTCCGGCGAATGGCGACTCCATCCCCAGACGGTCCAGCTGATTTGGGACCAGTTCGGGGAGGCTCAGATAGATCTGTTTGCCTCTCGGGACTCATCCCACTGCGCCCAGTTTTACTCCCTGTCCGAGGGCACGCTCGGCACAGACGCACTGGCGCACAGCTGGCCTCGGGGCCCACGCAAGTATGCGTTTCCCCCAGTGAGCCTCCTTGCACGGGTGTTGTGCAAGATCAAGGAGGACGAGGAGCAGGTCTTGCTGGTAGCCCCTTATTGGCCCACCAAGACGTGGTTCTCCGAACTCATGCTCCTCGCAACAGCACCTCCTTGGCCTATTCCTCTGAGACAGGATCTACTCACTCAGAGACGGGGCACTCTATGGCACCCTCGTCCCGAACTGTGGAGGCTACACGTGTGGCTCCTGGACGGGACGAGGCAGGTCTCAGGTCGAAATTTTGAGTTTCTCTGATCTTCTTGAAACTCTGGATTCTGATAGAGGGCCATGAGACTTAAACCTGAGTGCAAAAATGGAGGCTCTAGATATATCAACGCGGTCACACTAAATGCGTCTCGCATGCAGTGCGTTTATAGTGCAATTTATATGCGAAAATTAGTTTGTACATGCATAGGAAATGCACCGTGTGTAATATACGTTAGGATTATGGCAAGTCAAGAGGTTCAGAATTACACCATAAATTAATCGCGTTTACTGCCATAGTTATTAACATATAAGGATTAGCGTGATGTGTATATTGCCTAATTGCAAGCTTGTTTCAGAAATGGTGACATTTTTTTCCATCATTATTGAACATCATTATAGGAGTATTAGGTTGAATGAGTTAGAATTAAATGTTTTATTAATCATTAGAAAATAGACATTAAGAAAATAAATTATGCAAGTACTTTTACTTTTAATACTTAAAGTACATTTAAAAATCAGGTACTCTTTACTTTTTACTTAAGTATGGTTGTCATTGTGTTACTTCTACTTTTACTAAAGTAAATATTTATCTGGTTATTTGTACTTTTTCTTAAATACTGAGATTCAGTACTTCCTCCACCACTGTTTATACTGTACATGTTGTAACATTTTCTGTTGCTCAAATTTTAAACTCTATCCAGATTGAAATTAGATTGTAATGCCCTTTTTTCCTCCACTGCATTTATGCATGTTGATTGTGTTGATGTAATACACTTGTTTTACTTTAATCATTTTGAGCTATGTTTGATGCCGTTACTGTATGACAACATGTTACTACGAAATGTGTTTTTTATTTAATATTACTGTGGAAAAATAACCACATTCAATCATAAAAAACATTGTGTAAAAGTTGCTGTGGGAAACGTATGGGTCATATTTTTTATTTTACATTTTAAAAAGATGAATAAAACAAAAATGAAAAATAGTTAATAAACAATATGAAGTACAGTTTTTTTTACTGGAGGAAATGGATCTCAAGAGTCACACTAAAACATGCTCTCACATTCACACACTTTAAACAGTATTGCACATTCATTCCCTTTCCATTGTCAATTTGAACCTCAAATTCATCATCTCCTCATACATAAAGGTGCCAAAAAAGTCTCAAAATAACCAAGAGACCTAACATGGTTAATGTAAACCCATTTCATAACTGTGTTCACTGTAGAATTTATACTTTATTTCTGTCAAAACTGATTAGTTTCTAATTTGTTGAACAAAACTATATTGATCATTGCATATTTTGAACGTTAAAGTTATTTATTTATTTATTTTTTTCATACAGACCAAGGGTCAAGTCCTGTATATTTCATTAGAGTAAGCCTAAATCAAGCCAGATTTAAACTCAACAGCAGAAACACATTCTGGACAATCAGCCTTTCTGCAGAGCAAAGGTTGCCAAGGTTTTTGAGCTCACACAATAAAAGCCCTTTATTTTGCATAAAAGAGATTTTACAGAAACTCAGGATTTGAATGACAAAATTTCTTTTAATTTTAGTATTTCAACTTTGTGTTATGAGCCATTCGGGAAGCAGGGCGGGGCTCGTAACGGCCAGGGGGCGCGGGGTGAATGTTGGCCACTGGGCCGGCGGCTGCTGCCGAAACTGAAGCGGGATTCGGTGGCCGGAATTCCTGGTACAGCAGGGAACGGGTAGAGGAACGGACCTCATCATGTGTTGTGGCTCGAACATTGTAATAGCCATTAGTGGGATCCTGAAATGACAAACATATAATATTTCACTGTGATGCACTATGTGTCTGGTTTATATCTTATTAACACCAAACCTTTGAGCAGTAGTGTATCCCTTTGGAATATAATACTTAAAATGACAAGAAAAACAAATGAAAACTGACTAACTGCAATGCATTTCAATGGACGTGGAAGCAGAGAATATCCCAGTGTATTGGATTAGCTGCGCACTGTGATTGGCTCATCGTGTTTGAGGGCGTGGCTTAGCCATAGGTCAATTGGGAAAATAACGACACCTTTCAAGAAAACTCACCTCATTTGCTATTGGACAGGCAAAAAGATAGCCCTGCCTTAATCTCACAGTATTGGTTGAGCCAAAATTGCTGTGTTGGGCTGCTTTGAGAGCTTTGATAGCGCCACAGTATTTACCATTTTCACATTTTCTTTGCATATTAAACAATAAGCTGGAATTAAAAAAAATATATTGCACACTTCAAGTGTAGCATTTATGTCCATATGCACCTGCTCTGTTTCTTACCTTGGGTTCATACTCCTCCACCAAAAATTGTACCAGACCAGTTTTTGCCACAGCCTGGCTACAACATTTGATTGTAGAGATTTTGTAGTGACAGTTACACCATATTCTAATAAACACTGGAAGCTTCCAGTAACTGTAATTTTTACACAGGTAAGTCCACACTGAAAAAATGCTGCATGAAGGAATATAATCACAAAAATAGCAACATATTTCATGTGCTGCTACCATTCAAAAGTTTGAGGTCAGTATGATTTTTTTATTGAATAAAAATGAATAATTTCATTCAGCAAAAATGCATTAAACTGATACATTTATTATAAAACACTTAAGATTTATATTTAAAATAAATGCTGTTCTTTTGATAAACGTTCTATTAATCAAAGAATTCCTGACTAAATGTATCAGTTTCCAGAAAAATATTAAGCCGCTCAACCATTTTCAACATTAATAATAATACATTTTGAGTCAGCATATTAGAATGATTTCTGAAGGATCATGTGACACTGAAGACTGGATTAATGATGCTGGAAATGTAGCTTTGCCATCACAGGAATATATTACGTCCTAAAATATATTCAAATAGAATATGGTTAATTTAAATTGTAAAATAACTAGGGCTGTGCGATTAATCGATTAATCCCATCCAAAATAAAAGTTTGTGTTTACATTTTACTGTATATATGTGTGTGTTCTGTATAATTATTTTGCATATATAAATACATGCATGCATGTATATATTTAAGAATTATTTATATGTAAATACTATATATATATATATATATATATATATATATATATACGTAATCTATATATAAATATAAATATTTTATATAGGAATAAAACATTTTCTTAAATATATACATGCATGTGAGTGTATTTAGAAATACAAAATAATTATACAGAACACACACACATATATTATGTAAACACAAACTTTTATTTTGGATACGATTAATCGCAATTAATTGTGTACTGAAGCTGGATTTTAGGCCAATGAAATTGAACTGTGGGCGGGGCTAACCAGCAAAACTGGCAGAAACCAAGTGCCTGACAAAATGTCTCGTCAGTCTTCTCAATTGTTTGGATAAAACATAACGACGCCACGTTTGCAACATCGGTGTGAACTAACCTACCATATCGCCCTCAATTTCTTTTCTTTTTTTAAGAAACATTTTTATCACACAAATCTTTATTTGATTATATTTTATAGTCAGTAGTCACACAATAGTATGAGACTTTGATATCGAATAATAGACTAATAGTATACTCTAGACTAATATAATCTAGTCTAAACGATGTTAAATCAGACAGCCTGATCTAGTCTAGTTTATGCTATAGATCAGAGGTCTCAAACTCGCGGCCCGCGGGCCGCATTTTGTGGCCCCCCACTTGACATTAAAGTTTAATGTGAGTGCGGCCCACCGTTGCGTTTGCCGCGTCCCCCCGGTTGAGTTTAAACTAAACCGTGACATCTACACGTTTTCCAAAGTGGACCAACGTGATTATTTCACGTCTTGTCGTGATACGGGTTGGGCACTGAAGTTACAGGAGTTTCTTCCCGTTGCTAAGCAATGGAACTAGGCCGAGTATTTAAGTCTAGACCCTTCCAGAGCTGAGATATCGAATCTAAAAATTTCGACCCGAAAAAAAAAAACGACAGTGGTACCCCTTTCGTTTTTATTTTTTTCGGGCGAAAAATTAAGTTTCTCCAATCTTCTCAAAACTCTGGATTCTGATAGAGTGCCATGAGACTTAGACCTGAGTGCAAAAATGGAGGCTGTAGACCCTTCCGGAGCTGAGATATCGAAACTCAAAATTTCGACCCGAAAAAAAACCGACAGTGGTACCCCTTATGTTTTTTTTTCGGGCGAAAAATGAAGTTTCTCCAATCTTCCCAAAACTCTGGATTCTGATAGAGGGCCATGAGACTTAGACCTGAGTGCAAAAATTGAGGCTCTAGCCCCTTCCAGAGCTGAGATATCGAAACTCAAAAATTCGTCCCGAAAAAAAAAACGACAGTGGTACCCCTTATGTTTTTTTTTTTGGGCGAAAATTTAAGTTTCTCCAATCTTCCCAAAACTCTGGATTCTGATAGAGGGCCATGAGACTTAGACCTGAGTGCAAAAATGGAGGCTCTAGCCCCTTCCAGAGCTGAGATATCGAAACTCAAAAATTCGGCCCGAAAAAAAAAAAACGACAGTGGTACCCCTTATGTTTTTTTTTTTGGGCGAAAAATTAAGTTTCTCCAATCTTCCCAAAACTCTGGATTCTGATAGAGGGCCATGAGACTTAGACCTGAGTGCAAAAATGGAGGCTCTAGCCCCTTCCAGAGCTGAGATATCGAAACTCAAAAATTCGGCCCGAAAAAAAAACGACAGTGGTACCCCTTACGTTTTTTTTTTTTGGGCGAAAAATTAAGTTTCTCCAATCTTCTCAAAACTCTGGATTCTGATAGAGGGCCATGAGACTTAGACCTGAGTGCAAAAATGGAGGCTCTAGCCCCTTCCAGAGCTGAGATATCGAAACTCAAAAATTCGGCCCGAAAAAAAAAACGACAGTGGTACCCCTTACGTTTTTTTTTTTGGGCGAAAAATTAAGTTTCTCCAATCTTCCCAAAACTCTGGATTCTGATAGAGGGCCATGAGACTTAGACCTGAGTGCAAAAATGGAGGCTCTAGCCCCTTCCAGAGCTGAGATATCGAAACTCAAAAATTCGGCCCGAAAAAAAAACGACAGTGGTACCCCTTACGTTTTTTTTTTTTGGGCGAAAAATTAAGTTTCTCCAATCTTCCCAAAACTCTGGATTCTGATAGAGGGCCATGAGACTTAGACCTGAGTGCAAAAATGGAGGCTCTAGCCCCTTCCAGAGCTGAGATATCGAAACTCAAAAATTCGGCCCGAAAAAAAAACGACAGTGGTACCCCTTACGTTTTTTTTTTTTGGGCGAAAAATTAAGTTTCTCCAATCTTCCCAAAACTCTGGATTCTGATAGAGGGCCATGAGACTTAGACCTGAGTGCAAAAATGGAGGCTCTAGCCCCTTCCAGAGCTGAGATATCGAAACTCAAAAATTCGGCCCGAAAAAAAAACGACAGTGGTACCCCTTACGTTTTTTTTTTTTGGGCGAAAAATTAAGTTTCTCCAATCTTCCCAAAACTCTGGATTCTGATAGAGGGCCATGAGACTTAGACCTGAGTGCAAAAATGGAGGCTCTAGCCCCTTCCAGAGCTGAGATATCGAAACTCAAAAATTCGGCCCGAAAAAAAAAACGACAGTGGTACCCCTTACGTTTTTTTTTTTTGGGCGAAAAATTAAGTTTCTCCAATCTTCCCAAAACTCTGGATTCTGATAGAGGGCCATGAGACTTAGACCTGAGTGCAAAAATGGAGGCTCTAGCCCCTTCCAGAGCTGAGATATCGAAACTCAAAAATTCGGCCCGAAAAAAAAACGACAGTGGTACCCCTTACGTTTTTTTTTTTTGGGCGAAAAATTAAGTTTCTCCAATCTTCCCAAAACTCTGGATTCTGATAGAGGGCCATGAGACTTAGACCTGAGTGCAAAAATGGAGGCTCTAGCCCCTTCCAGAGCTGAGATATCGAAACTCAAAAATTCGGCCCGAAAAAAAAACGACAGTGGTACCCCTTACGTTTTTTTTTTTGGGCGAAAAATTAAGTTTCTCCAATCTTCCCAAAACTCTGGATTCTGATAGAGGGCCATGAGACTTAGACCTGAGTGCAAAAATGGAGGCTCTAGCCCCTTCCAGAGCTGAGATATCGAAACTCAAAAATTCGGCCCGAAAAAAAAACGACAGTGGTACCCCTTACGTTTTTTTTTTTGGGCGAAAAATTAAGTTTCTCCAATCTTCCAAAACTCTGGATTCTGATAGAGGGCCATGAGACTTAGACCTGAGTGCAAAAATGGAGGCTCTAGCCCCTTCCAGAGCTGAGATATCGAAACTCAAAAATTCGGCCCGAAAAAAAAACGACAGTGGTACCCCTTACGTTTTTTTTTTTGGGCGAAAAATTAAGTTTCTCCAATCTTCCCAAAACTCTGGATTCTGATAGAGGGCCATGAGACTTAGACCTGAGTGCAAAAATGGAGGCTCTAGCCCCTTCCAGAGCTGAGATATCGAAACTCAAAAATTCGGCCCGAAAAAAAAAACGACAGTGGTACCCCTTACGTTTTTTTTTTTTGGGCGAAAAATTAAGTTTCTCCAATCTTCCCAAAACTCTGGATTCTGATAGAGGGCCATGAGACTTAGACCTGAGTGCAAAAATGGAGGCTCTAGCCCCTTCCAGAGCTGAGATATCGAAACTCAAAAATTCGGCCCGAAAAAAAAACGACAGTGGTACCCCTTACGTTTTTTTTTTTTGGGCGAAAAATTAAGTTTCTCCAATCTTCCAAAACTCTGGATTCTGATAGAGGGCCATGAGACTTAGACCTGAGTGCAAAAATGGAGGCTCTAGCCCCTTCCAGAGCTGAGATATCGAAACTCAAAAATTCGGCCCGAAAAAAAAACGACAGTGGTACCCCTTACGTTTTTTTTTTTTGGGCGAAAAATTAAGTTTCTCCAATCTTCCCAAAACTCTGGATTCTGATAGAGGGCCATGAGACTTAGACCTGAGTGCAAAAATGGAGGCTCTAGCCCCTTCCAGAGCTGAGATATCGAAACTCAAAAATTCGGCCCGAAAAAAAAACGACAGTGGTACCCCTTACGTTTTTTTTTTTTGGGCGAAAAATTAAGTTTCTCCAATCTTCCCAAAACTCTGGATTCTGATAGAGGGCCATGAGACTTAGACCTGAGTGCAAAAATGGAGGCTCTAGCCCCTTCCAGAGCTGAGATATCGAAACTCAAAAATTCGGCCCGAAAAAAAAAACGACAGTGGTACCCCTTACGTTTTTTTTTTTGGGCGAAAAATTAAGTTTCTCCAATCTTCCCAAAACTCTGGATTCTGATAGAGGGCCATGAGACTTAGACCTGAGTGCAAAAATGGAGGCTCTAGCCCCTTCCAGAGCTGAGATATCGAAACTCAAAAATTCGGCCCGAAAAAAAAACGACAGTGGTACCCCTTACGTTTTTTTTTTTTGGGCGAAAAATTAAGTTTCTCCAATCTTCCCAAAACTCTGGATTCTGATAGAGGGCCATGAGACTTAGACCTGAGTGCAAAAATGGAGGCTCTAGCCCCTTCCAGAGCTGAGATATCGAAACTCAAAAATTCGGCCCGAAAAAAAAACGACAGTGGTACCCCTTACGTTTTTTTTTTTGGGCGAAAAATTAAGTTTCTCCAATCTTCCCAAAACTCTGGATTCTGATAGAGGGCCATGAGACTTAGACCTGAGTGCAAAAATGGAGGCTCTAGCCCCTTCCAGAGCTGAGATATCGAAACTCAAAAATTCGGCCCGAAAAAAAAACGACAGTGGTACCCCTTACGTTTTTTTTTTTTGGGCGAAAAATTAAGTTTCTCCAATCTTCCCAAAACTCTGGATTCTGATAGAGGGCCATGAGACTTAGACCTGAGTGCAAAAATGGAGGCTCTAGCCCCTTCCAGAGCTGAGATATCGAAACTCAAAAATTCGGCCCGAAAAAAAAACGACAGTGGTACCCCTTACGTTTTTTTTTTTTGGGCGAAAAATTAAGTTTCTCCAATCTTCCCAAAACTCTGGATTCTGATAGAGGGCCATGAGACTTAGACCTGAGTGCAAAAATGGAGGCTCTAGCCCCTTCCAGAGCTGAGATATCGAAACTCAAAAATTCGGCCCGAAAAAAAAACGACAGTGGTACCCCTTACGTTTTTTTTTTTTGGGCGAAAAATTAAGTTTCTCCAATCTTCCCAAAACTCTGGATTCTGATAGAGGGCCATGAGACTTAGACCTGAGTGCAAAAATGGAGGCTCTAGCCCCTTCCAGAGCTGAGATATCGAAACTCAAAAATTCGGCCCGAAAAAAAAAACGACAGTGGTACCCCTTACGTTTTTTTTTTTTGGGCGAAAAATTAAGTTTCTCCAATCTTCCCAAAACTCTGGATTCTGATAGAGGGCCATGAGACTTAGACCTGAGTGCAAAAATGGAGGCTCTAGCCCCTTCCAGAGCTGAGATATCGAAACTCAAAAATTCGGCCCGAAAAAAAAACGACAGTGGTACCCCTTACGTTTTTTTTTTTGGGCGAAAAATTAAGTTTCTCCAATCTTCCCAAAACTCTGGATTCTGATAGAGGGCCATGAGACTTAGACCTGAGTGCAAAAATGGAGGCTCTAGCCCCTTCCAGAGCTGAGATATCGAAACTCAAAAATTCGGCCCGAAAAAAAAACGACAGTGGTACCCCTTACGTTTTTTTTTTTTGGGCGAAAAATTAAGTTTCTCCAATCTTCCCAAAACTCTGGATTCTGATAGAGGGCCATGAGACTTAGACCTGAGTGCAAAAATGGAGGCTCTAGCCCCTTCCAGAGCTGAGATATCGAAACTCAAAAATTCGGCCCGAAAAAAAAACGACAGTGGTACCCCTTACGTTTTTTTTTTTGGGCGAAAAATTAAGTTTCTCCAATCTTCCCAAAACTCTGGATTCTGATAGAGGGCCATGAGACTTAGACCTGAGTGCAAAAATGGAGGCTCTAGCCCCTTCCAGAGCTGAGATATCGAAACTCAAAAATTCGGCCCGAAAAAAAAACGACAGTGGTACCCCTTACGTTTTTTTTTTTGGGCGAAAAATTAAGTTTCTCCAATCTTCCCAAAACTCTGGATTCTGATAGAGGGCCATGAGACTTAGACCTGAGTGCAAAAATGGAGGCTCTAGCCCCTTCCAGAGCTGAGATATCGAAACTCAAAAATTCGGCCCGAAAAAAAAACGACAGTGGTACCCCTTACGTTTTTTTTTTTGGGCGAAAAATTAAGTTTCTCCAATCTTCCCAAAACTCTGGATTCTGATAGAGGGCCATGAGACTTAGACCTGAGTGCAAAAATGGAGGCTCTAGCCCCTTCCAGAGCTGAGATATCGAAACTCAAAAATTCGGCCCGAAAAAAAAACGACAGTGGTACCCCTTACGTTTTTTTTTTTGGGCGAAAAATTAAGTTTCTCCAATCTTCCCAAAACTCTGGATTCTGATAGAGGGCCATGAGACTTAGACCTGAGTGCAAAAATGGAGGCTCTAGCCCCTTCCAGAGCTGAGATATCGAAACTCAAAAATTCGGCCCGAAAAAAAAACGACAGTGGTACCCCTTACGTTTTTTTTTTTTGGGCGAAAAATTAAGTTTCTCCAATCTTCCCAAAACTCTGGATTCTGATAGAGGGCCATGAGACTTAGACCTGAGTGCAAAAATGGAGGCTCTAGCCCCTTCCAGAGCTGAGATATCGAAACTCAAAAATTCGGCCCGAAAAAAAAACGACAGTGGTACCCCTTACGTTTTTTTTTTTGGGCGAAAAATTAAGTTTCTCCAATCTTCCCAAAACTCTGGATTCTGATAGAGGGCCATGAGACTTAGACCTGAGTGCAAAAATGGAGGCTCTAGCCCCTTCCAGAGCTGAGATATCGAAACTCAAAAATTCGGCCCGAAAAAAAAACGACAGTGGTACCCCTTACGTTTTTTTTTTTTGGGCGAAAAATTAAGTTTCTCCAATCTTCCCAAAACTCTGGATTCTGATAGAGGGCCATGAGACTTAGACCTGAGTGCAAAAATGGAGGCTCTAGCCCCTTCCAGAGCTGAGATATCGAAACTCAAAAATTCGGCCCGAAAAAAAAACGACAGTGGTACCCCTTACGTTTTTTTTTTTGGGCGAAAAATTAAGTTTCTCCAATCTTCCCAAAACTCTGGATTCTGATAGAGGGCCATGAGACTTAGACCTGAGTGCAAAAATGGAGGCTCTAGCCCCTTCCAGAGCTGAGATATCGAAACTCAAAAATTCGGCCCGAAAAAAAAAACGACAGTGGTACCCCTTACGTTTTTTTTTTTGGGCGAAAAATTAAGTTTCTCCAATCTTCCCAAAACTCTGGATTCTGATAGAGGGCCATGAGACTTAGACCTGAGTGCAAAAATGGAGGCTCTAGCCCCTTCCAGAGCTGAGATATCGAAACTCAAAAATTCGGCCCGAAAAAAAAAACGACAGTGGTACCCCTTACGTTTTTTTTTTTGGGCGAAAAATTAAGTTTCTCCAATCTTCCCAAAACTCTGGATTCTGATAGAGGGCCATGAGACTTAGACCTGAGTGCAAAAATGGAGGCTCTAGCCCCTTCCAGAGCTGAGATATCGAAACTCAAAAATTCGGCCCGAAAAAAAAAACGACAGTGGTACCCCTTACGTTTTTTTTTTTTGGGCGAAAAATTAAGTTTCTCCAATCTTCCCAAAACTCTGGATTCTGATAGAGGGCCATGAGACTTAGACCTGAGTGCAAAAATGGAGGCTCTAGCCCCTTCCAGAGCTGAGATATCGAAACTCAAAAATTCGGCCCGAAAAAAAAAACGACAGTGGTACCCCTTACGTTTTTTTTTTTTGGGCGAAAAATTAAGTTTCTCCAATCTTCCCAAAACTCTGGATTCTGATAGAGGGCCATGAGACTTAGACCTGAGTGCAAAAATGGAGGCTCTAGCCCCTTCCAGAGCTGAGATATCGAAACTCAAAAATTCGGCCCGAAAAAAAAAACGACAGTGGTACCCCTTACGTTTTTTTTTTTGGGCGAAAAATTAAGTTTCTCCAATCTTCCCAAAACTCTGGATTCTGATAGAGGGCCATGAGACTTAGACCTGAGTGCAAAAATGGAGGCTCTAGCCCCTTCCAGAGCTGAGATATCGAAACTCAAAAATTCGGCCCGAAAAAAAAACGACAGTGGTACCCCTTACGTTTTTTTTTTTTTTTGGGCGAAAAATTAAGTTTCTCCAATCTTCCCAAAACTCTGGATTCTGATAGAGGGCCATGAGACTTAGACCTGAGTGCAAAAATGGAGGCTCTAGCCCCTTCCAGAGCTGAGATATCGAAACTCAAAAATTCGGCCCGAAAAAAAAACGACAGTGGTACCCCTTACGTTTTTTTTTTTTGGGTGAAAAATTAAGTTTCTCCAATCTTCCAAAACTCTGGATTCTGATAGAGGGCCATGAGACTTAGACCTGAGTGCAAAAATAGAGGCTCTAGCCCCTTCCAGAGCTGAGATATCGAAACTCAAAAATTCGGCCCGAAAAAAAAACGACAGTGGTACCCCTTACGTTTTTTTTTTTTGGGCGAAAAATTAAGTTTCTCCAATCTTCCCAAAACTCTATCATATATCATTGATAGAGAAAAAATATATCATTCATTGAAAAGAAGACTGTGTTCTACTTTAGGAATAGTGGTTTTTATTTAATTCTAAGCTATTTTTCAAGTCACAGTTGTTAAATATGTGTCTGTATTGCATGTTCAAACTTAAAAATCATTAATATTAATAGGTTCATGTTTTTTCTGGAAATATATGGGTTTGGAAATTCTATAGAAATTGAAAATTAACCAAGTTAATAATATTAATAACCTAATAATAATTAAACAATTTCAGGTAATTATTTCAGTCTCGTTGGTTGAATTTTTGGCTAAAAAGTTACTGAATCCTTTTCAAGTCACTGAATCATTTCGGATCGTATCGTTCTAAATTAACAAATATCGTCCTTGAATCGTATGGACAACCACAAATCGTGATACAAATCGAATCGTTGTTAAAACGAATTGTTACACCCCTGGTTATTACTATAGTAACTATATATAAAGATATAGTTATAGTAACTGTAGATAAAGATACTTCATATAAAGTGGGACCTGTAAAACTTTTCTTAAATATTTTTTTATGGTTTTATTTAACTGTAATAACTGTGGTGTATAGGTATTTATCTCTCTGTATCTGGCATGTTACAGGAGGTGATGTAGTAGACTGGCTGTACTCACGGGTTGAAGGATTCAAAGACCGGCGTGATGCTAGGAAATATGCCAGCGGCCTGCTCAAACACGGCTATCTGAGACACACTGTCAACAAGATCACCTTCTCTGAACAGTGTTACTACACATTTGGAGATCTCTGCCAAAGTACAACAACATCTCTACATTTCCTTCATGCTTTTTATTTATCCTCACAAACAGAATGTTTCCACCTCTTCATAATTTCCGCCTTTGTTCTTAGACATGGCTGCACTAAACTTGAATGAGGGATCGAGTGGTGCCGGTTCAGAGCAGGACACATTGGCCCCTCTCCCCCCTCCGTCTACTAACCCGTGGCCCATGGGCGGCCAGCCCTTCCCCTATCCACCCTTCTCCACAGCGCCCTCTGGTTTCCCACCAGGATATTCCGACCCCTGCCACAGTTTCCACAGTGGCAGTGCAGGAAGTCATCACAGTGAGGGTAAGTAGGGAAAGGTCATCCTTGACTTCATATTACTGGATCACAGTTAGACATTCCAAAATAAATCTTAGCCTAGCTCAGTACTGAAATGATAAGATTGTGTAGTTTAGCTCATATATAAACGTTATTTCAGGCTGTTGTAAATGTATGAAACAGTTGATCCTGCATTATGCATTTAGCTGTTTTTGAAAGCAAGAATTAAATTTTTTGTCTTCAAATATGGTCGGCCCATTTTAGGTGTCTTAGTCTCTAGTTTCAAGCAAAACTCAGATCATTTTTGGCCTCATTTTAAAAAATGATCCCCATCAGCTGACATCAGCTCATCTTGATTTCATCTGGCATATACATCTCATTCTCTAATGCTTTTTGCCTTCAACGCTGATGCAGTGCACAAACACGTCCGTCTCAATCCACTGCTTCACATTAACCTTCACCTGTTGCACATTTCACACATGCCATGCACTAGCTCAGGAAGGAAACTCAGCAGCCTGTTGTGTGTGTTTGAGTTACTGTAAAGAGCAGTTAGAGTGATTTGTCATCTCTTGAGTGAAGGTTCGGATGTGTTGTGTGGTTTGAAACTTATGGATAGGCCCATGAAAGCAGTCAAATAAAATCAAACTAGGGCAGATATGGAAAAACATTTTAAATATATGGATTTTATGTACTATATATATACATTACCGTTCAAAAGTTTTGTGTCGATAAAATTCTTTAATGTTTAACTCCTATGCATTTTTTTGATCAAAATTAAAAACCATAATAATGTGAAATATTTTTAATAAAGCCATTGCTCCAGTCTTCAGTCACATAATCCTTCAGAAGTTAGGGATGGGCACGTTGATATTATGAGTATTGATATATATAGATACTATAGTAAGTATTGATTTATTTCATATCGATTCCTTGAAAAAAATATCCATATTAGGGCTGTCAAACGATTAATCGTGATTAATCGCATCCAAAATAAAACTTTGTGTTTACATAACATACTGTATGTGGGTGCACTGTGTATTATTATTTTATATATATAAATACACACACATGCTTGTATATATTTAAGAAATATTTTCATATATATATACTGTATATAGATTTATATATAATTTATATTATATATAAATATTTTATATATAAATAATATTTTTTCTTAAATATACATGCATGTGTGTGTGTATATATATATATATATATATATATATACACAAAATAATTGTACACAGTGCACCCACATATATTATGTAAATACAAACCTTTATTTTGGATGCGATTAATCGTTTGACAGCCCTCATCCCTATTAAAGTGATAATTATACAAAATGTGGGTTTCTGCATCACATTCAAATGTTTCCAGCACTTTTTGTTAATGTTTGTTTTTAAATTTATTTAGCTGGCCTGTGTCACGTGATGCGTCACACGACATACACTTCTGCATTAAACCGAGAGAGAATGGCTGAAAGGAAACATAACATTGTGGTGGTGTTACATTTCACCTGTAGGAAAAAAAAATGGTATATGATACATGGTATATTATTTTATTTTATACATATTTATGTTATAATCATTTTAATTACTTGATTATTATTTAATCCCATTATAAAATACAAGATTACATTTACACCTATTGTTGTCCACATTTTAATTTAATTTTGCGCATTTGCTTTTCTGGTAAATTTCCAATTAATGGCCACTAAGTGTCATGTAGATTTGATTCGACTTAAGTATGAAAATGAACATTATTTTGAAAAATCACATACTGATTTAAGAAATAATCAGTATCGTTAAAACTGTAACAAAAAGTATCGATATCATATCGAATGAGAAAAAGTTTGGTTTCGACCATCCCTATCAGAAATCATTCTAATAAACATTTCTTATTATTATCAATGTTGAAAGCAGTTGTGCTAATTAAATAGTTTTGTTAAATTTATATTCAACTTTGATGCTTCATTTATTTGAAATAGAAATGTTTGTAATATTATAAATGTTTTTTATTGGCACTTTTGATCAATTTAATGCATTCTTGCTGAATAACAGTATTAAAATCGTACTGATTTTGAACGGTAGTGTTTATTTTTGAATAGATATGGCATGCGATGTCATCGAATTTCGCTTTCCTGATGACCCTGGATTTCACAATATTTCATGTCATCGCAACATGTAAATAGATATCTTACATGAGCGCATGTAAGATATTATTTTAACTGAGCAGATTCCAGATGAAATTCCAGAAGTGCATTCAGGCTGAGAGGATGAACTGTACTTGATAGAGCTTCTGGTAATAAGACAGACAGACAGACAGACAGACAGACGGCATAACTGTGTTGTTTCCTGTTCGTTTCTGCTGGGCAATGGCAGACTGATGGAGGAGGTAGTCCCAACCCTGGGGTGTCCGGTAAGGCAGCCTCCTTCCCTCTTTCTCGCTCTTACTGACCCCTCTTACGGTCATGTCTGTCTCCCTCCATGACTGGGGTATTTCTGTTGCTGGATCTGTCCTGCTGCCTCGCCTCTCGTCTCTGTATTTCTCAGCATGTCCTGTGTTGTGGATAAAGCGGCCACACAAATGAACTGCATACACAATAGGGAATAAACATGACAAAATCAATGTAGATCCCACATGTGTATGTGGAAAGCTTTGCCATGCCTGTAAGAGTGAAATGATGTGGCTTTTGTTTGAAGTTTGACTGTTTTAAATTCAAGATGCAGCACCTCATGAACTCATTTGCACTGTCATTTGACTCCAGTGTCATGTCATCCAGTTTTAATTGCACATCTGATGGATGCATTTCATCAGCTCTTTAATTGCCATTATTTTTCATCATACTTTAATTATTCTCTTTGAAGTGTGTTCGAAGTGAGAGAAATGCAGAACATTTGTCATTATATGTTAGTGCTTCTCTGACTTTACTTCAGTTGCTGAAGGATGAAGCACTGATTAGTTCTAGATCAGATTCAGGGCTTCTCAACTGGTCTACCTGAAAGATCCAGATTGTACGTTTGTCTTCACAGTTACTAAATTGTTTAAGTCAAACATTATCATTTATTAATATTAACAAAAATTGCATTGGCAAATTGCATTTCCTTTTTTTTTCATTTTGCATAATGTTGTTTATGGTTTTTTGGGGTTGAAGCCACATCACTAATTTTCCTTGTTATCTGCATAATTTGGTTAGCTTCTAGTTCTAGTTTCACTGGACAAAGAAAACAAAATATATTCTTTTTTTTTAATTATATACACTACTGTTTAAAGGTTTGGGGTCAGTAGTTTGTTTTTCCTTTTTATTATATTTTTCATTAAATAAATGCAGCCTTGAGTGAACATGAGACTTCTTTTCAAATACATTTTTAAAAAATCTTACTGACCCCAAACTTTTGAAAGGTAGTATAGTTAGTTGAATTTTATTATTTGCATTCAGTATTTGTTTTCCCTGCTTTCCTCAACCAGACTTACCTGAAGCAAATGTTTTGGTCATTGCAAACTTTTGTTTTACCTTCTGTAAAAAGCATGTAAAGATTAAAAAAAATGCATTAGGCTGATTTACTTCTTTCCTTTGTTCTCCATATTACCACTTCTTTTCATTTTCCAGGAAGTCGAAGCAGTAGTTCCAACCCTAGCGTTGGGAGGAGCCAGCGGCCCGTGCCGAGGGACAAGGACCGCAAAGCAGCAGGCAGCGGCGGCAGCGAATCGGATTCAGGCAACAGAGCAGGTGGGAGGCGGGTTGAGCGTTCAGCCAGCCAGTTGAGCCACCGTAGCCATACTCTCTCATCTCGCAGCCACACTCATTCCCGAGTCCCTTCCCAGCACAGCCGCACGTCCTTCTCCTACAGCCACACTCCCTTCTCCAAGTACGGCCACACCTCCTGTGCACTCAGCGAACGGAGCCACGCCTCCTCTTACGGGCCCCCGGGCCTGCCTCCTCCCTACAGCCTGGCCAGATTGACCCCTAAGGGTGCTATCAGCAGCGGGCCCCCTGGGGCCCCACCAGTCAGGGAGATAGGGACCGTACCACCTGAACTCACCGCTAGTCGCCAGTCCTTCCAGCATGCCATGGGAAACCCTTGTGAGTTTTTTGTGGACATAATGTAATCTGAGGAACAAATATTATAATCAATTCTGTAATCTCACATGATGAGTGCCATTAATACATGCTCACTTTCACCAACAGCACATGTGGCCGTACTGTAGTCAAGTTTGTGTGGAAGATTGAGGATCATTTGTTAAGATAATCATGTGTTGAGCGGAGGGAAAACATATCTGCACACACTACTATTCTTAAGGGTCTGTAAGGTTTTGTCTCTTCTCAGCAAGGCTGCATTTATGTGATCAAAAAATACAGTAATATTGTGAATAATAACTCATCTTTTTTCTCTGTAATGGCAAAGCTTAATTTTCAGCATCATTACTCCAGTCTTCGGGATCACGTGATTTGGTGCTCAAGAAACCTTTCTTATTATTATCAATGCTGTTTAACATTATAAATGTATTTACTGTCATTTTTGATCAATTTAATGCATCCTTGTTAAATAATATTATTAATTTAATAGTGTTAATTTCTTTAGAAAAAAACAAACAAAAAAACTTACTGACCCCAAACTTCTGAAAGTATCTGAAAGTATAGCAACCAAACAAAGCACCCAATTTTTCTGTCACCATAAAATCAAAATCAAACTAATGTTTAGTAATGGCTGATGTTACATTACACATTAGGCTCAGCACAAAATTTAAGACCAGTATTAACCATTTTAGCAATAAAAAAACACCAGCAGGCACATTAGCAAAAGGTAAAGACAATCAGACAATGCCCTCTGCTGGTCAGGAGCTGTTAGTCCTTTCCAAAGCTGTCCTTAAAGAGACTAGGCTACTGATCACCTTTAAGATCCAGCAACGGTCAAACAAGTATTTTCATGTTGTGTTTTTTCCTTTTCAAACTCTATTTAAAACAATCTTGTTGTAAAATTGTAGTTTCATTTTTGGTGCACATTGTTACTAGGTTGGGAACATGGTAGCATGACACTGTTATGACTCTCTTGGCTATGAAACACTAGCTAGAAAAAAAAAATATTTTCAGGAAATAAAAAAGATATCAGGGTAATTCAAAAGCAGCACTTATGGTGTGGATGCACAAAACAAATTGGCGCTTGCTGAACGTCTGAAATTAGTAATATTTTCTTACGTAAGATCTTCTTAAATATTGTCTTTTGCCCCCTGGAATAATGTGTCAGTCGTATGATGTGATATCTCGTGCTGGTAAGCTGTTCATCAGTGTCTCAAAGAGAACATTTTTGCTCAAAAAGCTTGTTTAAGGTAACTAAATGAAGGAGACCACTTAGCACATGGACTGTGTGTACTACTGTATGTGTAGTATTTAACCATTTGAGGACTGTCGCTCAAGATAAACCGTCAAATTGGCACTTTTACAAGATCTGATCTGCGCTTTTATTGTGAATCTCCGTCTTTAGATGTGGTGTCTAATTTTTTGTCTTAGTAAGACTGGGCAAAAACTGCTGTACATAGTTCATTTTTATTGTATATATGAAAATAGATAATTGTATAAAGTATATGTACAGCGCTTCTGGTCATACCTTTTTTGTATTTATGTAAGATATAAATTGGACTCTTGTGTGTTTGTAATTTTAAAGCAGTTTTCTAAATCTCATTTTGTTTGTGTTGTATTTGTCTGACCTTCTATAAGTGAAACTGTCTGAAATAAACGATTAGAAAAAACAATTGGTTTGGATATTTATTAGTACAACATATTCTTGAATAAAACAAAGACACTACAGAATTTGTCAATCACAATCGTGGAAGACACCTATACTTGACAATAAGCATAAAGTCGTATGCAATACATTTCTAATGGGCAGGTGAATTTAAATGACACCTACTCTCCATTGTTGTCCTTTATTTCAAGAAAACCTTTACACAAACTAACTTGGAATTCACATTTGACTTGCCTAAAACCGCTCCTGTAATAAAACCACCAGGAATGACAAAGGACAATGTGGCACCCCTAAAATATTCTGAAGTTTATATTATGATTTGCTGGAACACAAAATGCATGTCCATTATAAGACATCTTTTGAGATTATATTTTGAGGGATTTAAACACACAGAGCAACTGTAAACATAATATATATCAAAAGAACTGACACCTCAAATCCACACCTCTGTAACCTCTGCAATTCATCCAAGTGCACTTAAAATCTCCACATAGACAGTTCAAAGCTCCTAAATTGAGAAATAGTATTGTGCGTGGTTTTTTTAGGGAATAAGGTCTAAGGATTCTGAGTATGGCGGCTTAATAAAGCTGTACAGAATAAATATTTACAGCACAGCAGGTCTTCATACTTCATCCTAGGAGAATGATTTAGTGCTGGGTCCATTTGATGCTTTTAATGTCAATGCCCTCCTGGACCATTTCCCATAATGGACTAATAGACAACAAAAAAGGACAAAGCAGGTTATAACCTTCCTTATTTTCCCAAAGAAAATTCATGGGTTTTAAGTTGATTAATACGATTATATTATTATACGATTCTTGATTACATGATGAGGATTTGTAAAAAATATTAATATTAAACATTCCCATATTTCCCATGATGTGGGATGTCAGGTCAGACTCATGTATAGCTCACCTCATCTCCCTCAGCCGCCTGACGTGGTGAATGCACTTGTCCGCTGTGTAGTCCACTTCCTCCTCTGTGGTGAATCTGCCAATTCCAAATCTGAGAAAAACGTCAGATCCCTTATTATTATACAGTACGTGTGCCCATGCTTCAAGCAGGATCCATGCTGCACTGAGAACTGAGACTTTAGATAAAGCAACACAAAAGCACAATAAACATTTCGACTGATGTAAAAACTACACACCGAATAGAAGAGTGTGCCAAGTCCTCATCTGTCCCAATTGCTCTGAGAACATATGAGGGCTCCAGGGAAGCAGACGTGCAGGCGCTGCAACAAGAACACACTCAAGTCACTGCATCCATGAAGACTTTCATCATATCAGCATCAAGGCATATATTTTCTACAGTAAGTAATAACATTTAAAATAATCATAATAACAATAATATTTCAACTAATTGTATATAATAATTTAACATTATCTCTACAAAGATAAACAAACAATCAATCAATAAAATACCAATAACAGTTATGTAAAATCTTTAAATCTGAAATAAATGAAAATCATAATATTTTCCCATGAGATACTGTAATCTTTTGCATTTTTTTACTAGCATTTTAGTGTGTGTGTGTGTATATATATATATATATATATATACACATATACATAGTAAATGTTTTGGAAATGGGAAATGCTAGTAAATGGGAATGTTTAATATTAATATTTTTTACAAAACCTTATCATGTAATCACAAATGACTGGGAATATATGAAGAGTTCAGATGCAAAAGCCTCTAAATGCCATTTGAAATTTTCTTCTTTATTGATGATTTTTATCAAATTTGTATATTTAAGTTCAGTAATTTCACTTAAATAACAATTAATAGGTAATTATCATTGCCATTTAAGTGAAATCACTGAACTTAAATATACAAGCTTGATAAAAATCATCATTAAAGAAGAAAATTTCAAATGGCATTTAGAGGCTTTTGCATCTGAACTCTTCATATATATATATATATATATATATATATATATATATTTTGCTTTTAGTTTTATATTTTCAGTTATCATTATCATTTTTAATAATTTTGCAATGTGCTTTTTTATTTTATAATAAACATTACTATTCAGGTTTATTTGTATGTGTGTTATTTTAGCACATATGTATTTATGTATATATAAATATAAACACATTTTTTTGGAATTAGTTTTTAGTTTATATTCATATAAACTTTATATTTTCAGTTACCATATCATTTTAAAAAAAATTGCAAAAAAAAAAAATTCACATTGTGAATTAATTTATTTTTTACTATCATTTTTAGTAATTTATTTATTTCCAGTTAGTAATTTTAGCTCTTCATCTTTACAGTTTAAAATGTACAAAATTCAAAATGTAGCCTTGGCAACAATATACAAATACATTTAAATCTAATAATTATATTTTATTATTTCTGCTGAACATTGGTGACCTTGAATGTGCTCTTATTATGACTGTTGACTAAGGGGGTGTGAGTCTAAGGGGTGTGGTTCGTTCATTATGTTTTTCAGGTGTTGCAATTTAATAAATGACTGCATGCTCCTGCTCCTGTGTGTGTGTGCACGACAGTCAAACGAAACCTGATGAACAAAAATATTTCTAATAGTTTTAGTAAAAGGATAATATTTCAATCATGTGGGGAGTACATGTAAATGAACAATGTGTGCTATTGTCTGCATATTTATAAACCCTGGTTAGACATTTAAACTACTAACCTTCCAGATGAAAGTGCAACATCTTTTAATGCCATCAATAGACTCTCCCCCTCAACGTAGGAAAAGGATAAATTAATGCATCCTGAAGGAGGAAAGCATTTAAGATTACAAACCCAAGTCAACTTTGATCCTTACAAAGGAAAATTGACACCTGGACAGTCCAGTCTCACCTGGGTATCTCTGATCTGGGTCTCCATTCATCACAACATCAGGAATCTCAGACATGATCTTCTGAATTAGGCGATTAGCAAGCAATGTCACACGCTTGTGATCGTACTGAGAATAAACAGGACATTAAACCTGCATGTAAGTAACACGTAAACTTAGATTAGCAGTAGCAAAAAAAACAAGCACTTTTTCCAACTCTACCTCTAACTCCTGCTGGGCGATCTCACAGGCGGCTCCGAGACCTACGGCTAGAGGTGTTGGGACGGTCCCTGAACGCAGACCCCTTTCCTGACCCCCTCCGCTCTGCAAAGGCTCAATACGAACTCTGGGTCTTCTCCTGACGTACAAAGCCCCAACTCCTAATAAACACAAGTAATTAATATATTTTGGATAATGCAACCATTGTGCATTTAAATGTAGAATGCGCTACCTTTGGGCCCGTAGATCTTATGGCCGCTGATGGACATCAGGTCCACTTTCCAGTCAACGACATCAACAGGGATCTTTCCAACAGCCTGAGCAGCATCAGTGTGAAAGAACACATTTTTGGACCTACACAGATGACCTGAAATCAAAAAAAGATCCTTGATATAGATGAAATGAAGCCTGACAGGTATTTATTTCAAGAATAATGTAGATAATAAAGGTTACCTATTTCTTTGACTGGCTGTTTGACACCAATCTCGTTGTTAATAGTCATTACGGACACCAAGCTTGTATCAGGACGGATCGTTTCCTCTAATAGCTGAGGAAGCAAAATATAAGATAAATACAGGACTTGACATTAACACCTGCCAAATGCGGGTGGATTTTAGCGGTGGCTTAACACAGTCACTCCTACTAGCCAATTTGGTGGGTTGAATTTATGTATAATATGTACATTTTTCAATTGTAGTCTTTTAAAAAAGCATCTGAAATAACAAACCAAGTGCAATGTAGTGTTGCCAAAAATATCCATATGTATCAATACTGAAATATCTGAAAGGCTTCCAATACTCATTTTCTGCAGAATAGATACACAATACCAGCTTCTCTCTCTCTCTTGTTACACACAAACCCACCTCTGCTCACTCACTCATTTCATTTGCTGAAGGATGAATATTGTTGAGGACTTGAATTTTGGACTAGGACTGCGCATTTTGTGCATAATTTCACTCATTCCCACAGATTTGGTGCTCACACCCGAAGTGCGTGCACATAAAGCCAGTACTAATTAGAGGTCTTTTTCGCTGCTTATTGCACTTAAACAGTCAAATACACACGTCAAAATGCCTGTCTTGGCGAATATTCACATAAACCCAATAAGTTATGTTTTAAGTGGATGTAAGCAGTTGAGGAAGAAAATGTACATTTTACAGTATAATGGATCCCTGTGTCAGGTCTTGAAAGCAGCTAATATACTTGCTGCCAAATTATGAGATAATATAAAAAAATTATCTATAGGGCAGTTTTCCCCCATGTTAACAATGTGAAAATTTTGGCCAGTGAAAATGCTGATCATATATATATAAATATAACATTCCAAAACCATTTTAAAAAAGTCTTGCAGATCATTAAAATATAATAAGAACACAAACTAATTAGAAATTTTGATTTTATTTTTTGTGTGTAATGTGCCACTATCTACCCCCAATAGTATTGCAATCTATTGTGACATCCATAAAAACATTATTTCAACATAGTTTTAATCAATTTGGGACTCCCTATTTGTTAAACAATGTGAGAACAGATGAGTGTCTGAAACTTATTTGAAAAGCAAAATAAATGTAATTATTCCCCCAAAAGAAAGCTTACCTTCAGGTCAATCAGCCCATTATTTTTCACAGGTAAATACGTTATATCAAAACCCTCTGCCTCCAGAACACGACAAGAGTCCAGCACACACTTGTGTTCCGTCTGGGTGGTAATAACGTGCTTTTTCTTAGCTTTATAAAACCGAGCCACACCCTAAAGACAAGAAAAGAACGATTTTTTGCCATTTTTAATAACTAATGCAGTGGATCCTATATAAACTTCACCTATTTGATTATTTTAGGAAATGCCAAGTCATCTGTGCCCCAGTGTTCCACTTCCTCCTAATCCTAATCTTTCCCAACAGTAATGACATACTTACTTTGATTGACATATTGTTGGACTCAGTAGCACCACTGGTGAACACGATCTCCCTCGGGTCAGCACCAATAAGATCTGCTATTTGCTGAAGAGGAAATAAACAGTGGTGTTCCAGTAAACAGTGCATTTTTAGCTAAACCTAAATATTATGCTTTGATATTCATAAATAAAGCTCTCAGCTCTCGGTTTTTTATGAAGGATAAAGACTTACTTTTCTTGCTTTTTCCATTGCACTCTCACTCTCCCATCCATAAGCATGAGTCCTGGAATGTGGGTTGCCGTAGTAATTCACTTGATAAGGGAGCATGGCATCCAAAACCCTTGGGTCCTGTTGCATCAGATGTAAACAATGAAAACAATGCAAGACATGAATCCAAGAAATGTTCTCATGCACTAGATTCACGAGTATGAATAGTAATTGAACTAAATGGCATTATAATTGGGTACCATGGGTGTGGTGGCCTGAAAGTCCATATACAGAGGTCTCAGCTCATCCTTTTCAAGCTCCCTAGTTTTGATCAACTCTGTGGAATAAGATGGACATGTTTATCATCAGCACTAAAAGTTACAGTGACATTTGGAATAAATAGAGTCATACAAGGAAGTCAAGCATGTATTTGCATGTATTGCAAGTGTGTTAATGTATATTAGCAAAGACTCCTCGAGTACACACGCTCAACTCAACTGCGTCACTGTCGGTCTCTAGACTAGAGAATAAGATGAACTAAAACTTTACCTTTCTGGATTTGCACAGTGTTCGCAGCGGTTTGAGCGAACCTCAGTCGAGGGCTGGAGATCCCACACATGGAGCCCAGAAGTTTTCTCGATAATGTCCTGTTCATCATGTTTATGCAATCACAGGGTTATCAATATAAACGATTATAGATGTATTAAAATAGCTTCTTTCAAAGCCTTCTTCAAACAAATAGCCCGTCAGATAAATAACAATATTATTCGCGCAACTTCAGAAGAGAAAACATGCCCGCTATATCGCCATAAAGCAGTGTGTCATAAGCTCTCAAAAACATTCGGGGATTCTTACACAAGACGCACATACAGCTGGGGCGGGACGTCTGTTGTTATAACTCTCATTGGTTATCGGTGTCTCATGTGGGCGGGTTTTTGTGTCGTTTACGGAGTCAATTGGTTGAAAAGTAAGCCTGGCCTTTTTCTTTTGCCGGAAATTGTAAACATGAACCAACCAATACAATCTGCCCTGTAACAGTTCCCCTGTCCTTGGACATGCTTTTGTTCAGTTTATTTTGGAAAAATCTTATTAAAAGATTTTAATAAGAACCCGTTTATTAAAAGAAAGCTTTAGTTGCTAGTTTTCCTGTCAGATAACATTATGCTTAAAACTGCGGTTTGTATTTTCTCAACACTACTGACGGGAACTACAAATAATATCCTCGAATCGGTTCTTTTGAACAGTTCGTTTCAAATAAATGACTCGCTAACATGCGTCATTACACAACTACGAATTTTCGATTATTTATTTATTTATTTATTTTTACAATTAAAGCAGTAATTATAACAAAAAGTTAAAATTATGACAAGGGAATTGCATTAAAATTCGAAAAGATGACGTGACATAATTGACTGAATGCCTTAATTTTAATTTCATAGTTTCGACTTTTATCATATAATTATGACTTAACATCTCATAATTTTGACTGATTATGTCATAGATAACTTTTGTGTCATAATTGATTTAGCCGAATTAATTTCATCACGAGCAGCAAAAAAACTTCTCAATGCGCTTTTAATAAAAGTAATGGACTTTGTACTTATCTTGAAAACAACGTGTGAAAATGAGGAAGTAGATCTGTGAAACATAAAGTTTGGAAAAGCGCGAGACTATTCAGATCGGTTCTAAAATAAAGGTAGGCTTCTACATTTCCATGTGTATTTGTATTTACTGAAAACTAATTATTTAGTGTCTTCAGAGTTTTTAGCAACAGTTGCATGTATTCATTTAGTTGTACAGTATGGCTGAACTACTAATTCGTTAATTGATATGTAGCCTAAGCCTATTTGTATACTTCCTTAGCACAGTAAATTGTGATTGCTTACATTGGTTTGATTAGTTTTCACTCATTAAACACACTATTATTATAAAACAGGTAAAGAACCCATCCATAACATCTGCCAGAAATGTCTCCAACTTCAGTGCACCACCTCAAACATCAGTGGTCATTACTTCGACGGACAGCAGCGATGCACGGATGTGTGACTATGAATAGAACTGCTTTATTGCACACAAGGCACTTCCATCTCTCAAAATCTACAGTTTGCACAAATCCACCAATGATTCTAAACCCCAGAAGAAAATACAATGTCAAGGCTAACCAGATGTCACTCCCACAAATAAACCATGCTTTAAAGGCTAATGAGTATAGTTTAAAAGCAAATGGTTACGATGGACGTTATAATGTGTTGATAAAAGGGTTTGACAGTAATATCTTAGCATCAAACTCCCCAAGCGAAGACCGAAGGAGTGCTGCAACATGTCTACAGAGCCGTGGCATGCTGTTCGGAGTGTTTGATGGTCATGCAGGGTCAGCTTGCGCACAAGCAGTTAGTGAACGTCTCTTCTACTACATAGCCGTGTCTCTACTTCCACTGAAGACTTTAATTGATATAGAGGAGGCTGTGGAGAACGAACGGCCTGTGCTTCCCGTGCTACAATGGCACAAGCATCCCAACGACTATGTTAGCACAGATGCTGGCAAACTATACTTCAATAGTCTGAGGACATATTGGCAGGAAAGGATAGACCTTCACGAAGATGATGACAATGATATACAAACAGCTTTACGAAGCGCTTTCAAGAGATTGGACAATGATATATCATTGGAGGCCCAGGTTGACCTTGGGGTTCCCTTTTCTCATTTCATACCTCTCAGAGTGGCTCTATCTGGATGCACAGCTTGTGTGGCTCACGTGGACCAAGAAGATCTTCACGTAGCCAATCTGGGTGACAGCAGAGCCGTTCTTGGAGTCCAAGGGGATGATAGGCGATGGTCAGCTCTCACTATTACCAATGACCATAATGCCCACAACCCAGACGAGATGCAACGAGTTCTCTCTGAGCATCCTGCTTCAGAACATAAGACACTGGTGAAACATGACAGGTTATTGGGCTTGTTAATACCTTTCAGGGCTTTTGGAGACATGAAGTTAAAGTGGAACAGTGAGCTCTTGAATCGCATCTATGAGGCACGTCCAGAGCTACTGGTTGGAAACGAAAATTCTAAAATACTGTCTCCGAACTACCACACACCACCTTACCTCACAGCAGAGCCAGAAATAATCTCTCATAAATTGCGACCCCAGGACAAATTCTTGGTTCTAGCTTCTGATGGTCTCTGGGAACTGATGCACAGGCAGACTGTTGTGCAAGTCTTAGGGGAACACCTGTCTGACATCCAGTGGAAGAAGCCAGTTTCTGGACTAGGTTTTACAGTGGGACAGATGCATAGGCTGTTGCAGGAGAGGAGGAGCAGAGCACTCTCTGTTCTGGAAGACGAGAACAGTGCGACTCATCTGATACGTCATGCTCTGGGGGACGATGGTAGCGGCTCCATTGAACATAACCGTATAGCCAAAATGCTCAGTCTGCCCCAGGATTTGGCAAGAATGTACAGAGATGATATAACAATTGTAGTCATCCACTTTAATAGTTAATCTACTTGAAGTTAATATGAAATATTTTGTTTAAAACATTTTTGTGCAAATTATTATTTTAATGACACTTTTCAGTTTAATCTAATTTCTACTCAAGCAAATGGTCCAGCTTTTCTCATCTATTGTAAGGAGTCTAGTTAAATCTCCATGTTTGCATTTCAAAAATACATAGTGACACTTTGAATTCACACAATTAACAGTTCAAATTAAACAAGAACCAAACATTCAGTTATCTTGGCTTTATTTGAAATGAACTTTCATCAAGGACTTTACAAAAATCAAATCTTGATTACAAAAAACAAGATGTTTCTAAACCTTATGGTCTCTAAAGGAACACAAAAGATATTTGTCAGCCATTTAGTTCCCACAGCTCATAGAGCCAAAAAACTGATTATGTTTGATCAAAATTGCAGAGTTTAAATCAAGACTTATTTTATATTGTGTATCTGGCAATATTGTACACTTCCCCAAGTGGGAAACAAGCCAATCAGATCTATCACAAAGACAATATATGTGGCGGGGGAAAAATATGTATGAACAATAAAAGATCAAGAAGCAAAATTCAACAAGTAGGCTGTACATAGGAAACTTTTTAAACCACAGAACTTCTCTCGATGTCCAAGACCTGTAAGGACAATATGCAAGTGAAGTTAACCTTACTGATTTGTAACCAACTTCAAGGAAACAAAACAAATACGACACAGCTTGCTGTTATTGTCGTCCAAAAGTTAAAAAGAGCAAGGGTGAAAAAAAGTGAATCTTCCAGAAATGATTGATCACCGGCGACTGGGCATAAGAAGCTGTGTAGCCTGCACTGACTCTGGGAAAAGGTTGTGGTATGTAGGAAGAGGGACATAAGCTGCTGTGATCATTTTACCTAAAATAAAATATTAAAATGTGAGATGACAATTCAGACCATCATGCATATTGTAACTGGACTGATAAGTGAATGAACAATTCAGACAGAATTTAGAATTACCTCCAAACCAGCGTCCATGTAACGCACTGACTGCTGCCATGGCAGCAGGAATGGTGGGACATTTCACATAGACATTACCCTGAGAAAAATAACAATGAAGTTTAGAATTACAAATTAAACACATAAGCTCCACATATAGTACATAATGACAATGTTTAAGGAAAGCCACTCACTTCAGCGGATTTCTTGTCCACATATATATGTATGACTCCACCATGTTTATTGCACTCTTCAATGACATCATCCTGAATTTCGATTTCCCAACCATGATCATTTTCTCTGCAAGAAAGCACTGCAATTAAAATTCAGGCCTTCAACATTACTTTCTCTACATAGATTACTTGCTCTACTTACGAGTTTGGATTGAACATGTTAGACAGCTGGAAACAGTGTGTTGCAATTGGCTGTGATGGTAGATTCATAGCTTGGTTTGTGGGCACATTGATGTTAAAACTCAATCCAGGGTTCATAGCAGCTGAAAGAAAAGATGGACTTTAAATACAAAACCCCCAAAAATAAGTGGATAAATGAAAGCACATGTACATAAAACAAAAGGAACTGACCAGTAGCAGCAGCCATGGCTACCATGGAGTTACTCATCTGAAGGGCCTGTTGTGCAGCGGGTGGGATCTGCAGACCTGTACCTAACAGATAACGGTTTAAGCATTTTAAAACACCACAAGACTTTACCCACTTCATAACAGCAGTAAACCATACTTGTTAATACTGCAGATCAGAGTACATCCTACCTTCGGCCAGTCTGGCCATGAGTTGAAGTCTTCCGGTAGTTCCAAGATCAATACCGGTCCTTTCCAGCTCATCGTTGTCCAGGAAGGAGCTGGCGGTGGAGGCATCAGTGCGCTCCGTCACATGTCCAACTTTCATTGGTCTGCCAGCCAACTCAAAGCCATTAAGCTGTTCCAGAGCCTTCTTGGCACATTCGGCATCAGAAAACTGAAGAAAGAGAAAAAAGCAGATCATAACCTCTTGACCTCATAACCGCAATGTCAGAAGTTCAGCACCTAAACATCCGTGACATTTCAAAAGCAGTTTGACCATACAACTTACTGTAATAAAGCCATATCCTTTAGATCGTCCCGTTTCACTGTCCATCATCAGTTGAATGCTGTCAATCTGCATGAACAAGGAAAGATCAATTTAAATTTAAAAGAATAAGTGATAATATAAAGTGATCAAATAAAAGAGGGCAACATTTACCCGTCCAAATGGTTCAAAGATGCCTCGGAGCATGTCTTCTGTGATGTTGAAGTGTAATGACCCGACATACAGTCTCATAGGTCCAGAACTGCCCTTCTGTAAGTTGTTGGCCAATGCAGCCGCTCTGTTCTTCTCAGCCTGGTGATCAAACAAACAACTGCAATTAGAAGATGATCACATCTACAACCAAAGACAATTTATTCACAGGCTTCTCTGTTACCTGTGAAGCCTGGACAATGATTGGTACTCCAAGAAGTCTTTGACCAGACAGACCGATTGCCAAAGGTACAGAGGTAGAATCTACAAACTCAATGTAAGCAATTCCTTTGGATCTTCTGGAGTTTCTGTCAGAGATGATTCGCACATCTCGCACCTTTCAAAAAGAACAAAGGGAATTAGATCTGACCATCCAAAACCAAAATAGAAGAGGTAACATAGATAGAAATGGTCCAAATTTAAACCACATAGATAAACAAACACAGACTTTTCCCACTGCAGAAAAGAATTCCTCCAGGTCTCGTGGCCGAATTCTAGCTGCCAGCTGCATACAGAACACTGTGCGCGCATCCCTTTCCTCAGGGGTGAGATTATCAATAGGCTGTCTGTTCGCAAAAGACAAAACAAACAAGCAGTGAATGACTATAATCAGCAAGGAATGTATTAGGGGGAAATGTAATTTTCAAGGGTGAAATAAACTTACCTTATAGGGCTTTTGTCTTTCTTGAATGGACTGCGGCTCCTAGACCTTCTACGACTGAAAGAGAATTTCAGTGAGTACTTTTGGAAAGACTTTCCACGTCTGACTCAAACACAGAACAAACAACTACCCACACATCACAAAAATAGTATCATAGTAACCTTAGTTTGATGGCAGGAGGTGGGCCAGTTTTCCCTCTGGGGCCACCGTTAAATTTCAGGCCAGAACTGCGATTTAAAAACAAGGTTTTCAGGGTTTTTAATTTTAGTAGCTACAATTAATCACGCTACAACAACTTCTAAATATATACTGCAAGCTTCAATGGGGAACACGAGGGTAATTGTTGTAAACATTACAACAAATGCCTTGTTTTGGGGGACTCATATTCTCATAAATCGGGATGGCAGCTTAACTCCACTGCTTAGTAATTGTTCTCAGGAAGACATTTTCACGCTCATCAGGAGCACTGCGAGGGACTTTTCCCTCAGGGTAACATGCTCGCTATAGTAAAAAGACGCATTTAAAAAGCACTATATCGGAGCTGTGTAGCCACTTGAAAGAAAGATTAAAAGATGTACAACTACGTACAATGGAGCTCTGTAGCGCCCGCCACGCTCCCTGCTCCTGGATCGGCTGCGGCGTCTCTCCCTGCTGCGGCTGCGCTTCCGCTCTCTGCTGCGGCTCCTCCTGTGGTCGTGACTCTTCTTGCGTTCGCGACTCTTGCTTCTCTTCCTCTCCCGGCTCCTGCTGCGACTCTTGCTCTTCTTTTTTCTTTCAATTTAAAGGTTGAGTTCAGTAAAATATTGAAAGAGCGTTTTTTTTTAAAAAAAAAAGTAAAATGGTTAGGAAAATTGAAAAACTTACTTCTTGCTCCGCTCCTCGTGGCCATTGGTACTTATGGACTTGATGTCATCCTAAGCAGGGTCGATAGAAGACAGCATGAGGAGGACGGCGAAACATTTCAAGTCGTAAGGATAAAGAAGGGATGGGAACAAAAGAGAATATGATATGATCATTAAATAGGAGTTTATTACAGGGTTTGTGTGGGAAGACGATAAATACAAGGGGGACCTTTAGAAAGAAACCAACCACATGGCTGCCAATGTCGTTCTTCCTTACTAGTGCTTGCATTACTTGTGTAAAACGTCCAAAAATAAAAAAAATAAAGTAATAATAAAAAAAAATAAAAAAAATAAAATCAAGTGCTAATGCTATGCTGGGTATGTAAAAAAAGCATTTTTTTGACACTTCATTCATTCATTAAGCAGCCCAACAGGTTCAGTACCAAGGCTATCTGAGCCTAAGACCCAAAGTGGCAACGCAAGCAGCCAGCCACTAAACGAGCTCCAGTGGTGGATGCCATTCCAGTGATCTTCACCCCATTTGCCTTCGTGGATTGAAAGAGCTCGATGCCACCTCAGTCACACATCTCGCCCTGAAGCAAACAGGGATTCACACGGCTTAGTAATAGCGACTCCCACAGACCATCTATAGTTGAGTTGATCTTTTGTTGTAGATAGTTTACAAGATAAATGTATTTTATGGTGAACGTTATGACATTATATGCTGAGCCCCATCAATTCCTGTTTGTAAAACCGCAGAATAACAATTTATAAGTATTTTCTAAATGTTAGCTGCATGCATAAACATTTTGTTTACTAAAACAGATGACATTTACAGTATATTTATCTTGGTTTATTTTCTAAGCGATGAACAGAGAATTAAGGAGACTGTGGATTTGCTTGGGTATGTCAACTCCAGGATTTCTGCACTAAGGATTATGACATTTTAGGCCAATTTATTTTTAGTGGTTACCTGCCATATATTTATAATGGTAAAACAAATCTCGTTCTAGCTATTTTGGAAGAAAACTTCCTTACGACAAAATATGGAGCTAAGAATATCATGCAAACAGTAACATGAATACAGTCTCCACAGAGTTCATACCAGCTCTTATGTGAATCCACTGCATTTATTCTGGCGGTACCTATGTATCATTTTGCCTAAGTATTTCAACCAAGGGTACCACAGTACATCAATATATTGGGCAATTACTACCTTCATTTTTTTGACAGTTCACACTGGAATTCATGGGAGTAGAGGTGAGATATAGGCAAGTCTACAAAAAGAGATAGATGGGCAATTTATTCATTGAAACCACTATGACAGAAACATTAAAGTTATTGATCTGACAATTAAGTCTTTACGAAAACACGACTGGTTAGCAGTTTCAAATGATAGTTAAACAGATTCCTGAGCGAGATTATTTACTTGCATTAACACCCACCTTTTTATATGGAGCCTCGAGCATTGCTTCGATGTCCAAATCATCGGCCATGTTGTTGTTGATGATCTGTAGGCGAGGAAAACAGTATTTTAAGTGGCGTTATAACTTAATGTTCAACTTAAAAATCTTATTCTAAATTACAACAAATAGGCTAACATTATTTATCTAACCTCTGTATTAAAATAGCATTTTTACACTCGTACTGTAACATTTCTGACTTGCGGACATGCGTGACTAGCTAGACGTGGACAGGTTAACGTCAATGAAATGTATCTCTCGCATATAATCGCGAATTGACTAATCAAATTTGGACGTTTAGACAAAATAAGCACACATAACGTACTTGTATGCAAGTTTGGATATTTTTTGTCCACATAACTCGTATTGTGGGTAGGGAATTTTTAAAATTGCTTTGTTAGCTAGCTTGTTAGCTACCTGGCTAAAGTCGTTGTTTATGCCAACATGCGGAAATTACACAGCCTAAACGTCGCAAAAACACGAATTAAATATATTTAAAATCAATGAGATCATCATATGACACATAACGCATTGAAATTGATCAGATTGTTCTCATAAATAGATCAAAACATTAGAAAAATATTAGCCTTTCCGTCTTACCTTAGACACTGCGGCCTACAGAGATTTTACAATCCTGACTCCACAGACGACCGCTAAAACCCGGATCTTCTGTCGGCTCCGGCTACAGTTGCAAACCCCAGGCGTTTAACAAGAATCCACACAAACCTAAAAAAACACAACGGTATTAATCCAAAACGTTATCGTTTCAACTAACACTAGTCACAAGGTGCGTGCTGCGGATAAACGAGAAGCTGACTGGCGGCAAACAGCTACTGCGCGTTCACGTCTTGTTCTTGTTGCATAATGGGAGACGCGCCGAGCTGTCCACCAGGGGGAACTCGTGTTATACACACTCACAACGGAAGTGTGGCAGGAAATACGGCAAAGTGACAATACAGTAAATAACACACACAGACATACACACCCTGAAACATTCGTTTTAATTTTAATTACAAAACCTTACCTCCAGCCCCACACCTTCTATCTGTCTGTCTGTTTATATATCCTGCCTGATCGATAGATAGATAGATAGATAGATAGATAGATAGATAGATAGATAGATAGATAGATAGATAGATAGATAGATAGACAGACAGACAGACAGACAGACAGACAGACAGACAGACAGACAGACAGACCACCAAGAGTCTGGAATATCTTTATGGCACCAAACCAAAAAGGAAGTGTGGGGGTACAAAAAAGAAAATACAAACAATGACTTATTATTATTTTTTTTTTAATGTAATCCCTATAGAACATTAAAATTAAAGGGGAAACGGCTGCTCTTTTCCTCTCACAGGCTTTCGAGTCTGTTTCACTCAGATGATTATTTTACAACACACTTTAGGCTACTATAAGGTCTCATTTGTTTAGTTAATGTATTAACTAACATGAAATAAAAATGAGAAAAACATTTGGTAACACTAAAGTTCAGTTCAGTTTTCAAGTTAAACTTTGCTAATGTTAGTTAATTAAATTAAAGCTGTTCATTGTTTGTTCATGATAGTTCAAAGTCCTTTAACTTTAATGTGATTTTAATAAAGTATTCTAAATGTTTAAATTAATACTAACAAAGATTGAATGTTGTATAAGCACAGTTCATTAAACCTTATTGTAAAGTGTTACCAAACATTTGTTAAAGTTGGCTATTGTAAAGTGTTACCAAACATTTGTTAAAGTTGGCTATTTATTAATCTTTGTTAATGTCAGTTAAAAAAAAAAGAATCATTCATTGTTTGTTCATGTTAGTTCACAGTGCATTAACTGATGTTAAATTTCCCCTGTAGTTTTTACCACTGAGACTGTTGAAATACAATAATTTGTACAGTTTTACAATAAACAGTAAAAGTGAACAACAAATTACATTAAATTTTAGAGTTTAAAGTAATACATGGAAGAGCAAAAGAGAGTAAAAAAAACCATAAAAAAGTATGTTTCATAGTAAAAAATACACTATACTGTAAATAAATTTACAGCAAGTAAAATGGAACTGTAAATATGAATACAGTATTTTTACTGTAAGTTTAATTTACAGTAAATACAGTTACTTACTGTTTACAGCCAATCATTAGTGGTTTATGAATATGCAAATCAGTCCCGCCTCCACTCATTCACAACAGAGATTCACTTGGTGACTATATTGGCGATTTCAAACCGCCTTTTTGCCTTAGGTCCACTGCAGTTTTAAGGAGAAAATACTTAGCAATGGTGTTGACTTGATGAATTTGCACATGGTTGGTCTTAAAGCATATTAAAAAACGCCACACATATAAACAAAATTAAAACGTGATTTTCTTTACAGAGGGACTTTAAATACAACTTGTAGCAATTTAATATATTAATAAATGTTGAAATGAACATTAACAAAGATTAAGAAATGCTGGCGAAGTATGTTCATTAGTTCATGTTAAAGTAGTTCATTATATTATGAAACCTTATTGTAAAGTGTTACGACCATACCGAGACTGCATAGTCAGACAGAACAGTACACAATCTTGTGAAAAATAGAATGTAACAAATTCATTACTCATCTTTGATGAGTAAAAATAAAACCGAGAAAAAAATATGACCCCACATTTTTCTTGGTTTAATCTCATTCTTTCCATTGACTCTCACCACAGCTTGCTTGATGTTCTGCTGGCTGCCAACTTTCCGTAATTATCTCTCTCTCTCTCCCCAGCCGCGCTCACAGTGAGGCAGAGTGCAGCCAAATGTAAATCTCTCCAGAGGCTTTCCACAGCATGAACATGACACACATCTGGAGGACGCCAGATTCTTGACACGTTACAAGAACCAGTCAGTGCGACCGGTGCTGGACCATTCGTCTTCCTGTACGCGCTGCCACCTCCCTGGCCTTATTCACTTTTTCCATTCTGCTCTCCCTCTCTCTTTCACTGTTGTGTTGTTCGTTTTTTACTGCATGCAGGCTCTGGTGAATGAGTCCCCTTTAATCTCCCGTCAGACGCTTAATGCACAGTTATTTTTGGTATTTGGAGAGAAAACGTCCACTTGTTATGAAAAGCAGAAACAGCCTTTCATGTGTTTTAACCACAGACCTGCTGGGTATTTAATTGTAACTTTGTAAAAAAAGCTTGGGAGATGAATCATAGTTCAAAGCAGCTTAGAGTTTGGTATCTAAGCTGAAGAAGACACCAAATGTTGGTAAGTTTCATGTGCATGACGACGTGAGAAAAATATCCTATACATCCACAACAAAAGTTGTTTATTTGCGTGTGATCTGCATGTGTATTAGCTGGGGGAAAGGTTGAGTGTGGAGTGGAGCATTCTTTCCATTACCCAGACCAAATCAATGCACTGAGGTCCCAGCCAGAACGCCACGTCCCCTCCCCCACTCCAGTGGTGACAAGGGGGCCAGTGGAAAGAGCTGACCCAGTCACAGCACACTGGCCTAATTGCAGTTCTGGCCTCCTGCTTCTCTTCCTGAAGCTGAGCAGTGGTTGCCACAGAGGATGGATAAAATACTCAACCACGTGGTCAAGGGAGCAACACGAGTCTAAGCTCACCCAAAAATGAAAAGTCTGTCATTGACTCACCCTCATGTCATTATAAACCTGTATGCATATCTTTATTCTACTGAACACAAAAGAATATATTTTGAAGAATGTTAAGGAACCAACATTTTCAGTTCCTATAGACTTCCATTGTATTTTTGTTAATATTTTTCAAAATATCATTTTTTTTTCTCCAACATAAGACATAATTGAATACACATTTGTAAGTAAATGATAACATTTTCATTCTTGGGTGAACTAGATTTTTAACTAAATGGGTCAAAGTATAAAACGACAGTAACTGTTTTACACAATCTTAATGGAAAGAAGGATAGTCCAAGAGTAAACTTTTTTGTTGTTGTTGCATTGGCAACCATCAATTGTAACTTACAGTAATAGGCATCTGGGAAATCCACCATCCACAAACTCGACCTTGACGTCTTTGTGTAAAATGACATTCTTGGTCATATGGGGGCTGAATTTGGGGCTTGCAGAAGATAGATTGCAAAGAATGACTTGTTTTGGAGACACTTTTATATATCAATCTATCTTTTTTGTCTTAGCAAAAATAAAATAATTTCAAAATAATGCCATGCATGCAGAATCCCTCAATCAACTTACATGGAGAATTATTAAAGGAAATCTGCAGGCATTGCAACTCCACAATGGAAAAAAACAAAACATTATTTTGGAGATCAGATCAATATTTTTTTTAAAGTTGCAATGCTCTTCTCATGCATTAACATTGAGTATGGATTATCAATGAGGCATGATGGTTTTCAGTTGCATTGCTTTTATGTTTGAAATATATTTGACCTCATATATGACCAATCCGCCAAACAAAACAAATTAGCATTTGAGAAAAGTAATCTGCTTTATGTGGAGCACTGAAGTGTCATCATACAGAGGCACTGACCGTGGCATTTCATTGTGGTCCTTTCTCAACATTGTTCCAGTGATTGAATTTCACAGATTGTTTCCATCTTGTTGTAGACAAGCCCTCTGAGCTCCTCGACTGTATCCGAAAACAATGATAATATGGGGTGTTCAGGATGGCACCCACTTAAATATGGATCTGAACCCTTCTCTCAATAATAATCGTAGCAGGTTCAAGGTGAGGCAATGGAACGCAACCAAATACTAGTGCACCTTATGGATGAAACAAAACACAAAAAACTTTGTTAGTCAATTTAAAACGTTGAAGAGGATTTAGAATGGCAGACTTATGACAATAAAATGTCAATTCGTGTTATTCTGAAAGACAGACTAGCAGGTATTTGAAAAAAGCAGAACCTCAAAACATTGGGATTTAATAATGCAAAGCTCAATTGTATTTACATATTTCAAAGCCATTTATTATACAAATTTTGGAAAATAAATATTTACAAACCAGCAACATCAAGTTGTACAAAAACATTTTCCCGTCCAGTGCAAAAAAACAAAAACAAGAAAACATTTAGATAGAAATAGCCTGTAAACCATTATTTTTGTTGTTATAATAAATTCTCGTAAAATATCTGACACCTTAATTGTTTACTGACCAACTGAGTTTACTGACCAACTACGTCATTCAAATAAACTGTAAAAAAGGTTCATGGAGGATATTCACATGCCCTTTTTAAATGATGATTGACATGTCCCAAATATTTTTTGCTTTATTAAAATAAACTCGTAAGAAAAAAAACAACAAAAAACATTGGGCTAAGCTGTCTCTCCTTTAACTTCTCCAATAGGCTGTACCCATCTCATAGCAAATGACTTTCAGTGTATACAAAATACATCCAAAAACAAGGTGAATTATTCATTTTATAAGGAAAAAAAATAAAATAAAAACAATGAATAATAAATATTGCTTGTTAATTATTTCTAACTATTAAGGCAAACATTGATAAAATGTTCATTTAGAAAAAAAAAAAGTCCACTTAATTGGTGATATACAGTAGTAAACCTTTGGTTTAATTCAAACGCCTATCAAAAATTTGATCTATAGGTCTTCAGGGGAATCAGTAAAAAGGTTAATACAATAGTTTGACTTGAATTAATGAATAAACAAACAAAAATGTGAATTAATGTTCAGACTTGTCAGAAATCCTCTTTTCGAATATAAAAATGAAAGTTCAAGGAATGAGAGTGTGTTCACTGTGGGTTCACAGCACTGCGAGGTCATGACAGGACTTGGAGCGCACTTTCATGGCCATCTTCTTGTTGTTCTTGGCCGCCAGTCGATCCAGGAAGCGTCTGGCCTTCTTGGTGATGCTCTCTTTTCGCTTGTAGACAGAGCGTCGGCGCTCATTGATCTCTTTGCTGTCTCGCCGCAGTCGGATCTGCCTCACAATGCCCTCAAAGAGCTCGTGAACATTGTGGTGGAGGGAGGCGGAGGTTTCTATGAACTTGCAGTCGAACACCACGGCACAAGCCCGACCCTCTGCCAAAGAAGACCAGGGTTGTGTGATATTGACCCCATAATACTTTTTGCATAAGCCCTTCACAGCAGCCCTTAAAGGAATAGTTCACCCAAAAATGAAAATGATCCTATAATTCACTCAACCTCAAGCCATCCTAGGTGTATATGACTTTCTTCTTTCAGCCGACCACAAGCTTCCCAGCTTTGCCATGGCATTGAATAGTGCCCAAGCTTTTGAAGCTCCATCATAAAACGACTCCAGTGCGATAATAAAGGCCTTCTGAAGCGAAGCGATGGGTCTTTGTAGGAAAAACATCCATATTTAAAACTTTATAAACTATAACTGGCTTCCACCAACGGCCATATGCCCAATCACAAGAGAATCGAGTTCCAGTGGAAGGGTGACCTTTGACCCGACGCATGACGTAGGATGTGAAATGACGAATGCGAAAGTGCAGAGGACAGAGAAATATAAAACGCCAGTCAAGTCTAAAACGAGAAGTTTTAAAGAAAAATGCTGGAGGATTTCAATATAAGAGAAGAGGAGCTCTGTCATAAGCCACTTAAACTCGATATATATTATAGTTTATGAAGGATGTATGCGCTTTTTGGAGCTTTAAACACTATTCAATGCCATTGTAAAGCTGAGAATATAACTCTGATTGTGTTCAGCTGAAAGAAGAAAGTCATATACACCTGAGTAAATTATGGGATCATTTTGAACATTTTTAGGTGAACTATTCATTTAAGGTTTGTAAATATGCACCATGTCAAACAATTGTGCTTCAGGGGATATACCATAGCTGCATTTACATGGACCCTAATAATTAGTTATGTAATCGGACTAGTTGCACTGTCGGAATAGAAAAAGTCACATGTAACCACATGAATCGGAATGAATTGGACAAATACAAATTTATTTCGTATATTACACCTTTTCTAATCAACGCGATTGAAAACCAACACAGAAAAGTTGGCAGAAATGGCAAAAATGATGCACAAACGAGCTGTTGTTTGTGAATAGTGTAATTCTAAAATTCTTATTCCACTTATTGTCTGTGAAGCGCTGCAGGGGAATGTCGTACCAGCAGTTCTTGCTTCGGACTCATCCACAGACACCTTTGTTTTGGCCACGGCAAGGGGCATTTTACTGCTTAATAAATATAAGCAGCACTTCATGTGCTCGTCGTCTCCTAATCAGGACCCGAAATAGATAAATACTAAGTCTGCAAGAAGCCATAGCAGGATAATGGTTAGAATGTGCCAACAGCGGGTAACTCTATATCCATGCAGTGTGTGCGTGTCAAAAGATTTTAAAAAATCTGATTTGAAGCTTGTGACATATAAAAGCTCACATTAACCTGATCACTTTATTTGGTGTTCATGTAAACACTATGATCGGATTCATTAATCGTAATGATTTCTTTCCGATTGAAACAAAACGTGTCCATGTAAACGTAGCTTCCGTGACACACACTACCGTACAAATGTTTGGGGTTGGTAAGATTTTGATGTTTTTGAAAAAAAGGTCTCTTATGATCACCAAGGCTGAACATATATTAAAATAGATTAATAAGAGTGTTATTGTGAAAATAACTTTTTTCTATTTCAATATTTTAAAGTGTAATTTTTCCTGTGATGGCAAAGCTGTTTTTTCCAGCATCATTACTCCAGTCTTCAGTGTCACATGATCCTTCAGAAATCATTCTAATATGCTGATTTGGTGCTCAATAAATATTTCTTATTACTATCCTATGTTGAAAAAAAATGTGCTGCTTAATATTTTTAGGGAAACCATCATATTTTTTTTCTACATTTTTTGCTGAATAGTTCTTCAAATAAACTGCATTTATTTTAGAAAACCTTTGCAACATTATAAATGCCACTATCACGTATTAATTTCTTTAAAAAAAAAAAGATAGCTTCTCAAACTTTTGAACAGTAGTGCATAACTTCCCACTATGATGTGTCTGTGCGAATGATACAAATCAAAACAGTTCTCACCTTCCACTGCCACTTCTCGAGAGCGCACTAAGTCACTTTTGTTTCCCACAAGGATGATGGGAATGTTTTCAGCCTGTCGGATGCGCCGCAGCTGGATTCGTAACTCCGATGCGCTCTCAAAGCTGCTGCGGTCGGTGATGGAGTAAACAATGACATAAGCATTCCCCACCTGCATGCAGTAATCCTGCACCCACTTCTCATCTTCCTCCTGGGGGATCAAAAAATGAACACTTTTGAAAGGATAGTAGAATAATATGATCATTATTTACTCACCCTCATGTGGTTCAAAACCTGTAACTGATTTACTGGTTCTTTTTTTCAAATCAATGACAATGAATGGAGGCTTTCAAGCTTATAATGACGTATAATAAAAGAGGTTCATAAGACAACATATGTCAAGATATAGAGTCATTACGATTTTTTATATTATCAAGGATGCATTAAACTTTACAACGGTGATAGTAAAGACATTTATAATGTTTCAAAAGAATATTTCAAATAAATGCTGTTCTTTTGACCTTTCTATTAAGAATTCTGAAAAAAAAAAATAATTCTCCACAAAAATAGCAAGCAGCATATCTGATATCAATACTGATTTCTTGAGCACTAAATCAACATGATTTCTGAAGGATCATTCATGTGACAATGAAGACTGGAGTAATGATTCTGAAAATCACAGGAATACATTTTAAAATAAATGTATTTTATTTTATTTCATATTTTATTTGTATAATTTCAGCCTCAGTGCACATAAAATAGTTACTAAAAAATCTTTTGAACAGTAGTGTAAACACAGTCCGCTTTAATGGAGTACTATGACGTTTTAATGTTGTTGTTTTTTTTGGGTGTAATTTTGCAGCTTCACAATCCCAGTCCTCATTCATCTTCATTATATTAAAAGAAAGTGAAAGAGAATTACATGAGGGTAATTAAACAATGCCAGAGTTTTCATTTTAGGATCCCTTTAATCACTTGTACATGTGCTGAGGTATAAACAACAAACAGTTCAAAGCTTTGTGTCAGGGAAATGCTGTCAAACGTAACATCTCTGTAAACAATTGCAGAGTCCAGCAAAGCGGAGCTGCCAGACAGACCTCACAGAGGAGAGTCATCGATAGCGGTATAATGAGGCCCTAGAGCGATCCGGGTCCTTGTCTGTGCGGTCAGCAACAGCAGCATGGGCCAGCTGTGTGATGCATGCTCACTACAGGCCATCGCTCAATGGAGTTTAGCCACTGGCAGTGAGAGGCCATGTTTTTTCCACAGCATTGCACAAAAGGCATTGTGGCCCAGTATATGAGACTTGTGTCTACAAACACAGACTCACGGCTGACACATGCAACCCCCAGAAGATGAAATCCCTTCAGATTTTCCTTTATTTACAACTGATAATTCATTGAGTATGCGATTATGTTAAGACGTTGATGTATGAAGTTTGCATACCTGTTTTTCATTTTCCCACGTGTCCATCACGACTAGGGTCGTCTCCTCCTCATCCACCGTAAGGGTTTTCTCATATGTATCCTCTATAGAAACATGCAAAACTGCATTTTAAATCTGTTTAGAAAAACATCAGTGACATTAATTTGACAACCAAAACAGCTTTGGCAACTAAGGATAGATGCTACACACAAACAACTAGGTCAAAGTCTCATTTGGTAACATTTAAAGGGTTAGATCACCAAACAAATACATTTTTTGTCTTTAATCACCCACCCTCCTCATGTCGTTCCCAACAAGTAAGACCTTCGTTCATCTTTGTAATACAAATTAAGATATTTTTGATTAAATATGAGAGCTTTCTGACTGTACACAGCAATGTTTTTACCACTTTTAAAGTAGGAAAGACATTGTACTAACGTAGAACTCGGAAACGCTGCACCGTGTTTACAACGTGAACGTGCATTAACTATAATGTTAACAAATATAACTTTTGATTAAAAAAAAATGTTGTAGTAGCACATGAACTAAGGTTAATAAATTCTGCAGAAGTATTGGTCATTATTAGATCATGTTAACTAATACAGTGAACAAACTTTATTGTAAAGTAACCACACTGTTAAAAAATATTGTTGGTTTAACTTAAAAAAAGTAAGTACCCTGGTTGCCTTAAAATTTTAAGTTGATTGAACTGGAAAAAGTGAGTTAATACAAAGAAGGAGATTGACTCAAAATAATAAGATATCTGAACTAAATAAATTATTTAAGTTGATTTGACAAATGAAAAAATGTTGTGATAACAAATCTTGAATATTTTATATGACTTTACCATGGTTACATTTTCCTCTCAAAAAATAAATAAATATATATATATATATATATACACACACAGTATGTGATATATATATCTTCTATGATCATTGTTGAACACAGCGTGTTTTTCTGGACATCATTTAAAAAAATGGTTCATACAACAAGACATGGGCTTATTAAAAGGGTGAAATTCTTAAAAAAGAAACCAGTTTGGCATAATCTACTATTTCTTAAAAGTGCTTCATGAATATGAATATTTGAAAAACTTTTGGACACAAATCAAAGACATTTGATCCAACCAACATACAGAAAACAACGCAAAATATAGTGAGCTTTCCTACAGGCCCTCAAGACTGATGTATCAATAAGTAACAAATCAGATAATTTGACTTTTTTATGACAAGGTATGATTAGTTATGGTTGTAAAATGTCATGTGGTGTGACTTCCCAAAAACGTTAATATTTCATGATTTTGTAAAAACCCATTTTAACTTTTAACCCATATTTTTTGTACACAAGGTAAAAGAAAATTGTTATTTAAATGGTGCTTTGTTATAATCACAAGCGTGAAAAATGCATGTGAAGTGGAAGAGTGGAAAAATCATTGAGCCGTGTCTGATAAACTGATCACATTGCTAGTTTGACAAGAAGATAAAACACACTTTGCTTCAGTCTAGGTTGATACTGACCTTGTCTCATTTTTCCACTTTAAATCTACTCTGTCACTTTTCGAGACCTCTAAAAGATCTACAGCACAACATTTGAATTCACGGTAAAGAATAACAGTGTCCTTAATCAACTTTAATGTCTCAAAACTTCATGTCAGATAAAATCTAAATGTTAAGGCCAGATCTAAAATATAATCAAGACATCCCCTACAGAAAACAATGTCCTCAAACGATGAGGGCCAGTGCACATTTTATTTTTTTACAGATATGATAAGCTTTACAAGCTGGGATTGGGATAGAAATCTGACAGTAACATCTTATATCTCAAATGAATTTGTAAATTGTAATGCCTTCTTATCAAAAAAAAATAGCTCTTTTAAATTGAATAAACTTTTAGGGTCATGCAGACGAGTAGCCTACTAGCATGTGATATATACACACATCCGCCTGTCAATGAAATGATTATTTACAGGATGATGTTCTGCACAGGTCAAAGCCAAAACAGCTCCGAGACATGGGGTCATATGCCATTAGACAAAAACAACAACAACATGTAGGTCAACAGATGCACATCTAATGCTTTCATAAAGGGATTTTGCATAGGTCATTGAATTAGGGAGACACAAATGTGTGTGGTGAATATTAAAGTCATAACTGTCTAAGTTTTAAGTTACACAAGTCTGATTGACCAGTTTTGTGTCAGAGAAAAGGGATTGTCCCACACCCAAGAGATGGACAGGACTGGGAAAATGGGACAGACGAAACAACAGTGCTGCTGACTTTAAATCAGTCATGTGTTGTTCCCATTGTAAGAAATGCACATATTCCAGCAAACTGAAGTGAAATGATTCTACATTTATGCCACCGGAAAGCATAAAACAGGCAGTAATGCTCTATACAACAGCTGCTACACAAACCAATGTACTGTATGAACTGACCGATGTATTAATCAATACCGTCATACAATTAATGTTTCAGGATCAATCATGACGCGTGACAATTTGAGAGTGCAATCAATCAGGCAGACCTAACAGTTTAGTCAAGGTTATTTTAGGTGCTGGAATGCCATTTACAGTGCGTCAATGCTATATTTATAAAATAAACATTCAGTTGATGAATCTAAACGTGACCTAATTAATCAACTAAACTGATTTGATATGAACAAAAACTATAATGCATTTTGGGCTGTATACCTCCAATGTGTTTGTGGGCATCCTTCTCTTGTATTCCAGCAAAAATGTTGGCAAGGCTTGACTTCCCCACACCGTGATCCCCCAGCAAAACCACACGATAAAGAGACTCAGATCCAGAGCTGTCCGACTCTGAGTCTGAAGACCAGTTGGCCCGTGAGTGGATGGTCTTGTCTCCTGGGTGGTAAGAGGCTGACTGGGCGAGCGGAGGGTGATAAGGGTCAGCCGAGGGGTCTCTATCTCCCCGGCTCGCTAAACGAGAGGAAGGGATGGGAGTGCTCGCTCTTCTCCTCAGTGGTTCCTTTCCCTCTTTCTGTGTGTTGAGTGTCATCTTATAAACATAAGTATGCCTGAACAAAAAAATGTGCCATTATTATTAAAGGAAAACAAATAGTCTGAGCATAATTTGTTACCAAGAAGTATTACTAGTCTTGATCCACTGCATATACATCATACACCAATAATAATAATAATAATAAAAAAACATAATGAGGTGCACCCTGAGACGTGCCTGATAACTTTTAACTGGTAGTGTGATACCAGGGCTGGTTTTACTCCAGTAATTATTTTTCTTAAGTTTAGTACATATATATAGTTTAGTATAAAGTTTAGTATAAATTGACTTAAAAAATAAATAATTAAATAAATAAAACAGACCAAATATTCATAACTTAGGCATAAAATGCTTTGGCAAAACCTATTGAACAATTTAGCTATTATTGGAAAATATTCCAAATTAAAATGCAAAATTAACAACACTTTTCTCAACAAACATCGAACATCTGACAATTTGCCCCTAAATTAGTATGATCATAGGCAAAAATGTAAGTTTAAGTTTAGTTTAATTATTCTAATTAAGTGAACTAAGTGAATGAAACCAAACCACTGACAGTGAAAACAGTGACTCTAAACATTAGTTACTAAAATCCTTGTGAACTACCCCTGTGACAACTAGCCTCGGTGTTTTTGAATATTCGTGCATTTTACTATTTTTCATGCATTAATAAGCGCAATAACGACACAAACCATACATACTGCAACAAAAACATCCTTAGAATGTTTAGTGTACTTACAACCATGTCCGTAAACGAAGGTTTTAAAGCATACAGGTTCACATCAATCCACAGAATAAAGTTTCAAAGTGAATCAATCAGTTTGCGCGCAGTGGAGTTTGAGGAACCGGTTGCAGAAACGCTACACCGCTGCAGTCATGGCAACAGCCCGCTGAGTTCCACAACGCTTTTAAAAATTTAAGAGCGGAATGAAGCATTTCTCTCATTCTCTCGCGCTGTCTGTCACAGCCTCGTCACCCGCAGCGCGCGCAATAGAACGCTCGTGCGCTCTGAAAAGCATCGGTGAGTTCACATCTATGACCTTTCACTCACCTTTATCTCACCATACGCAAGTTTTGGGAGACTTCTCAGTTCATCCTTCCACTTGTAGACTTTGAGCGTCAGTCCACAGCGCTGGATGCGAAGTCGCATGTATCGTGCCTTTGTGATTAAACACAGGTGGACTCCTGTTGCCAACTCAACTCCAGCTCAGAGCGCGCGGAGCAGAGAAACGTGCTTTCTGTTTATATAACTCACATGATCCATAAACATAGCTCAACAAATGGGCAATTCACTGTAAGTCTCGTGGGTCCTCGCTGAGCGTCTTTCAACATCATCCAGGGCCACGAAATAATATATAATGTGTCCTCTTAGCACCGTCCCACTCCATCTCCATGACGTCGATGTTCTGTCATTTCCTGCTTAAAGCTGAGCTGAGATATCACAAGTTATGAGAATGTTCTCATTAATACAATTGCTTTGATGTAAAACGCATCTTGATTTAATGATGTCATCACTGGAAAGTCATGCAATGTGAAACCACACACATTGCATTTATTTTTCTTTTAGAGACAAACATCCACAGATGTTTCTTCTTTTTGCAATTGGATAATGAATGTTGTCATGTTAATGCTTCTATTTAGTATTTTTGTTTCTAAAATAAGTTTTATTTATTGGAAAAAAGCATTCCAGCACTGGATACACATGGAAATAATTTTTTTTTTTTTTAATTTTAATCCTGTATCTTCGCATCAGTGAAATAGAAGAAGGTTTATCCCCTGCTTAGATCACACAGTTGTTCTTTTACCAGGAATTTTTAATTCTCTGAGGCTCAGTTGAATCTTTTCCAACTGAAACAACAAAAGTAATCAAACCAGTCGCCCGTACACTGGGGTGCTGAAATCCATTACTGTTTACAGAGCAAGCCTTGTTCCCACACTTTGGTCAATTACATCAATGTCACACAACTACTGTTTCAAGATTTGCAAAATGGCTTTGAAATGCTCCATTTGCTAGATAAATAGTTATTTATAGTCATAAAATGAAGCACTTGCATACTTTGAGGATTGACACTTGCAACATTTGCTTGCTGACTGGTACCAAACTCCAACATCATGTTGCTCGACATGAGAATACGGTGAGCATCTTCTTCATATATTCAGGCTGCGATTTATGCGCTTGGCAAACAATACAAAGTATTATGAATAATTTGAGGTTACACTATGTCGATAGTCCACTTTAGACATTCTAAATTTGCAACTACATCATGTCAACTAACTATCGGGAGACTATTGTTAGGTTTAGGCTCAGTAAAATAAGAAAAAAAATTAAAAAAAGTTTTTGAAAGAAATAAATACTTTTATTCAGCAAGGATGCATTAAATTGATCAATAGCGACAGTAAAGACATTTATAATGTTACGGAGATTTCTATTTCAAATAAATGCTGTTTTTGTTACAAAAATGTTAAGCGGTTCGGGTTAACCACAGTTTTCAACATTGATAATAATAAAAATATTTCTTGAGCACAAAATCAGCATAAAAATATATTTTTACAGTATTTTATCAAATAAATGGCTTTTGTGAGCAAAAGATTGAATGTTAGTGTACCTACTGCCTACATTAACACTACTGTATAAATGCTAATAAAAAAAAAAATCAGATTTTTAAAGAGGTATTCTGTTACTATTTAGGGAAAGTGGTCACTTAACATCTGCAGCTTAACACTAAAATGTAGTATGCAGTTGCATTTGCAAGTTTAAAGGCACATCAGTAAATTACGGTACTTGCACTTGAGTAGAATATATAGAGAAAAAAAAAATAAAGAGGATTGAGCCAATAAAACAAACTGAAAGAAAAGACAAATAAAGTAAGGAAGATCTGTAAAAATGTTTGACTGAGTAAAATGATTTAATGAAGTAATATGTAGCGGCTCAGGGGAAGACTCAAAAAGGTAATGCATTCAGCACAGGGCTACACGGGGAGTAAATCCTCTTGGGGTATATTGAGATGGACGTCCATATCTGGAGTACACCTAAAATATAGACAACACAGTGACAGTGACTGTAAACAGCCAGTATACAACCCAAGGCCTAGTTCACAGAAGAAATGAAACTTCGGACATCATTTACTCACCCTAATGTCATTGAAAACCAAAGGAAGATATTCTGAAGAACTGTTTTTGCCCATATATTGAAAGTCAATGGGGTCCAAAACTACAGCAGACCAGAATGAGTTTCATTATATGGACAAATGATGACAATTCTTTTATTTTTGTGGGCAAACACATCTGTAAATAAGGACTCCTTGCCTTTAAACATGGTCACCACAGCCTAGAACAGTTTGTTTAAGACCGGAAACACGAGAACTTTCTCTGCTGGGGCTCAGGACATCTGCAGATACTAAAGCCATGCCTCTGTCACGAGCGGAGAAGGAAATCCCAGATCTGTTTATCATTATCTCTAGTTAATGGAAACCTTTTTAATTTGTTGCTCAGTGTGACATGATTTGTGAACACACTAAGTGTTTTTTGCTTGTTTTCCACGTTCTTTGTCCCCTAGGCCATAACACTCAAGGACCAAAGGTCCATATGAATATGTCTTAACTGTGATATAACCGTTCCCAAGGGTGGCAAGAGGTTGTGCAGGACCTTGGAATAAAGTGTCCGATTGTTTTGGAGAGGAAAATGACATGCTGTTTTGGAACAGACTGTTGGGAAATGTGAAACCTTCATTAACCTTTAATGGGCGCCAGGGATTCCATGAATGCACAGCATTCTCTTGTTCTTCATTTATCTTTAAGATGGCCTTTGGAGTCTTTTCCAAAACTGTAATATTACACCATCTCCAAAAGCCCAATACCTTTCAAAACCAAGACTTTGTTTGAAAGTAGATGGGGCAAGTTTTGCTCAAGTAGTTTATCAGATTTGCAATGCTGGATCTCCAATAAAGCAAAATGAAAATACATACTTTTATTCACCTTTATGTCATTCCAAACCTGTATAACGCTCTTCATCAGAAAACAAAAGAAATCTCGTGGTATTTGTTCATCCAATGAAAGTCAAGGGGGTCTAATTTTGTTTTGGACCCCGTTTGTCTATTATTGTATAGACAAAACAGTTGAAACATCCTTTGGAATTTCTTCTTTCACATTCTATATAAGAAAAAACGTCTTACAGGTTTGTAACGACATGATGGTGAGTAAATGATGGCAGAATCAGCATTTTTGGGTGAATTATCCCTTTAAATGGTTTCTCATGCATGAAATGAGCGTCTTAAATAACCCATATTAGATGTTAAACTATCATGAGCTGTGTGCTGTCAGTATGTTTGAGAAGGCTCTTGAAATTGAAGTGTTGCTGTTTTATATCTGTTTATGGGAGGGGTAGGGTCATACTAACAGCACTGTTAGACATTTTGAGGGGTTTGTTGAACTCCTTTTCAAGTGGTCAATTTTGTGAGAACTTTTCTCTGCAACTGCAATTGCTGTATAAGTTGGGAATGCTTCAACTGAAGAGCTTGCCAATGTTCTTGTGTTAATAGGACATAAGAACTGTTTGTGATAAAGAAGCTGTTTCCATCAATAACTCATTGTCCTCATCCACTTACTTATCTGATTTCAGGAAAACATCTGGAAAGATCTCTCTCCTGATGTTTGGTCTCGATAGTTGCAGTTCCCTAATACTCTTCATTAGCTGTTCGTTCTTCTGCTCTAGCTCCACTATCACCTTAAAAATACAGTATATATAGTAAATATACAATATAAATACATAAATACATTTACAAATGAACATACTTTAAATAAAATATTAGATTAGATAAGATTTTCTTTAATAATATATTTTAAAAATAATCACTTTTCTGTGCACATTAATCTTTTCCCTCATTGTGTAATTCTGTAAGGCCACGAGTTTGACAATGGGAGGGATGTAGGATTCATGTTTCTGAAAATCAAATAAAGATATGATTGATTATGCACCTAGAAAAGTCAATAATTACCTTTATTAAAAAAAGAAAATGAAAAGATTGACATAAAATATCTTCTTTACCTCAACAATAGCAGAAAGCACTTCCTGTTCTCTTTGGTGTTGGCATCTCTTCAAATAGACTGTTTCTTTCTCAAACAACAGATTGATATCCTCTTGCTCTTTCTGACAATTATAGAGGAAAAACATATTAAAACATTATTGAAGATTTCTTATGGGAACTAGAACCTATGAAGGACGGTCGGACCACAATGGAAACAAGCCTTTGGGCTTTTTTGTGTTTTGAACACTTCATGTCGATTTTTGTTCAATAAAGTTTTCAACCACATGTGTATTTTAATAAATACAGCATTTTCCTGGATCTAATTTTAAGTACATTTTACTCTTTACCCATCAGATGGTCAGCTTTTATTTATCCAGGAAGTAAGTCCTGCTTGTTTTTGGTTACACTTTCTTTTACAGTATGTGCACTTACAGTGTGCTTACCTAAGGACGTACTGGGTAATAATAAGGTAACTACATGGGTTATGGTTAGGTTTAGGTTCAAAAAGAGTACCTAGTTATTACCCAGTTATTGCAATTACTATAATAAGTACATAGAATATAAAGGGGAAACAGGACTGTAAAATAAAGTGCTACCCATTTTTTACCTGTTGCATCTCTTTCAGTTTATCTAGTTTTCTTTTCATGTCTGCAATCTGCAAGGCCTTGACTGGAAACTCCATATCTTTGTATGTCTTCAGGAAGCGGAGCTCTTTCCGAGCCTTTACCACCTCTGCTTTTACCATGTCCAACTGCTTCTGCAAACCTGCACTTATAAGATAGTCAATTGAAACTTGTCCCTATGTACCCAAACATGTAGACTTCTCTGTGCGCACAGGGGCAATATCATGCTGGAGTAGATTTAATACGTCTGCTTGAAATGCACTTTTACTGTATTGTTGATCAAGTAAACCCATCCTTAGAGAGCATAAGAGACATCTTTGAACAACATGTTAAGAAATTGTACCGGCTGCAAGCTTTTGAATGGTAATAATATAACCGGAATAGCAAAGCAATTCATTCGATTAGAAAAGGGTTTCCACATACTTCCACAAAAGTGAAATGAAAATAGCTAAAACATAATTGATTGTAAAATGTAGAAGTTTCAACTAACCGCTGAGATTAGTCTGTAACACTTCCTCTGTATCTGTCAGCTCTGCATTAGCACTTTTAATAAGTTTGTCATCCCATTTTTTCAAAGCTACCACTGATCTCTAGAAAAAAAACATATGATATCAAATTTCACTGGTTAGGGGAACTTAAAGGTGCAATAAGCGTTTTCTGAGATATTTGAAATCACCAAAACAAACATGCCCCCTACCCAAAAGGATCACACCCTTATCTTTATAGCTCTGCCCATAAATTCACAAACACACTGTCGGTACACGATCCGTTCCACCTGCACGAACCGTGTCACGCATGCACAGAACAACATAGTAGAAAACGTCACGGTTTTTCTACACTATCAGTACCAAGCACTATCGGCACAACTTGCGGCACATTTGTGTAACGTTAGTTGTATTATGTTTAATATTTCACAGCAGGTCTGTTTTGATGCTTTTAAATGTAGATTACGCTAGCATTATGATGTGTTTAGATGGTTGCCAATCCAAAATAATAAAGGAGTTGTAGTATTGTCAAAGACAATCGGTTTGTGTCCTTTTTTTTAATTAAAAGCTGCTAATATTACTATAAATAATTTTAAGTTGAGTAATTTTGAATTAGTTTGTCTATAAAGGCTAATAATATATATATATATATATATATATATATATATATATATATATAAAGTTGTTCTCAGAATTAATCATACCCCTGGTAAATATGATTGAAAAAAATGGCTGCAAAAAATAAAATCCGCATTGTTTATCCTTTTGATCTTTCATTAAAAAAATGGCAAAATCCTAACCTTTCGTTTAAGTAAAATAATTGAAAATAAGGGGTAAATCACATTATAAAATAAATGTTTTTCTCATGATCCTCAATCCCTTACTGCTGATTGGCTACAAGTGTGTTTTGGGGCGATGCACTTTCAACAGCATTTCTCAGAAATCGATTACTCCACCTTTAATAGTCAATGTTGAAAAACTTTGAATTCCGTGCTCTTTGAGTACAGTGGGATCTAAAAACGTAAAACAATATAGCTCACCCTCATTTGTTCTCTCTGTGTGAGCAGTTCTTTGGCTCTGGAGAATGAGCTTCTGTCTGTGTCAATAATACTTCTGGCCATCTGCAGGTTCCTCTCTCGAAGCTGTTCACAGTGCTCCTCCAGGTCTTTTATTGTGTTTTTTCTGGATGTGATGAGTAACTACAACAGATTGCAGTTGTCAGCGTGGCGTAAACCAAACACAAGTGAACTATTAAAGTCGGCTTTCCTGCTTTACAGTACACACCATCAGTGCTTTGATGTTGTCTTTCCTCTTTGAGGTGATCTGGTCCTGCTCCACTTTTACAGGAGCCCTTCTTGTAGAGAGTTTGGGGAGTGTTGGGAAATCATTTTGGACAGTGTTTTGAGATTTTCCTGTTCATAAAGCAGAGATTACAGAAAAAAATAATGCATAAATGCATATATGTCTCACTACAGTAGAAGCATTACATTTATCTACCATGTTTATACCTGATTTTCCAGTTGGAGATGGTATGATTTCTCCTTTGTTAGATGATATGACTGCTTTATGATGAAATGGTGCCCAAAGCAAAGGCTTTGTTCTTGTACTCCCATTTGTTGTAATCCTTGAAAAAAGATTAACAAGGGTTTAGTCAAACTGCAGATATTTTACTTTAGACCAATACTTCTAACGTTACATGAAAGAAAAAAAATGGCATGTGCTGCAAACCTTTTCATTATGTGTCACAAAATTCCCAAACATTATAACAATATTATAATGTAACAACAATCATAAACACAGTTGACGTCAGTCAGTCAGTCATACCACCGGATGGAAATTCAACTGTCTTAGCGTGTCATGATGATGTTTTCTTCACCGGTTAAATCAGTTCTGTCGATGTCAAAAAGTCATCAAGAGATCTTAAACAATTCCAGTATTCCAGAAGTTTGGCATAGCAACCGAAGATACACGACGACATGCCTGTGTACAACGTACTTCTGCTGCCATCTAGTGGACATACTGAGCATGCGCGAAAATGGGGAAATTCTCTTCCGTTTCCTGTCATTCTATTTTTCTTAATTTAATTTAAACACAAATGCAATCCTTTATATGAAGAACTTTAAATCCTTATAGATTATATGTGATTGTACCAAAGTGAGTGATAGAGACCGATAGTAGCTAAAATATAGTTAGGCTATTCTTGTCGAAATACACTTGTTATTGTTGCATTGCAGAACACTCGATAAAAGAATTAATTGTAAAATATTTTCAAAATACACTTTTATTGCTGACATTCTTGCATTATAAGATAAGATTATGTATTTGTTATATAGAAGAGAAGGTTATACAGAACAGGTCTATTCAATGGCAAATTTACAACACAAACAGATCATATAAAATGTACTATTATAAATATATAGGAGTGATTTAAATATTTGATTTAATACATTCTTTTAAATACTTTATCGTTGAGATATTAACATTAGGAATGATATAAATTTGTATAATGAATGGCAGTGCATAAAACATTTAATTTCCCACATAAAAGGGCCTAATGCTATGTAATGTCATGAATCAATATACAGATGCATACACAACTTTCACTGCACAATTCTTCTTCTTTTTTATACATTTTATGAATAACATATTGAATATCTCACAGTTTTTTAAGTTTGTTGTTATGGCACCATCAAACTATCCTTTTTATGATCAAGGCAAATAATGAAATCTTAACATTTAAATATAAAAAAAAAAAAAACGTGTTATTGAAACAGATGTTCTGTAGTTATACTCAATGAAAAGAGTGATGACAGCATAGCTGCAGATTCTTCCGAATGAAGATTTGATGAGCAGTTACAGTGTTGATGACATTATGCCGTGTTGTTGTTGATGTCCATGCGGCTGATGAGCTCTGTGACCAGCATCTGCAGCGTCTCTGAACGCATTTTGCTCACTTCCAGCACAGCTTCATGATTGACAGTCTCATTGTCCTCATAGCTTTTCACCACTTTGTTGGTGATGAGGGAGAGACCAAAGACTCTCATGCCACAATGACTGGCGACCAACACTTCTGGTGCAGTACTCATTCCTTTAAAAGCAAATTACGTATAAATTAATAATAAAATGCACAATTAAGATAATATAACTTCCACTAACTATTTCTATTCAATTAAGGTTTTCAAAAATCCTGCTAAATTTCAAGGGTTAGTTTGTCCAAAAATTCTGTCATTAATTACTCATCATGTCGATCGTTCCAAACCTGTAAGATTTCATGATCTTCTGAACACAAATGAAGATCTTCCCTCCATTGACAGCCTATGCAACTATCACTTTCAAGCCCCAGTGAGGTATTAAAGACATAATTAAAGTAATTCATGTGACTCCAGTGATTTAACCTAAGTTTATGAAGCAACACAAGGACTTTGTGTGCACCAAATAACATAATTTAGCACTTTATTTACAAAATATTAATCTCCAATGCAACGTCTGCTCTCGCGTCAACACAACACGAATGTGTCGTGGTGCTCTGGTGAACACGCCGCTTCATAAAATTGAGGTTAAACCACAGGAGTCACATGGATTACTTTGATGATATCTTTACTACCTTTCTGGGGCTGATAGTTACATAGGCAGTTAATGGAGGGACTGAAAGCTCTTAGATTCAATTAAAAAGACCTTCATTTGTGTTCTGAAGATGAAAGGTGAGAAATTAATGACAGAATTGTCATTATTGGGTGAACTATCCCTTTAAGCAATTTAAAGTGCCCTTATAATGCTATATTAAAGGTTCCTTATTTTGTTATGCCGGTCTCCTACAACAGGTTTACATGCATCCAAGAAAGATTAAAAATACTTTAATATACATTGCAGCATCATAGCTTTTCACACAGTGTCTGAAATGGTTAAATAAAGCACTTTATCTAAACCCCTTCAGATGTCTCAGTCTGTTATGACTGGTCTACCGTTATACAGCACATGTCGTAAACGAAACACCCATTATATATCTGAATTTCGAGCATCCGCATCCTTTAGATCTTTTGCTTTTGGAGCGGATCTAAATGATAACTCCATTTGTTAAGCACTTTGATCTTTGAAACTTTGCAGACCTTTTGCATTTACAAACAGCTAGTATATTGATTTAATTAATGATACATGCAGTAACCAATTGATTAGATCTCTTTTTGTCAGCATCTCTTCCATCTAAATTTGTTTGGGTTAATATGTTTCCCTTATTTGAGTGGGAACATTTTTGGCGAATTCTTAGTTGGTATTATGTATCAAATAAAACCAACGTAGTGTCTTTTAAAATTGCTCACAGAATATATCCTGTGAAAGACACATTAGAGCGTTTTCATCTGGATATTGATTACAATTGCGGTTTGTGTAATTGTGAAAGAGAGTCTATTGTGCACCTTCAATCTTTTCTGTTCAATTTCTATAGGTAGTAAAATGAACTGCAACCTTGTCTTAAATTTGTCGTCTGTCTTTCTTCATACAAATGAATTTGACTTTTCTATAAAAAAAATTTATGTTATCAATTTGTCTCCATTATTAGGAAAACTCAAAAGCCAACTTTGCTCATTTTAAAGCAGCCTTTAAAATGTATTTTGAGTCTGTAAAGTTTTAAAAAAAAATAGAAAAGCCCAAAGATCTGTATCTCTTCTTAAATGAATTTAATGTTTGTGATGCCCTTTATCTTTGTTTTCCAAATTATTGTTGTTTCAAGTTATACTTATCAAATGGGAAAATGTGTAAAAGAAAAGTATCAAGAACTTGATATCAAACTCTGTGATTTTGAAAATAAATAACAATAACCACATGAAAGTTGGTAAAAAAGCATAATAAGGGCGCTTTAAAAAAAATTCTGATTAGAAATGAATTATTGGTTTTACTAAATGAGACACCATCTTACCAACTGCATCCACTCCCAGTCTGTGCAGAAGTCGGGCTTCAGCTATGGTCTCAAAGTTGGGTCCTCCCACCATGCAATACACGCCCTCTTGGACATACTGGGAGACGCCCATGCTCTTACAAATGTCGAATGCCATCTTCCGTAGGCTTTTGTCATAGACCCCAGACATGGGCGGAAATCGAGTGCCAAACCTTGATAGTGACCGATAAATGATTACATAGCTTGTAATGGTGATCATAATAAATGAACACTTTCTTAACTCACTTCAACATGTACATCGATACTCACTTATCATCATTAGGGCCATTGAGAGGGTTCAGTCCAGCAAGTCCAGGGAAGTTAATATGATCTCGTATGATCATAATATCACCACAGCTATAACTGTCCGCTAATGACCCCGCAGCATTAGTGACAATCAAGGTGTCGACACCCAGAAGCTTGAAAACTCTTACCGGGAAAGTGACCTGAGGAACACAAGCACAAATTCTGGTAATCCATTTTCAACATCCACCAAAGCTTGCTGCTGTACTGTACAAGGCATATTACCAATAAGCCATTTTAATCTAACTCTCTAACTCTACTGTGTTATGTAAACCATACAAACGTTTCATTGAATGTTTAATTGCGCACTGACATAAAGCATGTGACTCAGCGTGACCAGGATGAAGTGACTATACAGTGTGGGCATCCAAAAAAAGAAATCTTCTTATTCTATCATCATTTTAGACTGCAGCATGACACAGCATGAATAGAATAGTGTTCTTTAGTTATTACTTTTGGAATGTAATATCATCTTGTTATGTAACATAATTCTATTTATAACACATGAGGAAACTGTCAAGATAGATTTTGTATCAACATGGGCCATAAAGCAAATAAAGCCTGATGGAACATTAAACTGTGTTAGCCCAAGAATAATATGTATTGAAATGAAAAAAAAAATGTTGAAAATGCGCACTAATGTTGGGGTCAGTAAGAATCTTTTATTTTTTTTTTTTGTAAGAAATTAATTCAGTAATTTTATTCAAAAAGGGTGCATTAAACTACATAAAAATGACTGTATCGACATCTATAATTTCTATTTTAAATAAATACTGCCTGTTTTCACTCACACACACACACACACACACAAATTTAGAAGCACTAAATCAGCATATTAGAATGATTTCTGAAAGATCATGTGTCTCTAAAGCCTGGAGTAATAATGCTGAAAAAAATGTTGTTTTGCAATCAGAGGAATAAATAAATCAAATGAATGCAGCCTTGGTGAGAATAAAAGACTTGTTTCAAAAACCAACCACAAATGTTTGAACTATAGCATACAGTTTACGGCAAAGAAGTGGTGCATGTAATGTGGTTTGAAAAAGACAAACCTTGCTTAGCGAGTGTCCCTCATACATATGGAATCGACCCTGCATGCACACACAGGTCTTCCCTTTGAGCTCCCCAAAAACCAGCCTTCCAGCATGACCCTTCACTGTTTGAATACACACAAACACATAACAAGCATTATTACTTATACCAAAATACACACAGCCTTTTCCCTATAACTTTGTTTCCATCATTTTAAATGTGAAGGAGATATTTAAACTGACGTTTTTGCAGGTTAAAAGTTGAACAGTCTAACATGCTAGCATAATATTGACATATTTTACATTATTGTATGTAGATAATGCATTTGGCGAATGCTTTTATCCAAAGTGACTTGCATTGCAAAAACTGTTATCAGTTCTTGCTTTCCATGGGAATCAAACCTATGACCTTGGTGTTGCTGGTGTCACGCTCTACTGTTTGATAATACTTTGTCTTTATTTTAGCAAATGGAGAAAAACCTGAAGCAAATACATGTTCTGAGCAGTGTCTTAGCTACCTGTGCTCTGAGGAAAGCCAGGGATGTCAGAGTATTTGAAAGAGTCTTGGCACTTGAGTGCGTCTGCCAGCATGCCCAGTCCAGATCCGCAGATGATGGCTACTTTAGGTCTGTGTTGTGTCTGGGACAGCAGCCAGTCTGCCGTTCTCTGGTAGTCCTCATGGCTGGTGACAAGAAAAAAACAGTCTTTATTAAACTTGAAGCCTGACTATATTCATTAGAGGGAACTGTGGAATTTAAAGCATCAGTTACTGGCTCTATTGTCCCATTGTATATGACTGTAGTTCATTTTCTGCACATTGTGGATTGTTTCCTTAACCGTTTTTGAAATATCAGGGCTACTGTGAATGAATAAAAAGCATTATGGCATTATTGCTTTATTGTCATTTGCTTGACATAAACACTGTTTCATATTGTAAGATGAGCACATCATTTACAGAAATAAACAGTAGCTACAGTTCTACATTTGCAAGAAAAAGTATGCCATTTCGTTCAGCACAAAGCACAATCCTAAGATATACTTTGTCTTAACCTTAAGAAGGAAAGAAAATGTAACTTACCAGATTTGATCTTTACTATGCATGTTGGTGTTGTGTGTTTGTCTCGAAGAAGTGTTCCTGGATTTGAGCAGTGTGTGAATGAGAGAACAGCTCTCTCGATTTAAGTAAACCACGAACACACACAAACGCTCTGATTGGTTACAACTCTTAGTCATGCCAAATGAATTGCCTTGTAATTTGTAGGTGTGTCTAAGTGTAATATCAGAGGCAAACTAAACTTTCAATTAGATTTGGGAGAAGTAAGCTTTTAAAACCAACCACAAAAGAATATATAATGCTTTTATGAGTAAATAAAATCAGTGTACATTGTGAATTCAAAGTTTAATTGCATCACAAGGGGGATTTTTTCGCCCGACAAATCTAATCATAGGATCAGAAGACATCACTTGGGGGAAAAAAAACACATAAATTAATAACAATTTAAAAATAATATGTCACTAGCCTAAAAAAAACACATTAATTTCCAACTGCGTTTGGAGTATATCCGGTTTGCAGTATAAGATCTGTCAATGGGTTGAGATTGAGTTCCTCCATGCACATCGGTAAACATGTGAGGCCCATTAGGGGTACAGACTCCTTCCCAAATCTGAAGCATGAGACTAGAATTTTTTTTGAATTTTGGGACCTTACAAGATTTGTCTGATTGCAAGCAATTTTGCACTTTAAGATACAGATCCAAAGTCTTGTAAAAACATTTCAAAGCTATAAATCAACTTCTTTTCTCTTGCCATCACTATTATTAAGATGAATGCATTTCACACAGTGATTGACCCAGCATCTCATTGGCTTGTGCATCAAATGTCCTTGACCGAAATCAAAGAATGATACACCACTGTTTCCCCACATCTTCTCCACTTTTAGTAACAGGATCTGTAAGATACATTACTTTAATATTTAGTTTAATGTTATTGATGCAATATACATTTTACATTTAGTAAAACACAATTTGTTTAATAATGATATTTAGCAAATCTCAAAAACTCAATATCCATTTATATTACACTTACGGCATTTAAAATGACTTATTTTAGTTGTTTAGTGTTTTACTTTTCATTAATTTATACAAACAGTATAGAGTATTGTTTGCACTTTATTTTACAGTACACACACCAAGAAAACACTGTGTATTAAAAGGTAACTACATGGGTTAAGGTTAAGTTTAGGGTTAGGTTCAGGACTAGTACCTAGTAATTACCCAGTTATTACAACAATAAGTATATAATATGTAGTATGTACATGGAGAACAGGGCTGTAAAATAAAGCTACTAGAGTATTAATATCATCCAGTTGTATAACCAGAATTTTAAGTTGCATCCCAAACAAAACTGATCGGCGAAGACGAAACAGAATTCAACAACAGACTCGATCCTGTAAATGGTCGTTCCCGAGGAACATTCAGCTGAAGACAATAATATTTACATTTTCAGCATTGCTCTCTCACATACCATTAGTCTGACAATGTGCACCAGTCAAGATAGCTTTCAGACACAGCTTTTTTTGGGACAAAACCTTTTGTCCCAAAAGAACGTGGTAACTTGCATAGCGGGTCACATCTAACTAGGCTCATGTGAGTTATACAATGTAATCAGGCAGATATAGAGAAAGACAGAGAACGATAGACAGAGAGAGAGAGAAAGAAAGGAAGCGTATCCCTTTCTCTGTAATTACATTAACAATGTCGAGTGCCAAGCATACCCTATGCATCTCTCTCCATCTGCTCAGACGTAATCTGTGGCATATGAGGCACATGTGATTTCACCCACTGGAATCTGATTGCCCAATTCACTCCTTATTAATGGATTCTAAAAAAAAAAAACAGAAATGAAAAACCTTAACATATAATGTGAAGTTTGCTTTTTTTTTTTTTTTTACATTTGATGTTAACAGTGAAATCTCATTTTAATCTACTTAAACTTATTGTTTGGTCTCAAATTTAGCTTTGCAAAAAAATAACACAATGGTAAGTTTACTTTAACCAAAGCTGACATTAAGCTGCTTCATTCTTTCATCTATCAAGGTATCCGTGGCCTAAAAAAAGGCTGAACATCATAACTGAAAAATGAGCCCCGTAGCCTGAGCAATTTCTTAAATAAAAGCACAGTGCTTGGAACGTGCCAGACATTTCTCAAGCGCGAGCAATTTCACGTGCTCCACAATACTCACTCTATGCTCTGACGTCGGGCTGGTCATGTGGAGGTGTGCAGTAATTCGGTTTTTAGTGAATCTGCTGGAAACCTTGTGACATGTAAAAGGGTCATATATATGTCTGAGTCCTCATCCTAACCCTGACCTCACCATCATTCTTTGAATTTGTTGTTTCTTGGTTCTTTTTATGAACAAACATGTCAGAAAATGCTCAATATAATGCTTAATATATTTATTTATAATCAATATAAATTTAAACTACAAGTTCCCAAGTTGCATAAGCTACTAATAATATAATAGTAAATTTAATTATTAACGTTTTATAGATTTAATTGATTAGACATCTATTTGGTTGTTTTTATTGGAAAACCCCAAAAAATATAACACATTTGAAGGAGCCCAAAATAACAATTCAACTACAGCCGATATACTGTATATATATATATATATATATATATATATATACACACAATAAAAAAAAAACATTTCAGTATATATAGTGCAATAAAAAAAACATTAAAAATACATCCTGTAAAATTTAATCATGACTTGACCATAGACTGTAAAAAATATGGACAAAGTGTCTGTGACATTACCCATAGACTTTCCGAAGAACAGTTTTGATGCTGTTGATGGGGGCGCCATATTAGAAAATCTTGAGAAATACAAAATACAAATGTTCAAAAAAAGGATTCAGAGGTGGTATGATGTGTTGTGTCAGATCATGGCCGAGACGTCAAATTCCACTCGGCGCAGCCCGTTATCAGCTGTCAATCAAAGTTAACCGCCCTTATTTGTCATACATTTTATATCTAAATACGATCTAAACTAAAAAAAATCACCCCCATCACAGTTGTCAGGCACTCGGAACCTATCGAAAAATACAATAAAAGTCCATGGGACCAACCTGTAAAAGCATGAATTTATGCTGTGAAAACGGACATTTTAACATGGGATCTATGTATATTTGCTCCCTTTTGGGACCTCCCTCTAGCGGATTTGAGATGTATTGCAGTTTTTCGCACTTCCGGGTAGACTTCATTTTTCAGATTAGAATGCTGCCGCTTGGACTTGACCCAAATTAAAAAGGGGACCCTTCGCCCTTTTTGCCCTTTCACAGGCCATATGAAGGTGAGTCAGGGAGCCAGTGTGGCTCTGAATCTTAAGCAGTTGACCCTAATCCTCTGAACACATATGGAGCAGGGTCATCCATGTACATCTGGCTCCACTGCCGGGTGCCAAGAGCCAAGGACAGCCAGAAAACATGTAGGACGACAATCAAGGGCGCACTCTTGGAATCAACGGCCCACCCAATGTCGCCAGGATAAGAAGAGCTGTGCTGGCCTCTAATACCGTCTTAAAAGATGTCCTACAAGTCACACATCCTTCTGCTTGATTAATGTGTTGTTCTAGCCTGATGCTACAGAGCATGCTATATTATGCAAATCTGATTTTAATAGACCTGCATTGATAATTGACCATGTGAAAAGAAAGGACATAATTGCATTTCAGAGAGGGCGGAGGGTGAAAGGGAAGTTAAGAGCCACTTAATTGACCAATTTCAGAGAAATATAGTACACAAGAGAAGACTCTCTTCTCCCGAGTACAGTTGCAGATGTCCATGAAGGATAGGACACACTTCAGCTGTCATAGCTACACGAAATCTACTCTATGCTATGATAAAGCTCACATCAAACTGTCCTGGCTGTAATTGCCACTAATTATTGCCATGGAAGTCACTCCCTCTGTTGGGGATCTAAAAAATGGGGCAAAATGATGGCAAATATTCACCGGTGTAAGCGTGACTGCACAATGCACACACAAACAATCAGAGTCACATCTGTGATACATGCACACACACACTGTTCAGCGATTGCGGTCCCAAACCATATGTGACCCCCTTTATTTGGGAGGGTTTCAAGGTTGACAGTCTGTCCTCATTGGGCCCACAAATACAACAAACACTCGCATTGAGAAAAAGTGTTTGCCAGAAAATGATTACCTTCGTTATGATTCCACCCAACGGGGGGATTTGCAATGGCGTTTGACTCAATGGGACTTAATGATGCTCTGTTTTGGTATCACACAGTAAGCTACTCTCATTGCCAGAATACTCCCCTGCGCTGAGAGAATCGCTGCCTGGGCTGTGGATTATTATAGATTAGCCGCACTGGGCATGATCTCTGGAGCAGTCTGTTTGTCAGTGCGGAGGTGGTAGACAGAAGGCAGGGCTAAACAGGGCATATCTCTATCTCGGCTAGCTAGCGCACATAAACACAAACAGGCATGCCAGGCCAGTCTTGCTCCTGTGGGAACCTGCTGTTGTAGGTTGCAAACTGCTGAGCTAAAAAGTAACTTTCGGATTATCTGAAGTTTATTTTTGTTCCACCAACAAAAATAGTTTCAAACTAATTTAAAAGCAGAATCACCCATAGTACATCTCCCAGGGATTTGAGTGATGTCACGATTTGGTTTGTTCATGTCATGTGATTCCGTTTGTCATGTGATTCCCTGTTTGTTATGTGATCCTGCCACGTGTCATTGGTGGAATGTCATTGGTTAATCGTCTGTTCATTGTTCACAGGTTTCCCTTGTCATCAGTCTGTGTATTTAAGGCCCTGTTTACACGAGAACGCTCGCGGGTAAAAACGTAAAAATATTTTATCGGATGTGCCTTTTGTTTACACGGTGACGGCTTTTTGGGGCTTAAAAACGCAAAAAAGTGAAACCACCCTCTAGAGTGGAAATCTTAAAAACTCTCCACCGCCGTGTTCCCGTGTAAAGGGTAAAAACGCAAAAGTCTGCTTGAGAGTGAAGGTTGTACGCAGGCGCGCGGACTTGGTGTTGTTGTAGTATGCACTCCCAGCCGCCTGGAGTACATACTACATTGAATTTCACACACTTTTGCGTCATCATATGCACACGGATTTCCCACCCAAAACGCTCGTCTAAAAAGTGACAACGCAACGCCACTTTTGCGTTTTCTCTTCAGAAACGTTTCCGTGTAAACATGTTTGCCATAAGTCTTTGTCAAGTTTTGTTTCCCTGTAACCACTCTTAGTATGCGTCATGTTCATGTTTTTGTTTTGAGTTCATGCCACGCCATGTTTTTGTTTCTTGTTTGTAATAAACTGCACTTGGGTTCTTTTTTGCAACTTGCCTCCAGTGGATTCCTTACAAGTGAAATGGCAGTAAATTATTCAATGACTCGGATGCTTGTTGCATTCCTGAATGAATCAGTGTTTCAAATAAAT